TATTTGTTTTACAAAATCATATCTTTCCCTTTCTCTCTGTATGTGCGCTTTTTGCACCTGGTGGCTTCTTATATTATTGATTTAGCTATAAATGCCGCATGTCATTGACTGTTATATTTGGTGTTACTTGTTCTTCTTCAATTAGCAATTTAGGGATCAATCCTTCTACCAACCTCTCTCTCATTGAGTTGGGACTTGGTAGAGATTCTAGTTCCACGATAGGTCACAGAGTCTTTCTGTGATTAATTAATTTTTAGTTTTTCTACATATGGGTGCTAGATTCTTCATTAACAGAAATAAAAACACATATTTGAACTCCTTAAATGATTAACTTCGACAATTGTGGTAGGAATCTGTAAAAATTGTCCAGAACAAGTATAAGAATCGAGATGTATGCTTCTGGTAAGTTATTAGGAAGACAAAACACCTTCATCTCTACTTTATAATGCCATCAAATTCAAATTTCACTGGTAACATATCACTTAACTATCTGTTCATGTATATTTTTACTTATGTATCCTTGAAAGGCACTTTAGACCTCAAAATTTTCTGTAGTTGGGATCTACTACTTTGTATCCCCGCTGCTCTTGCTTCGGCTTAGTCTGAACTCTCCTGTTAAGCAAAGTTCAAATTCTTTCTAGTTATTTGTCATTATGGGGAAACTGTTCTTGTAGTGCCAGAATTTTATTGCAAGTTCCCTAACCATTCTATTTTATTGCTATGTTGAATTGCCCAATTCTCTGAGCTAGAAATTAGAAGGATCATATTTTTGGTTCACCATATAGGATAGAGCAACCCACATGAATGAAATGACACTAATTTTTAATGTCTTCTCGTGACGAGATTTGATTGCTCCTATCATTTCCCACCATTTACCTTTAAAACTCACACAAGTTCTCAATAAGACACCACTGGAACACAATGTGCATAATGTTTGTAATCTCTCGCTGTAACAGATTCCAATAGGTTGACTTTGTTCCGGATCAAAGCCTCATCTTCAGAAGAGACATCTGATTCTGCAGATGTTGGGAAAGTATTCTGGGACTTGAAGGAAAAGGTAAGCCTCCCATTCTCTTCTAAATCTTCTTCCATATATTGTGGCATAGCATGTTAGGGTATCAACAGCTGGACAACTGGTTTTAGGTCTTCTCTTGCTGCAGCTCTGTCAATTATTTGGTCTCCTATCACAATGCCAATGTCATGGTAAAAGGGGCACTACCAGCATTTCATCAATCATGCAGGAAACGGCGTAGTTGTTAATTAATATACTCCATTCTTTAGTGAACTGACAGTAGTTCCATCTGTACTGTGATGGATTGTTCTTCGATTATAACTGGAGAATGCCAGAGGGGATTATCCCTTGACCAATTCACATCCTGTTTATAGCATTACACAGTGTTCCTTCAGTAATTAGCAATTGGGTTTGACTTTCCAAAAAGCAAACAGAACGTCGTCTCTTTGATTATTCTTTGATTTTAATTCTGTTCTATCCTTTACTTTTGACAGTGGGATGCACTTGAAAACAAGTCATTCATTCTCTATGGAGGTGGGGCAATAGTTGCAATTTGGCTCTCTTCCATTATTATTGGTGCTCTCAACTCAGCCCCCTTTGGTATATGATCTATTTGTACTTTATTTTATTTTTGTTTAAACATTAGGAAATGTTTTTTCATTTGCTGGTAAAATCATTCTCTATGGAGGTTGTGCAATAGTTGCAATTTGGTTCTCTTCCATTATTGTTGCTGCCATCAATTCCGTCCCTTTGGTAAGTAATCTATTTTTACTTCTAATTTATTTTTGTCTAAACATTAGGAAATATTTTTGCAGTAGCTGGTAAAACCAAAAAGTAGGATTTTTTTGTTTTTTCTTTAACATAGTTTCTCTCTGGATCTGCTAGTGAACTGTTCTAAATTAATTCCTCCTCCATAACCAGCTTCCAACAGTCATGGAGTTGGTTGGATTTGGATTCAGTGGATGGTTTGTCTGCCGGTACCTCGTCTTTAAGGTAAGTTTACTCTCTGTTTATTTTCTTTGCTGGTAATTTAGCAACGAAGAAGTGTAAACTTTATTTACCATGCATAGCTACAAAATCGCCTGACTTTTGTTTCACATGCATTAAACACATTCCAAATTAAAACAGAGTTACTGATTACATTGTCTATCCCAATTTGGTATTGCAAATGCTCTAGATGTTCATGTTTGTTTAATGTTTGTTTTGCGATGAGGGTGCTTGGTTAGAGTACAAAGTACATGGTATTGACAACGGGGTTTGTTTTCTCAGTCAAAGGTACTTGTCTCTCATTTTGAAGCCTTGATGAAAATGATTGTTGGAAGTGATAGAGCAGCATGAAATGCACATCAGGGATATTTCTTACATTAAGTTCTGTATCATTGATCCAAACTCGTAGCTGATGTCCTCTGCAAAGGGACAGTTGAATCTTATATTTTGATCATCTGTGATGATCTTTGTTATCTTCTATTTTGTGTAAATGATTTCATAAAATAACAATTTGATTCAGTAAGGCAATAATAACATGATGATGGGAGGTGGGGACTAGAAGGGAATTTAGTGAAAAGTGAAGGTCATGAAGTGGAAAATCTTGGGACAGTTTAAAGTTATTAGGCACTGCAATGGGGAATATTTTATATTTCATATAAACACTATTATACATATATATGTGTACTATTAATTTGTATAGAAATTGTGAAGTAAAAGAGATGGATGTGGGTAGTTATTGCAATTTAGAGGAATCTATACTGTACCTCCGAACAGGGTGCGAAATTTGGGATAGGCCCGATGGGGTGGCAATGGGAGCTGTTGGTAACATCTTTGGAAGGACAGCAAAACGACGTCGCAGGGCTTCAATCAGAAGTAACCAATTCAAGTGTAATTCATCTTTAATGTTAAATTTAGGCTTTACAACTCATTTTGAGATCCCCTTAATATTAAATTTAGGCTTTATAACTCATTTGAGATTTCGGATCAAATTTGGGATTGCCACGTTAACTTTATTCTATAAGCATCATGGACCACACTGATAAAGACTAAACAATGAACAAATCTTATTTTCTTATAAAATAATTGAACTATTGGTCAGTGTATCTTATAATATAACAACAATTGGACTGTTGAACTCAAGTTGCTAGCATTTAACTCTTTATTAAGTTCGGGTTGTAATTTTTAACTCTGACCCAATTCTATGTAAAATATTGTTGAAACTCATGAGAAATCAAGTTAGCTGGATTGAGTTCGAATGTTCAATTCAAGTTACACCCTCTTAGTTCACGACTGTTTGAAAGGCAAATCGGAATCAAAATCATTGCAAGTGCTATTATGATTTTTACCTTAATTTTATTATTAGTATCAAATTATCATAAAAATGAAAAAAAAAAAAAAAAAAGGATTTGTAACTACCATTTTTTATAAAAAAATTAATATATTTTTTAAAATATGTTATTTATAATAAAATTTATTATAACCAGTTTAAACTTTTTTATGGTAGAAAAATATCTTATTTTTCATACAATATTTTGATGAAAAATTAATAAATAAAAAAAAATGCATTCTTTTCATGTAATATATTCATTAAAAATTTAAAAATTAATTAATTTTTTTAAAAATTTTGAACTAAATTTTTTTATTTAAATAATTAATTTTAAAAATTAAAGATGAATTTATGCAAAGTTAATGGAGAATATGTCATCAAATTAGTATAATTTTTTTCTCATAATTTATTTAAATAAAAAAAATAGATTAAATATAATTCAATAAGAATGTGCATTATGGTCATTTAATGAAATATAATATGAGCATTGGGATATTTTGTAACAAAATGTGATAATTTAGGAGGTATTATGTGCAAACTAAAGTTTAAAGGTTATTTGCAAATTCAAACATAGTTTAGTGGTTTGGAGAATTTTATTTATTTATTTATTTATTTATTTCACTTTACCCTACCTCGTATATATAACATTCTAGGGATAATATTCAATTTCACCAAATCTCAAAAAAATCCCCTGCGTTGATACGAGAAATTGAACCAAATAGAATAGTTAAAACTTAAAACTCCTAAAGAGAACTATTTTAAACAGTAAAATCTTTTTAATTTGAACTTAACTTAAAAACATAGCTATGGTGACGAGATTTTTCAAAATCAAATCAATTGGATAAGCATTTTGCACTAATGTTGAAAACTTAAAAAGATATAAAAATATACATATATCTATTTTTTAATTACTATTTAAAATCTTCATTACTTAAGATTTAGTAAAATTTTTATTACTTAATTTTTAATTTTATCAAACAACACCTTAATCTTTACTTATGAAGTATAAAACACACTATCTTCCTTTGAAAGATAAAATAGAACAACCCTTTACTTATAATATACGTATATATATATATATATATAGATAAAATAATAATAATATTAGAGATTCTCTTTCGGTATTTTCAACTAATAGATTTTTTAAAGTCATAACACTCATCATACAATCTTTATACAAAATTTATAATTTGCATTGAAATTTAACTAAATAAATTTATCAAATCATAATGTAATTGTTGTGGCCTCTATATCCATATTTGAGAGTATTGAATTTGGTACCTTAAAATTAATGTTCGTAGATTACTTTTTTTTTTTTTCTTGTCATTTTTCTCTTTGTTAAATTATTTCTGAGAAGATTTAACTAAAAGTTGATTCGTTATATTATATGTCAAGAAAAATTTTCATTTTAAATTTGTATATATTTCGGTCTAAATAAATAAATAAGTAGGACATGCTCACGTAAAAAACATTTTCTTTCTTTTTCATTTTTATTTTTTTATGGGAGTTGACAAAAGCAGCATTTTCAATTCGCAAAAAAAACACGTTTTGTAATATATACGAGTAAATAAATAAGTGAGATAATGAAAGGTGTGTTGAACCAGACACATTTTTAATTTTTTTTTCAACCAGACACACAACATATATAAATATTACTATATATGTGTGTGTGTGTGTGTGTGTGTACAGGTAAGTAAGTATATAGAGAGAGAAAGGACAGAGTAGGAAAGAAAGAGGATAGAGATTAGAGAGAAAAGAGAAGCACCGTTATGGCTACAGCTTATGCAACAGGGGTGTTAGTCTCTCGTATCCCCAAGACGTCGTCGTATTCACACATCTCTGCTTTGCCTCATCTTCCTCTTCGTTCTGTTCGTACATCGATCTCGTCTTCTTCAAAGCACTTCCCAGGTACCATTGGCGACTTAAAATCTTGGAAATTATTTTGATTTATCTTCCAATCTTGAATTATATGCTAAGTTTCTAACTAAATTTTCAATCATTCTTGAAATCGGATCGTTTTTGGATGTAAATGTGTTTCTGATTAGTGCTGAGGACATGTTTGGATGACTAGTAGCATTGAATTAATCAATTCGTAAAAGTAGGGAACTTTGCCGCATTTCTTCCGACATGATTTTTACACTTCCTTTTTTTTTTATGAAAATGATAAAAAGATCCATAAACTTATTAATATATCATTCTTTATTTTATAATACCATAACTATCATTTATAGTTGGGTTTATTGCTCATTTCAAATGACAAAATCCGGCAAATTTACAGAATTCCTCGTTCAATACAACGAATTCTCCACCTAACAGTGTAATGTAAATTTTGTATAGAGCCATTTAAATTCAAGGGTGATCATGGTTAAGAAAATGATTTTAAGTTGTTGCTTTTAATCTAGATTTTGAAATGTAGAAATATAGAAAGATGTATGATTTTGTGGTTTCCTATTTTGCACAGTATTTGTCTAAATAGTGGAGAAGAAATCTTTTTATTAAATGCAATAACATGCTTAAATGACCTAGTAGCACCTTGTGTTAGCCTTTGATGATCCACTTTTCAGAGTCTTGTGCTGCGGGCACGATGAATCATCCATGCTGTGAGTCTTCCCAGTTCAAGGCATACCTTATAAATGAACTAGTAGCACCTTGTGTTAGCCTCCAACCTGGGCAATTAGTCATCGTAGCCCATTGGTTGGGTTTCTCCCCGTTGTCCTAGGAGCCCGGCTTCGAGCCTTCGCACCCACTAACTTCTAATCTAACATTCTTGCCCTGGGAAAAAAAAAAAATTTTAAAAAACTTGGAGCATTACTACTATAATGGTAGTTGGCTAGGACTAACTTCCTTTATGATCCTCAATTTCTTATCTAAAACTATCTGGGTTGGAACTTGGAAATACAAACCCTTTTGCCATGCCTTAATTTAATACGTGAGGCTATATATATTTATATTTTGCTTCCTTCTACCTTTCTGTCAGCTTGCACTGAAATTCTATCTAGTCGAAGGGAATCCCATGGGCTCATTATTTGACTTTAGCTGCTTCCTGATTTTTAGAAACCTTGGGGATAATAAATTTTCGTAAGCATTGAGCGATTTGATTTTTGGATCTGGTGGCTTCTTGTAGTAATAATTTAGCAATAAATGCTGCAAGTCAGTGACCAAAGCCTAATGCTCCAACTTTTATATTTGATGTTGCTTGTTCTTCTTCAGTTAGCAATTTAGGGATCAATCCTTCTAATGTCTCTCTCATAAAGTTGGGACTTGGGAGAGATTCCGGGTCCATAATAGGTCATAGTCTCTTTCTATCAATAATTGGTTTTTAGTTTTCTATATATGGATGCTAGTCTTTCTAGATTATTCATTAATAGAAATAAAAACGCATATTTGAACCCTCCCAAGACCCCACAATGGCAGGAGCCTTGTGCACTGGATTTGTCCCTTTTTTATTTGAATTCCTTAAATAATTAACTTCAAGAATTGTGGTAGGAATCTGTATAATTTGTCCAAAAGAAGTATAAGAATCAAGACGTATGCTTGTGATAAGTTATCAGGAAGAGAAAACGCCTACATCTCTACTTTGTAATGCCATCCGATTCAAATTTCGCTGGTAACGTTATGCACTTAACTATCTTTTCATGCATACGTTTTTGACATATGTATCCTTCAAAGGCACTTTGGAGGTCAAGATTTTCTATAATTGGGATCTGATACTCAGTCACCCTGCTGCTCTTGCTTCAGCTCAGTCTCAACTCTCCTGTTAATAGCGAAGTTCAAATTCTTTCTAGTTTTGTATAATGTTTGCAATTTCTCTTTGAAACAGATTCCAATAGGTTGACTTTGTTCCGGATCAAAGCCTCTTCTTCAGAAGAGACATCTGGTTCAGCAGATGTTGGTGAAGTATTCTTGGACTTGAAGGAAAAGGTAAGCCTCCCATTCTCTCCCAAATCTGCTTGCATTTATTGTGGCATATCATGTTAGGGTATACCAACGGGCCAGTGGCCTAGCGGTATCAGCCTCTTGCTTCCCAAAGGGAGGTTAGAGGTTCAAGTCTCAGAAGAGACAAGTGTGTGTGAGTACTAGCTAGGAAAAAAAATATCATGTTAGGGTATCAACAGCTGGACAACTGGAATTAAGTCTTCTCTAGTTTCAGCTCTGACAATTATTGGGTCTCCTATCACAATGCCCATGTCAATGATGTCATGGTAAAAGGGGCAGTGCCTCCATTTCATCAATCATGCTGGTAACGATGCAGTGTTAATATACTCCATTCTTTAGTAAAATGACAGTAGTTCCATCTTTACCATGATGGATTTTTCTTCAATTATAACTGGAGAAAGCCGGAGGGGATCATCCCTTGACCAATTCAGAGCCTGTTAATAGCATTACACAGTGTCCTTCAGTAACTAGCAATTGGGTTTGATTTGCCAAAAAGTAAACTGAACATCCTCTCTTTGATTATTCGTTGATTTTAATAATATTCTATTCTTTACTTTTGACAGTGGGATGCACTTGAAGACAAGTCCACAGTCGTCCTCTATGGAGGTGGAGCAATAGTTGCAGTTTGGCTCACTTCCGTTTTTATTGGTGCCATCAACTCAGTCCCGGTGGTTAGTGATCTATTTGTCCTTCTAATTTATTTTTGTTTAAACATTTTAGGAAATGTTTTGCAGTAGCTGCTAAAACCAAAAGTAGGATTATTATTATTATTATTTTTTTTTGGTGCATTTAATGTAGTTTCTCTCTGGATCTTCTTGTGAACTGTTCTAAATTAATTATTCTTTCATAACCAGCTTCCAAAAATTATGGAGTTGGTTGGACTTGGATACACTGGATGGTTTGTCTACCGGTACCTCCTCTTTAAGGTAAACTCACTACAAAATGACTTGCATTATATCCAAATTATTCTCTGTTTATTATCTTTGCTGGTACTTTAGTGAGGAAGACAAATAAACTTTATTTACCATGTATAGGGGCAAAATCACCTGACTTTTGTTTCACTTGCATTTTACACGTTTCAATTTAACTGAAGTTTCTGATTACATGACTATTCCAATTTGGTATTGCAATTTCTCTAGATGTTGGTATTTGTTTGATGTCTGTTTTGCGATGAGGTGCTTGATTAGAGAACAAAGTACATCATAGTGACAACACGGTTTGTTTTCTCAGTCGAGCAGAAAGGAACTAGCCTCTGATATTGAAGCCTTGAAGAAAAAGATTGCTGGAAGTGAATAGAGCAGCATGAAATGCACACTTCAGTTTTCTTTCTTACATTTAGTTCTGTATCATTGATCCAAACTTGGTAGTTGTTGTCCTCAGCAAAGGAACAGTTGAATCTTACATGTATATTATCTGTGATGATCTTTGTTCTCTTCTATTTTGTATAAATGCAATATTTCTTGAAATGACAATTATCATTTCCATCATGAACGGATTCAATGTTTTAATTGATTATTTTCTAGCTAAATTATCTGTTTTTCTCCCAGTATCTCTTCTTCATTTGATTCACGGACCAAATAGGCAGCATAAGAAAGTTTGTTGTTTCTCTCTTTTTTTCTTAAACAGAAGTTGAATGCTTGACTGGTGGATTGTATTGTCCCTCATGCATCTAGACGGGTTTGCATCCTTTATAATGTCTATATTTTCTATAATGGGTAGTCTCCTAAGGGAGTTGGAATCGGTCACACGTGCAAGTGATGGGAGCCGTCGATACAGTATAAAACCCGTGTTGTGCCGGAGAGGATCCGTGCTCCTCCTATGTAGGGTCTTCATGGTTGGAACGTGCGGATAAGACTGACTGGCAATCACTTTCAAAGGCCAAAGTTGCAGGGACCATTTGGCAATGGCCTAACCCACCCCCTAGTCCTAGACCTTGCTGGCCACTGTGACCCCAAGTCAAAGCATTGAATGTAGACACTTGAAAAGCACTGAATATAAACGCTTGCCAAAGCAAGGCTTGGAAGTATAATTCTCTTGGAGGCCAATTGGGGGATGTCCATCTTTCTTCAGCTGACTATGCAGGGCTAGTTGGTACTTAATTTTGAATAACTATCCATGAGGGCAACCATGTTCGTGTCCACTAAAAGACGCCAATCTAGATGGTTTGGACTTCCATATCAAAAATGGTTCAGGTCAATACATGGACGAGCATCTTTCTGAGAAAAAAGCTTTCAGAAGCAAGAACGCCCTCTTGATAGTATCAAAAAATTATTGTATTTGGAAGCAATGAACCGACATATTGACTTTAGAATTAGAAGAAATTTAATTCAAATAAAGATGAACGGATGGATATGGATACATTTGAATCTGATTTGCGTAATGTTTTATTCAGTGATGACCTCAGCGAGACAGCAATTTCCCAATATGTGGACATGAGCTGTGGGTTGGCATCGAGTCCATTGACTAACATGGTCCACCAACAGGACTATAATGATGCCCAGCTCGGCTTGGGAAGTTGGGCTCATAAGCCATATGATTTTTCAAACTAACACCAAGGCAAATGTCTATATGTATAGCATTGGCATCAACTATAATCTCAAAAAAAAAAAAAAAAAAAAAAAAAAACAAGGGTTTGAATTTTCGATTATTGTTAGAAGATGAAATAGTCTTTATTCTTCTCGGTATGATAATTTTAAATGGATAATCATGGAAAAAAAATATCATTGTCAATGGTTTTCAATATAAAAACTCCCAATCCGGACAAATGATGTGCGGCTGAGCTGCAGAACAAGCCAGCAGAGTATCTCCCACGGAGCTAAGCTTCCGAGGACATACACAAAGCATTACTAGTCAAAGTAACAGCCATTCACAAGAGCCCAAAACAGTCAATTGTGTCAATTTTTCCAACTTGCAACGCACAAAAGAGAATCCTCTATAAAATGAAAACTTCACACCTCAACACTACAACACAACATCACTTTCCCCATTAAAAATGGCTCTAAAACCTCAACCCAACCCCCTGCTCATCTCCCTCCTATTCCTGACCCTTGCCCAAACCTCCCTCGCCGCCGGGATCGCCGTCTACTGGGGCCAAAACGGCAACGAGGGCACCCTCGCCAACACGTGTGCCACCGGAAAATTTTCCTACGTCAACGTCGCATTTCTTATTAAATTCGGCAATGGTCAGACCCCCGAGATCAACCTCGCGGGCCATTGCAACCCGGCGGCCAATGGGTGCACCATTGTGAGCAACGGCATACGGTCTTGCCAAAGCCGCGGCATTAAGGTCATGCTCTCTATTGGTGGAGGTGTTGGAAGCTACACCCTAGCTTCGGACGCCGACGCCAAAAATGTCGCATCGTATTTATGGAACAATTTTTTGGGTGGACAGTCATCGTCGCGTCCACTTGGCGACGCGGTATTGGACGGTATTGATTTTGACATTGAGCTTGGTTCAACACAATACTGGGATGCTCTAGCAAAGTATTTATCAGCCTATAGTACGGTTGGTAAAAAAGTGTACCTAACAGCCGCACCACAATGCCCATTTCCTGATAGGTTCCTAGGGGCTGCCCTTAACACGGGCCTTTTCGACTATGTTTGGGTCCAATTCTACAACAACCCTCCTTGTCAATACACTTCTGGCAACACAGACAACCTCAAAAACTCATGGACTCGGTGGACTACGTCGATAAATGCCGGGAAGATATTTTTGGGGTTACCGGCGTCTACGCAGGCTGCCGGAAGCGGGTTCATCCCGGCGAATGTGTTGACTTCTCAGATCCTTCCGGTGATTAAGGGGTCGCCTAAGTATGGTGGTGTGATGCTTTGGTCAAAATATTGGGATGATCAAAGTGGATATAGCTCCTCTATTAAGAGTAGTGTGTGAATTGAACTGTGTTTTTCTTTGTTTAGTGGTTTTACCTACCATAGTCTGATATAATTTTAATAATTTGGGTACTCTTTTGTCTTTTTGTGATTGTCTGTGGTTGTTGTTGACTTAACTTATCTTGTTTGCCTGTTTGGCCCATAAAATTAGTAGTGCTTTCTTGTCTATGGTGTGGAATGAGGAATGTGTGTACACGACTCGCCGACAGGCGTGTCCTTTTGCATTGGTGGGCCAATTTTGGGCACAGGAGTTACTTCATATCTAGCCCAAGTCCATTTGTAATGGGCCCATAGAGTTTCATTGCTAATGTATGTAGTGGGTGGCTTCAATAGGGTGAGGTCTCTGGGGACCAAGGTCTTTGACAATTCTGAGTAGGGTTTTGAACAACCATTATAATTAGTGACATCAGATGAAGAATTGGATCTAATTTTAATACTAATTATAACGAGTGGGGCGTTTGTTTATTTACTCAAAAACTCAAATTACTTGGTAGTGCTACATATCAATTACCAACTCATTTAAACCCCCTTTCACTTCCCATCGAGATTGAAATGGGACTCTCACTTGTAACACCTATCTTTTACGTTTTTCATGTCTAAATTAAACGATTTTAGAGGGATATTTTGACTAAGTAGACTCAGAGAGTAAGAGTATATTAATCAATTCATTGTTTAATTTCATCAAAAATTCATATTTGCACAAATTTTAAAATGTAAGGGGTTTATTAAACAATAGGAGTAATCATACATATAACAGGGGATTGTTTTCAGTTAACCCAAACAAATTGACGTTTTAACCAAACAAATTGACGTTTAAAGGAAAGACATGAGAGCTAAAGAGGAAAAATAATCATTTAGACATATTAGTTGATATCATTAGAATGTTGGGTGAATAAAAACTCTTTAACCAGTTCATTAGTTTCGAAAAAATATTGAATGAATTGCATCCATGTAGTTGGTATCATTACTTATTAGTATGTTCAATCAATAAAAAAATTGTTATACATCGAGCATATAATGAAATTGTTCCTACTATATTTAATATTTTTTTGTTGTTTTAATTTAGTTGTTTGTTTTAATTTTTTTATATTTGGGTTGTTATAAAATACTTGTCCACTCAAAAATTCAAAAAATATATTTCATATTTTTTTTTCATAAAATACCCTTAAAATATTAAAATTTTCAAACATGATTATACTACATATACATTCAAATTTGTAAGGGTAACTAATAATTTTTTATAATTATAGTATGTATGTTCAAATTTACAAAGAAAACTTAATAATTTTAATAAAAAATAAAAATGCTAACACATAGTATAATAATTCCTTGTGCCTTTAAAATGTTTTATTTCCAAAACTAAGACCGAAGAGGTAAAAACTATCTAATTTATTACGTAGTAAAATTTTGAGAATAACAATCGCTGTGTTATGCCAGCTAACCCTATTCTCCTCGGAAAGTGAAATCTTTGAAAACCCAACGGTCTCTCTTTCTCATCGGTAAATCCCATTTCCGCTGACGAACGACTATTGCTGTCGTCAACCGATCAATTTCCTCTGTCTCTCTACGCAGACCATTAATAAGCGTTCTTTCTCTCTCTACCTCGATTTTGTTGTACTACGTAATAAGATAAAGCTAAAAACATGTATAGATACATATATATCTGTATACTTATATATTTGTTGTAAAGTAAACCACAATATTCTCGCTTGTGGGGTTACTTTCTTGGAAGCTTTTTCTGTCTGCAGTGTCTTCTTAGCAACACTTTTCTGGTAATTAATTCCCTGTTTACACCAACATTTCACCTTTTTTGGAAATTGTTTGTAGAAATTAGGGCATGAAATTTTAACATTTCATCTTTTTTGGACATTGCTTGTAGAAATTAGGGCATGAAATTTTAACATTTCATCTTTTTTGGACATTGTTTGTAGAAATTAGGGTATGAAAATTTCATATTTCATCTATCTTGGGTCATTGTGGATTCTTATTGAAATTTGTATGTCTGGTTTGGATTTGCACAAACCCTCCATTTAATGTCCTTTTCAAAACTCTCATAGCCTTAAATTTATATAATAAGCTCTTCATATTGTTCTCAAGTCTAATTTAGCAGTTAATGTTTCTTTTTCAGTAGTTGATGCTGTCACAAAATGATGGATTCAATTTTAAAACGTGAGAAGCTTATTGAGGAAGTGAAAATCAAAGAAGGTGAAGTAGACAGGATTAGCAATTTACCCAGAACTGTTATTGGCCATATTCTCTCCTTCCTTCCAACAAAATATGCGGTGGCAACTAGCGTTTTGGCAACCAAATGGAAGTATCTCTGGACATCAATCTCTAGTTTTGACTTCGACGATGAGTTGGTAAGCAATCATACCCAACAGGATAACACTGATCCGTCAATAAAAGGGAGTTTCATAAATTTTGTTTATCGAGTGATGCTACAGTGTAATGTGTCAGATATACATAAATATCGTCTCAAATGCAGCCAGATTTATGATGTTTCACATCTTAATGCATGGGTTTGTACTTCACTTTTGCGTAATGTTGGAGAACTTTATCTTATCATTCCTATGGAAGGGCATATGGAACTGCCCCGCGACCTTTTTACTAGTAATTCTCTGGTAGCACTAAAACTGGGTACTAGAGCAGTTACCAATGGCCTCCTGCTCTGGTTTACGAACAATATATGGAAGCACTAAAACGGGGTACTAGATTCTGTTGGGTTTACTTCTATGCGGAGGAAAGTCAAGTGGGTTTTATTAAAAGCACAAAGCCCTTTAGGGAAATGAAAAAAGCCAAGTGGGTTTTATTAAAAGCCCAAAGCCCTTTAGGGAAATGAAAATCCTAAGGAAGTTAGTATAAAAAGAGAGAGAGGTTAGCCGCAAGTAGAAGAACAAAAGAGAAGAAAAATGCAGGTCTTTTCATTCTGTCCAAGTTTGATCAAACGTCCGATCCCGCTTCGTTTGTGGTCCGATCAAGCTGAAATTTGGAGGAGAGGTTCACGACTTAGTGACGCACAATCTGAACGGTGGAGATCAGATTTTGAGCTCGAGAACAGTGATTTGTGCCCGTGAACAGTAACCGGGTTTTGGTAGAAAAACGCAGCCCAGATTCCATCAAACGTCCGATCTCGCTTCGTCCGTGGTCCGATCGAGCTGAAATTTGGAGGAGAGGTTCACGACTCAATGAGTTAAAATCTAAACGATGAAGATCGGATTTTGAGCTCGGAAACAGTAATTCGTGCCCGTAAATAGTAACCGGGTTTTGGTATTTTTCTCTCCAATTCTCTTTGTTTTTTGCCAAGATTGTTGGTATCTTGATGAAATGTTTTGTAGCCTCTAATTGCGATTAGAAAAGACTTTGTGTACCTATTATTTGGTTGATAGTGGAGATTTTAACTAGACTAGGTCCCGTGGTTTTTCTTCTTCACATTGGGGAAGTTTTCCACGTAAAAAATTGCTTGTGTTCTTGTGGCTTGGTGTGATTGATTTGTTCTCTATTATGTTCAGCACATATAAAAGTAGGGATATATACTATACTTGCTTGCATATAGGGAGAAAAATTATTCCGCTGTGTTTGTTTATTGTCATCTCTCCCAACAAAGTGGTATCAGAGCTCTAGGTTGACAGATTGCCAGGTTGGCAGTTTGAGTTATGAAAGCAAATACGAGTAGAATGATTAATTTAAATGGTTCAAATTATCACATATGGAAAGGAAAAATGGAGGATCTTCTTTATGTGAAAGATTAATACATACCGGTGTTTAGTGCTGAAAAACCAGAAAACAAATCTGATGTGGAATGGATTTTGTTACATCGGCATGCACGTTCTCTATGGAGTAAGCTTGAACAGCTATATGCAAGACAGACTGGAAATAATAAATTGTTTCTGATTAAGCAGATGATGGCTTTGTTTTCTGGTTTGGTGTGTTTAGCTCAATCTTGTATAGATTCATTCTCAATGTTCCTACTCTGGTTTGCCTACAAAGCCTTAAAATCCTACATCTTATTAAAATTGAATTTTTGGACGATGAGTCGACTAAAAGGCTCTTTTCTAGCTGCCTTCTACTTGAAGATTTGGCTATAGTAGGATGCCAGTGGAAGAATATCAATGTTTTCATCATATCTGCACCTGCTCTCAAGAGTTTGATTATAGACTGTGTGGATGGTTTTGACACTTCTAATTGCTAATACAAGATTGAGCTTAACACACCAAACCTTCAACACCTTAAATACAATGATTATGTAGCAGAAGGCTATTCAGTTACAAGCTGCCTAAATTCTCTTGTCAAGGCTTACATTGATATTGGACTATATAGCGCATCAGGTGCGACGTTTGCTGACCGTGATTCATCTACTGAACCTCTTGCTGTAGTAGAACTTCTTGATGGAATATGGAATGTTCGGTGGCTTTATTTATCTAATTGTTCCATGGAGGTTATCTTTCTTAACTTCTTCTGTTAAGTTGCGATATTCTTTATGTAAATGAACTACTGACCTATATCTTCCTACTGTTACATTTTCAAAGTTTAATTGTTCCATAGATGTTTTTTCTTTTGTTCATGCATGAAGACCCTCAAGTTATGTCGTATCCACTGCCAAAGTTTTATCGTTGGACCATTTTTTTTTCCCTGTGCATGAAGGCCCTTGAGTAGTTCTTGCCAACGTTTCATCATTTAACTTATTTAAAGCTTGGTAATACTGAATATGGTAGATGGGACCTTCTACCGAATGTACTTGAAAGCTCGCCACAACTTAAAACTCTTGTTTTTGAGGTGAGTTGAGAATTGTTAATTGGATTGATCAAACTTACTTGTTTTAGTGGAAAAAAATGATTTAAGCAATTAAATGACACAATTGAGAATGCTTGTTTTTCTTTATTGTTTAGGAACTACATCTTGCTGAACGGGAAGAAGGCCACCATAAGCATTGGCATTCACCTCAGAGAGTGCCATCTTGTTTATTGTTTCACCTCAAGGTAATTGAAATTAAGTGGTTCACCGGGGAAAGAGACGAGTTTAATGTGGTAAAGTATTTTTTGAAGAACGCAAAAGTCTTGAAGAAATTGGCTATGCATACTGCTCGGTATGGGAAGTTGAAACTTTGCAAGAAACTATTAATGCTGCCCAGGGATCGAAGAATTGCCGAGTTGCTGTTGCTGTTTCTTGACTTCTCTCCCCTCTTATATAGTTTTGGCTGCTTAGCTTGTGAACATCTTTTTGCTATTGTGAGGGGGATATGTTTATTATCTAGCATGCATCTTTTTAATGTGAAAGCCATCTTTTTCTGAAACAAAATTTCAATTGTCAATGAGCAAACATAGTATGTCTTTTGATATTGAAATGGTATTGTGATTTAGCTTTGCATATTTCTTGACTATTCAAAACGGATGACGAAATGTTTATTTATTTATTTTTTTCCCTTTCCCACGAGTTCAATTCATCCCATGGGAAGTGTTTTTTGTAATCAATCCCTCCCTGGTCGCTTAGCTTGATAACTTTTTTTTGTTATAGCGAGGGGAAAGATAAGTTAAATAACTAAGAAAACACACACCATTTTAATGTGAAAACAACTTTTTCTTAAACAAAATTTCAATTGTCAATGAGCATACAATGTACATCTCTGATATTGAAATGGTATTGTAATTTTACTAGCATTTTTCTTGACTATTCAAAACGAAAGAAGAAATGTATTTTTTTTTACTCTCTTTAATTCATCAAATTTTTAGTTGAATGTCTCTTTCTTTCTGCTCTTTAAACTTAATAACAGTAACATTTTGGTTGGCATTCCCATTTTTGGGGTCCTTATGCAAATATTTTTTGGAGATATTTTCATTTAGGGGTTTTTGTGTAATTATCTTTTAGAGATATTTTTAATTTGGGGCAATAGTGCGATTATCTTTTAAGATATTTTCTTAGAGGGACTTGTGTGAAATTAATAAAAGTTAGTGCAAAGTGCCTTATTTTGGGTTAGGATTCTTGTACGGGATTCTTTTAGCATTTCTTCAAGTCATGGACTCTTAAAAATGCATTTCGGATCTTTTCTCCTTTTTTAGGGTTTTTGGCCCGTGATGTCGCCGTGTGGGCCCGGGACGAATTTTTCAGCTTGGGATTATTTTTTCGATGTTGTTTCTTTTATTGTTCATTATTTTGGCCACCAGAGTTTTTACATTTACGGTTTTGTCCGTTTAAGCGCGTTTTGACAACTTTTACTTTTGGGGGTCACGAGGGTAGGGGTGCAACTTGGGTTGGGTAACCCGAACCCAACCCAAGCCCAATCCGATTTTTCACGAGTTTGGGCAATCATTTTTACAATTAGGGTTAGGCTTGACTTGAAAAATCTCAATCCGAATTTAATAAGGGTTGAGCTTGTGTTGAAGTGCTAGTAACCCGAGCCAACCCGAACCCGAATTCTAATTTATTTTCATATATATTTTTACTTTTAAATACATTATACATAATATTTAAACTATGATTATTTTTTTCCTTTTCAACTTTTTTTTGTTAAATCTTAACTTATTGTGTGTTAACATTTAGAAAAATTAATTTTCTGAAAATTTATTTATAATTTATTAAAAATCTTTAAACATCTTCTTGTTTAAAAATAATTTAATTTAAAACTAATTCGAGATCATATTAAATTTTCGATATAAAGATTAGTCATATGAGTAACCCGAATTAACCCGAAGTTTTATCCTGAAATCTAAGCCAGAGTTGCAAGCCTGAATTTAAAATTAGAATGATGGGTTGTGCTCAGGTTGAGTAGTTAATATTGAAGATAGGGTTAGCGTTGGGTTTGGGTTTAACATTTCATATGGTAGGTTGGGCTTAAGTTATACCTCAAACCCACCTAACCCGCCCGAGTTGTAGCCCTACGCGAGGGGCCCGCTTGGATAATATTTTTGAAAAGTGTAAAAGAAAGAAGAGAGAAGGAAAAATCAGATTTCTCTCCCTCTTTGCCGAATTTTTCTTTTTCATTCTTAGATCCATGCCTTATCTCCTCCATTTAGCTTTCCATCTTTGAGATTCATCATTTGTCGTAGGAGGGTTTTGTGTCGGCCTTACTGAAGGCCATCTTTCTATCTGATTAGAATTCCGTTTTGTCTGTTTTGGAGTTTTAGAGTTGGGTTCGGGTTTGGATTTGGTTGTTGTCGCAAGGGGATTAATTGTTCTCCTCGTTGTCCCCGACATAACTCCAAAGTTACATCACATTCGGGACATTTTCGTTTTGGCCTTTTTGAGGTTTTCATCTTAAATTGAGATAGGGGTGTCTTACATTTGTGTGTTACACTTTCTTTGGGTCTTATGGGTATGGGGGTATGTAAAACATGATTATTATACCGTAGTGTATGTGAAGAGATGATAGTTATATTATGTCATATTGGATATGTAGAGATGATGGTTATATTGTCTTGGGCTTGTATTAAATTCTCGTATTGATGAGTATGATAGAAAGGGGTAAAAATCGAGTATTTGGTTGCCATATGTGTACCTAAGCATGCTTAATGTGAAAATGGAATTAAAATGGATATTTATGTGCATAGGTGGTTATATGCATTTTTTTGGATTGTTTGTTGGTTTACGTGGTTAGTCAACTTATCTTCGGGCATTGGAATGCATTTGGATTAATTTCATCATACGTGGGTCATGGTATGTGTGCCACTTTGGTCATTGGTGCATTGCGGTAATCATTGGGTTCATGAGTTGTGTATGCATGGCATACATGAGATATTTGATGGATATATGATATCCATAGGGTGCAAAAGGGCATTCATTTGTTTGCGGATGTGGAATATGATTTCGGTGATTTCGGCACATCATCATTGCAGGTGCGGAATGTGATTTCGGCACATCATTATCACCATTTTTACATTATGGCATTCACATGTGTGATTTGTGTCATGGGGTGTTCATGGATTGTGTTGAGTTCGTAATTTATGAGATTATGCAGACTTGGTTATCGTTATAGTTTCATGGTAGCCATTATGTGATAATGTGTTTTACTTGATTTATTCCTTGTCGTGGTTACATTTGAAAATGTGGTATTTTGGATGCATGATTTGACTATATGTTTCGGTTACATTGAGTTGAACTATCATGCTATCGAAATTAGAGTTTGGGTGTATGATCCCTTTTCATTTCACGAAACTTAGGCTTTAGGTTGCATGACCTTTTATCCTTGGGATGCCTTGCATTCTTGCATGTCCTTGGGGATTTCAAATGACGTAGTATATTAATGTAATACACCATATCCTACTGAGCGGCGGTGTTCACCCCTATTATACAAACATTTTTCAGGAACGAAGTCGCTTGGGACAGATTTTGAAGCTAATGCCATATTTCGAATCATTGTAGATTTATTTTGATGTCTATGTAGTTCAATATATATTTGAAGGGTTTCAAACCCTAAGTTGTATTTCCTCTCTCTAAAGTTGTAAACTTATGTGTTTGATATCTAGTACTATGATGACATGATGTATTAAGGCCGTAAGGACATTTCATTCGCAAAGTATGGAGCCCATTCTGTACACACAAACATGTATATTGGACTCACTTGTATTCATTTTTACCTTGCCATGTTTCACATTTTTTTTGAGCTTGAAATGTATGTTTTTTTGGCCATTTGAGTGCATGAGGGTTAAAAGGATTAATTTAGTTTCCAGAGGTACTTTTTTTTTAATTAAAAAAAAAAAAAAATCAGTTTTGGCCGAGGTTGCTGTTCACCAGTGGTGAATTTGTCACCTCGAGCGTTTGCAGGGTGACGCGTACTCTGGGGCACCCGGGACACATTTTGGCACCCTCTGAGCGTTCTAATATTCAAGGCAGAATGCTTGGGCTAACCAAGAGCACTTGCAGCCCTTTTCCTGAGCGTTCGCACCCTTCTAACCTTATCTCAACTTCGTCGTTCCGACTTCAAATCGTCATATCTCCCTCGTTTTAACTCCAAATTGGGTCGTTCTTGTGTCTAAAATGACCGCGTCGAAACAAGCTTTCCAATGCTGCTAGTATCACTCCAAGATTCCAATCATATAAAGAGTCATGCCAATTTTAGTGAGGACTAGTCATGATTACCACATACCAAAAATGCCGGTTTGTTTCGAAACCAACTAAAACGTCATAGTGTGGAATGAGGAATATGTGTACATAACTCGCTGACAGACTTGTCCTTTTGCATTGGTGGGCCAATTTTGGGTTGGCGATGGATTTAGGATGACATGAGTTACTTCATATCTAGCCCAAGTTCGTTTGTTATTCGCCCATAGAGTTTCATTGCTAATGTATGTGAGTTGGTGGCTTCAATAGGCTGAGGTCTCTAAGGACCAAGGTTTTGATCCTTAGTCTTGCTAACAGCCATTAGGGGTCTTTGACAATTCTGAGTAGGCTTTTGAACATCCATTAGTGGTCAGTTTTCCGAGCGAGTGTGCCCGTATTCAAATTCCCCAATTTGCTAAAATAAAAATATAAAGATAAAAATAAAAATAAAAAATATGTGTTTAAGTGTGCGTGAGAGAAAGTGACGCAGTTTCAATCTTCAACGCACAAAAGAGAATCCCCTCTTTGTAATAAAATAGAGTAGGGCTTTTGTAATTAACAACAACAGCAACAATCACATCTTATTACCAACTACTTGAGTCGGCTATATGAATCATATGCTTCCATTGTACTCTATTTAAAGTCATAAACTCAATCAATTTACATGTTATCCTAGCATTCCTTGCTAACTCTACTTACATTAACTTTTATTTTCCTTTTTCCTTAATATCACCCTCAATGTAAGCTATATCACTTTTTCTAATTGGCACACTTAAAGATTTTCTTTACACGTAGTCAAACCATCATAATCAATTTTTAATAAATTTATTCCCAATTTACGTTACTCCAAACATCTCTAGAGTGTAATCATTTCTAATTCTATCATTTTTATTTTTATCCTATATTCATCTCAATATTTGCATTTTTGCGTATCACGACTTTTTGTAAAAATAAAAAAACAAGAAGTTTTTATTTATTATTATTATTATTTTATTACAACCCAAGTGTGAATTCCCCTCAATACAAGGTGCCAAATGGAGTTGAAGAACATCCATTGTCTCTCGTTTGAAAAGCTCATTGTGTCAACAGTGGAGATTGGCCATCAACATTAATAGACAAATTACTTTTTCCCTAATTTTTCGATTGCCTTCCAATTAAGTTTAGACACATAGGTCACCACCACTTGAAAGTAGAAAAAGAAAACGGAAAATTAAGAAGGAAAAAGAAAAGTGATTAGATAGGTCATATGGGGAGAGGAATATACCAACAAAATGCTCTTTCACTTTTGTGTTTGAGATCAAAGCTATAAAGCGTTCGGGTGAACCAAACTTTTTTTCGGATTGCAAAAGGTGCTCATGCTGCTTCTTTTATCATCCATAGGGAGCGACGTATCTTGGAGATTTTATTCTTATGTTTTCTCTAAAATAGAAGTACTCAACTCTTTTTCTTTCATATATATATATATATATATATATATATATATATATTATCACCTTGTGTCAAGCACCGATAGCCAACTAGAACTACCACTCAATACTTTTCAATTTCATTATTTTTCAAATTATCTAAAAGTGATCAAAATTAATTTAATGTGATTTGTGTTTATCAATGGTGTTGGTAGAATTAAGCTGAATACAAACATTTCATCTCTGACATCTAAGAAAATTCATTCCACAAGAAAAGAATAAAAAATACAATTAAGTTGAGCTTGTGTCTGAGAGTACTAAATTGATGTCTTAAATATGAAATTAGAGAAAATTTAGTTAAAATTTTTAATTAATTTTTTTTAAATTCTAAATTCAAACTATCAATTCGATACTTCTAAACGTGACATTTATTATTATTATTATTGTTGAAAAGAAATGAAAAATATTCAAACAGGGAATTAATTTGTAAATTGCATTATCTTTTAACTTGTAAACTAAAATTAAGGGTCTTGTGGTCCAGTGATATTTCCTCTACTGTTCAAAGTAGATGGTAATAATTGAAGTTTCCAAAAGGGCAAAAATGAATATGTGAATGGTGTGTATTTTTTGTCAATAAAATAAAAAAACAACTTGTGAACTAAAAAATAATGAAATATATCTTAATTCTTTTTCCTAATTATATACCATTTTTTCTAGCATAGTTTTGGTAGCGTATTAAGAGAGGAGGGGGGTTTATATGATACAATGATATAATAAAATTTTAAAAAATAAGATACTGTATAATATGAGTGAATGATTCTTTATCTCAATTGCTTTTGACAGAGGACAAGATTACGATACAATGATATAATAAATTAAAAAAAGAAATAAAAAAAGATATTGCAGAATACGTTAAAAAATAATAATATAATAATTTTTAAAGAGTTATTAATGTTGTTGATGGAGGACGTTGAGGGTGCTAGTGATTTTGCTTCAATTGTGAAGAGTGAAGACATCAGGCAGTGACTTAGCGCCATATCAAGGCCCTACTTAAATTGATAAGAGCGAAGACTATGCCTTTATAAATAATAGAGAAAATACTCTCCAGCGAATCAAAATTTTAAAATTTTTGTACATCTTGGGCAAAAGTTAAATTCCCGGAATATTCCCAAATAAAATAAAAATAAAAAAAAATAAAAAAAAAAGACTAGAAAGCTAATGTCATCTAGTTTCATCATCGATAAAAACCATTGGTTTTTTTTCGGAAAATATAAAAACCATTGGTTGATGAAGCTCTCTAAGTTCGGAAATCATCAGGTAGCAAAAAGAAAGTGTCAAGCTGTAATGCAGAATTTATCTTGTTCAGTTTGGGAAAAATAATAATTTTATGTAGATAATTTTACCATAATGTACATATAAAATCATATAAATTTAATTTGTCCAAAAACTAATTGATCATTTTTTTTTTTTTTTAACAAATAACCCAGTAGACAAAAAGCAAACACAAGTGAGCATGGAATTTCAGCTATTAAATGAATAAACAAAAATGTAATTCGGAGTCCAATAATTTTTTTTTTTTACAAGACAAGAAGAGTTAGAAATTAGATTAATAAGTGCAAATAGTCGAAACCTGACACTCTCAAAATTCACCGGAGACACTAACTACTGGATTATCGAGGCATCTACTCAAAGTCCAATAATTTATAAGTCATAACACAAGCTATTATTGTTATCGTCATTCTTGACCATGATTTTTTTCAAATTTTCGTATACAATAAATTAAATCAAATTACAACACCTTGACTTAATACTCTAAATTTAATAAAGGTAACAACACAATTATTTTTAAGTTTATCATACCAAACTTGAAATATCGGTGTTACACTTTTATTTAATTTGTTGTAATTTTATTTTTATTTTTTATAAAATAATAAATGTTAAAAGTTAAATTAATAGATGTAAAAAGTCTAAATTTAAAATAAATTTAGATTAATAGATTGTTGTAATAAAGACTCCAAACTATTATTTCGAAGATGTGAAACATTTAATGTGTTGCAAAAAATAAAATAAATAATAATAATAATAAAGGCAGAATATCCGGTTCCAAATAAGATTCGGGTATAATAACTGCAGAAGATCCGGTTCGAAAAAAGATTCGGGTTTGTGGGGCTCACAGGTAATTGCACCGTTAAAGGTGCGACCCGCTGCCGGACGTCGAAAACCATACGTCACAGGTGACGTATCACTGTCGGCTCAAACTCACTCCAGACAAAAATCACCCACAAGCAGTTGGGCGTCGATTCCCTACGAACACTGCCATCTTCGATCATTCCAATAATCTAGCTGGAAGCAAAATAAGTAGTACCAAAACAATATTTCCATCCATTAAACTGTCGACACATTCTAATTGTACCGCATGTTTTCCGTGTCGGTTGCACAAGACCTTGCCCATACGGTTCATGAAAGGGCCATTATTCATCACAACCAATAACTTTTACCACTTAGTGGGTCCCAATAGATCCGAATTGTTTTCGTTAATGATGATGTAGCAACATCCCATTGTAGATGCACGAGAGGAACCGTGAACATGGAAGCAGAGGATTGCTATGGCTTAACGTGCGCCAGTCGTGCGCTTTTGTTCTTATACATGCCTAGTAAAATTCAATATTTTCTCGTTTTCTCCACTAGAGCTCTCTCTCTCTCTCTATGTGATTTGCCGGCATTCGAAACCCTAGTATTCGTTTATATCTCCAACGACGCCTTTGATGTTGCTGTATCCAATGATTCATGAACTTGAAGGTAATTTTTCGCTTTAATTTTGGAATTTTTTCGATCCCCTGCTATGTAATAATCTGAGTGCTTCGCTCAATTCTGTGGTTTCTTTGCCCTCTGTTTGGCTGCTGAGAAAACAGAGGAAACAGAAAAGAAAACGTTGAAGAAGATGTCGATTTGACTGCCTGTTGTACAATTCCCAATCTCCTATCCTTTTCTTCTGCTTTGGCAGCACCAAAATTTCAAAGATTCATTTTTTACACTAAATATTAGAAATGTTTCGAAGTATTTTTTTATTATTAACTCTTCTAAGTATTTTGTTGATTGTGCGGGCAATTTTTTTTTTTTTTTGTAAACTGAAAACTATGCTATTTTATTTGGCTAATTAATTTTCTATGTTTGCTTAGTTATTCTTAAACCTTATTTTAATTGGAACTTTAATTTTGTAGAAATTTTTTGTTATTGGTTCAATATAATTGATGAGATTTATCTCGGGTATCGATGTAGTTTAGTGCAAACTATGGATTTTTACTAGGTTTAGAATTTTAGCTTCTGTACTTTATTTGTTGTCTTTGAATGTATTATAAATCTTATATGAATAGAGTTCAGGCCTGTGGACTTGTTATTTTTAAAGCATGTTTGGGTTCACTCTTTTAAAAAAAATTGCTTTTTATAAGGTAAGAAAGGTAAGCAGAAACTTGTAAGTAAGAAGTGGTTGATGTGTTTTGGTTTTTGAGGAACAATTGGGAAAAAGAAAGAAAATATATATATATAGAACAGAAGTGGGATAATTTAGAAAAGAAGCTTATCAACAAACAAACAAAAAAATGCAAAATAAGAAAAGAAAAGACGATTTTAGAAGCAGTAAACAAAAAATTCCTTAAATGCTTTAAGTAAATGTTTTTCATCTTGTAGGGTGTGCATATAGGAGTTTGTTGGTCTGAGATAACCCTGTTTGAATATATTTGTTTCTGTGAGATTTTCGCAATGGTCACCAAGTTCTTCACATATTTTATTTTCAGTTGCTTAAATCTGATTGTTATGCCCTTTTATACTTGAATAATTGGGCAACTAGTTTGTACTATGGCATTGCACCTCTAGATCATATGTTTATGCAATTTTTTCTTGAATATGTTTGTTTGTTTGTTCTTTATTTTTTTTTTTATTATTATTTTTTTTCTTTCTTTATTTTATTGATATTTTCCTTTAATCTGGAATATATGAAATAGCGATAGCTTGTGATTCTTGCTTTCAGGAGCTCTTGTTGTGTATTAATTTAGGCTGCTTGCTTTGTTACTCTGTTATTGCTTCTTCAGCTACTTTGGATTAAAGGTTGGACGTTGACTGGGAGCCTATTTGTTGTGTAGATTAAATTAGGGAAAAGAATTATGTCATAGACCCATTGTCCATCTTTTATTGGTCAGTCTGTATCTTGGACAATGTAAGCTCACTTTGAAGAATGTGTATCTTGGTCGTTGTTACTTTTGGTGGTCTTTCTTTTTGGCGGACTCCTCTTCCGGTTCTATTGATCAGAAGCATCCAGCAGTGCCGTGCAAATTATGGATTTTAATTATTGCTGATTTTGATTTTGGAAATTTTTTATTTTTCAGGTTTGTGTTTTATGCTGAGTCTGATAAGTATGCTTACGTTGTCTGAATTCATACCTATTGAAATTCATCAGCAATAATGCAGGATGTTGAACTTGAGAAGTTAATCCAATCATTTTGTTATTCTTCTGTTGGAAAATTCTTATATTCAATTTGTGTATCCTTCCATCTAGCATACTATCACCTACTAATGAATGTATATTTGCTTTGAAACAGGATGACTGACAGGTGACAGCCAGAATGTTATTGCAAAGGATATGAGTTGTTTACAAAACATATTTTCCTGCTGCTCATGATTTGGTCAAGTCATTTTTTTAACTGGGAGAATGGATCGTTGTGACACATCAGGATTTGTTAGTGGGGGTGGCCTGTTCTCCTTTTACTTTAGGGAATCTTGAAGCTATTTTTTATATTCTTGAAATTCTTTTCCCGCCCTCAGAAGTTGGCTATTTGTTTTACAATTGTAAGTCAGTTTAGGTTAGAAAGTTGTCACTGTTAAGGTTACATGGAGAACACCAATCAACATTTTACTGTTAATTTTGCCTCAAATGCATTCAAAAATCTGGTAGGTAATGTTGATGATGCTGGAGCCGCTTATTCTGCAGTCACTGCATTGCAACTTGATTCCCCTGGTGTGTCAAGCTCGTATCTCTCAAACTCAAATGGAAGCGGGAGGAAATGGAGTGTCACTAATGGATCGGCGAACCTGCAAGACGGGTCTTCTCTGGTTCTTGGGTTGGGTTGTTCATCAAGGTATTGCACTACTAAATCTTTGGGTAAAGAAATAGAGGGGTCTTCAATCGATCTACATCTGAGAATCAACACCCATCTAGGAAATGAGAGGTCACCTAAATTGAAGAATATTTTTGGGATTCCAAAGACAGTAGAAGTGGAAAGACCTAAACTCGACCTTGAATTAAGTCTGTCCACTGGAGCTGCTGAATCTGATATCACAAGTGTTACTGAAGGGATTGCCCCTTTTGAGAATAATGCAGAGTCACGCATCGTAACTGGCACAGTTCAACTTGTGGATGAAGGAGCAACATCATTTAAATGGAAACTAAGGCATCTTGTGCCTCCATTGCATGCTTTGCAAAGTACAGAGACTACCAGTCATTTTTACCATGTTTGTAACCATATCGATCCAACTCCAGTTATTCCAAACGCCTCATTAACTGCAGCAGACATTCCAAGTCGCTCAGTTGGCTCTGCTCCTGGAGCAATTAATCAGCAACAGCGACACAACACCACCAGAGTGAAAACCTGTCAGTTCAAAGGATGCATGAGGGGAGCAAGAGGTGCTTCTGGCCTTTGTATTGCCCATGGTGGTGGCAGAAGATGTCAGAAAACTGGATGTCAGAAGGGAGCAGAAGGCAAGACAGTGTTCTGCAAAGCCCATGGGGGTGGCCGGCGGTGCCAATTTCTTGGGTGCACAAGGAGTGCTGAAGGCCGTACGGACTTTTGTATTGGCCATGGTGGTGGTAGGCGGTGCAGTTACGATGGTGGTTGCATCCGTGCGGCAAGAGGGAAGTCTGGCTTGTGCATCCGACATGGGGGTGGCAAGAGGTGTAAGATGGAAACTTGCAGCAAGAGTGCTGAGGGCATTTCTGGCCTCTGCATCTCCCATGGCGGTGGCCGTCGATGCCAGTATCCTGAGTGTAAAAAAGGTGCTCAAGGGAGTACAATGTTTTGCAAAGCGCATGGTGGGGGAAAAAGATGCACCTTTCTAGGTTGCACAAAAGGTGCAGAGGGGAGCACACCATTCTGTAAAGGCCACGGTGGAGGGAAAAGGTGTACATTTGAAGGAGGCTGCGCGAAGAGTGTGCATGGAGGCACCTTGTTTTGTGTTAATCATGGTGGGGGCAAGAGATGTGCCGCACCTGAATGCACTAAGAGTGCAAGGGGACGGACCGACTTTTGTGTTCGTCATGGCGGAGGGAAAAGGTGTAAATTTGAAGGATGTGGGAAGAGTGCTCAAGGCAGCACCGACTTTTGCAAGGCACATGGTGGAGGTAAATGGTGCTCTTGGGGTCGGTTAGGGTCAGAGTTTGGTGCCCAGGCTGCTGCTCCTTGTGACAAGATTGCTAGGGGGAAATCTGGCCTGTGTGCTTTCCACAACACACAGGTGCAAGACAAGCAGATCCATGGTGGTGGCTTAATGGGTCCTATACTGCAAGATCCACAATCCAGCACATTACAGAAGATGAAAGGGATTGTTACTGCTGGAAATAACAGTATTGATGGCATAGGCGGGGTGTCAATTGATACGAGGATTTCCATGCAGATTCCTTCCCGGGAGAATTTTGCTGCTGAAAATGGTGGTTTAGTTCAATTTTCACTTCCAGAAGGTAGAGTGCACGGAGGAGGCCTAATGGCAATGCTTAGAGGCAGTCCTAGCTTTGTAGCAAGCAACAATAACCAAGTAGCTGGTGGCCTATCAGAGAAGGGAAAATCTTATACCATGCCTCTTGGTTGGATGTGAGCAAAAATTATGGGTAGAGGTTCTGAGCGTTGGAATTGAATCTTGTGCTTTAGTAGTCTATGGGGCTGGTAATTAATTATGGGTGAAAATGTCCAAGTTCTTCTCATATCACTGATTTGCATGGATAGAAGCCATTTGCACGAAACCCTTATAAAACAAGAAGGGAAAAGCAGGGTAGGAAATGCACAGAGTTTGTTCAAGTGTCTCTCTCCTGTAAATATTCATATCACTTAGCTTTTCTCATCTCATTAATTTGCACAGTTAGGAGTCATTTGCTTGGAACCCTTGTGATACATCATGGAAAAGCAGATAGGGAAACGAATAAAGTCGTACATGGTCGGGTTGTTCAAATGTTTCTCCTATAAATCATATCGTGGAAGCTTTTTCTTTCTCACCATTGTGATACAGTAAAGAAAATCATTTAGGGAATGAATAAAGCATTCATAGTTGGGTTGTTTGTGTTTCTCCTGTAAATGTTGTTCATACCATTAATCAGAGAATGTAATAGATACGTTTCTTGTCTCTGTCACCAGTCTCATAGTTCTATTAATAACAGTAATGTTTACTACAATTATGTGCTTGAAACTCAAGAATCGTTATTTTGCTTGTATGGTATCCATCTTATTATGTTCCAAGAGGCAACACCCTTGATATCCTCGTGGAACATTTTGCTGTCACTATTTAGCATCCATTATATGACACAAGGGAGAGTCGGATAAAAGGAATGGACCAACAACTCATCCTTTCTAGGTCAATTTTCTATCTGACCAGTTTGGGGAGAAATTATTTATTGTGACGATGACATGGTGGAACGATCATAAACACTCCATTAAAACAATGTGGCCCTACAATAGAACCTGAGGTTCATTGCAATAGTTGCAATGAATATTTTCTTCAATTTTGGACAGAAGAGAAGGGTAACTATTGTGTACGATAGTGACATTATTACGATGTTTTTGGACAATGATGTTGTGTTTGGGAGCGCCAAATATGTGCTCCCAAATCCAAGTCACCGATTGGGTACTCCCAAACATAGCATGCTTTTGAACAATGATGTTGTTTTTGGGAGCCTATATGCTTCCAAATCCTTCCACCAAACAATGAAAAGTGTTCAAATAAATAAAGAAAACGACACTTCTTATTTCCTTGCGATAAACTCTTTCCCTCATTTAGCAGCTTCTGGTTATAGATTTTGTCTAACAATAATAGCGTATTAAATTTCGTTCAGTTTCTTTTACAAGATAAAGCAAAGAACTATTTGTCGTTAGTCACCTGTAGCCCCTAAATCTTGCAAATAATGCACAATACTTGCAACATTCTTATATCTGCTAAGAAAAATTGTGATAACATTGAGGAACAATTTCTTACCAAGATGAAGACACTTGGAAATATAGAGGATTGAATTACTCAAATGTTAAGAAAAGAAACAGCTTGTCATAAGTACTGCTCTTTCTCAGGATACCAGTCTTGCACCAAACCATCTAGTTCATATAAGCTCCGAAAAAGAAAATTGACAACCAAAAAAAAAAACCCTAATAAATAAGAAGGCACGGTAGAGAACATGAAGATATTCGTGGGTGGGAATACAGAAAGTACACATTGGATAAGTAAGTCGGACGTTGTTCTCACAAGCAAAAACCAGCTTGGGACGATCACCATAACGAATATGAACTGCTCCAGTTGAGTAATCCTTGACTTTGAGGGCAGAGATCTTGGTTATGGATATTCCATCTTTTTTTTTCCCCTTCTAAACTTTTCTGACCTGGATATTGTGAGTGGATTGGAACCGCCAGATGGGCTTTCGACCACTCTGAACAAGAGCTACCTGTTCTCCTTCCTTCACCATCCCCTGTTGCTGTACATTGAAAGCACCTTATTTTAGCGCACACAGACTGGGAGATACAAGTATACAAAAGATTTACTGGTATAAATTTGATGTTAAAAATCTCTTTAGGCTGTTGATAAATTTCTTTCATACTGTATAGGTTTCATTAACCCAACATATAAATTAATTTCTTATTTCGTAGGCACAATCCTTGGGCTGTAAATTTCAATTAACTAGTTCGGGACCAAGGAAAGCCCACTCTACCATGAAGCTTTTTTCTGAAATTATGCCCTACACTTTCAGTAAGTGACCTTGCAGCCTACTTTTGCTGTCACAATGAATCACACCAATTTATGGGTCAACTCCAAAATGGACGGGAAGTATGACTCACATAAGCAAAAGCACCAATGATACAGGATTATAAAGTATTTGGTCACACTGAAAAACAAAGATTCAACCTCAAACAAAATTTCTGACCGTAAGGCTCAAACCAGATAAATTCTCATTCCATAACCCAGATTCAAGGGAGTATATGCTAGGAATAGATGGTTGTGACAATGGCCAAAGAACCACCCAAATTCTTGGTTAAAGTTAAGTATGATGTACGATCCACATGATTACATATCAATGACCACCTAAACAAATATATGTGATTAGTCCAGTGAAACCTCACCTTCAAACAAACCAATGCTTTTGCAAAGGTTTCCTCGGCATCATCTGAGAATTCCATGTATATTGGGCAAACTCCTTGGTACAAAGCCAGTCTCTGTTGTACTCTCTTCCTGCATGCCAACCAAGTCCATTTGATCAGTCAATGTATGAGATTTATATACTAATTCTCTCACCTTCTCCAATAAATTAAAAGGAGATTTTATAAACAAATCAATACATAGCACGAGTACACCAAATTTTTGTGTGTTTATGAAATTGACTTGATTACCAAAGTCTCAAATCATCAGTCCAGACTTAACAATTAAGTAGTTCAGTAAGTTGTCAACTATTCAGTTCTTCCCAACATTGTCGCAAACTAGGTTTACTCAAACTAAACAACAACTGAATGAGAATGTAACAAAAACGCTCGTTTCTGGCACTCAGGGAAAGAAAAACCCATCCCTACAGAGAGTACAGAAGTTATGCCTGCAGCTTGATGAAGTCTACCAATTTCGGGGAAATATTGCGAAAGGGACAGACTTAACATAAACTTGCAAATTTTTTAAACAATTTGGAAATTAGCAACGATGGAGTTTTAAGTGAGAAAAAGCAAATGAGTAAAATTTGTAAAAATGGAAAATAAGCATACGTTTTAGCTGTTATTCTAAAATAATTCTTTAGGAATTGTGCAAATAACACAACCCTGTCAACCCTTATTCATGATGTTGTGAGAATTCCACATATAGCTAAATCATTTTATCCATATGCCATGTAACAAGGTTGTGAAAGCTTACGAAAGTGATGTAAACAGATTTTTGGACATTCAGAAATATTGCCAAAATTCTCAATTTGTTGAAGCTGCTTAAACTCTAAAAAGCAAATTTGCAGATTTTAAAATAACTGAAATGTTGAATAAGAGGATCCAACCACAAAGATGTATCAAGCCTCTATAAGATAGTGCATCCACATGTTCTTGCACGCAATTTTCCCCTTTAAATCCGATGAACTCAGTCAATAAATATGAAACTTACTCATTTGTGAACGCAAATATGGTGCCAGAAGGTCGATAATGACTAAGTAGGATGGCCATGTAACCAGTTTTAGTGAAGACGACGATCGGGGTTCCAAGATTGTTGGACATCATCGTTGCATGAAATGCGAACATTTCGCTCATATGGTTCTACACAAAACAATAAGCTTCAGTAAGTATTTGGGTAAACTTTTAAATGGAAATTCTAAAATAGAAAAGTACGCAGCATCATTGTAAAGTTGACAGAGAATCAACATAGGCTAAGATGTTAAGTGACCTTGAAGGCTTTGCCAAGATTAGCAGGCGTTTCACCACCATTTATGGTTGCTTCAGTCCGTAATGAGACTGTGTGCATAACCTTAGCAGCTTTCAAAGGAAACCTGCATGAGGGTGAAACCAGAAGGCCAAAATTAGTTTTTAAACCAAGATGCTACTTGAACACAACTTCAAAGAGTAATTTTGATTACTATTCATATAGGTCGGACCAATTTTTTTTTTTCCCGCAAGCTTTCCTCAGAGCCTTTACCATTGCCAAAAGTTGATGAGTGGCACAGAACCCACTCAACTGAGTAAACTTTTACATTGAAACTCAATCTGGCGAGTCATGCTATCCCCTATTCTCAAACCTCTCCCAATATGCATAAAATGTGCCTAGTGTAGTGTTTGCCAAATCCTTGTACGGGTCTAGAAGTAACTTACTTTCCATGAGCAGTTTCCCCAGAAAGCATAACAGCATCAGCACCCTCTCGAACAGCAATGGCAATGTCTGATACCTCAGCGCGTGTTGGTGTGGGATGAACGATCATGCTTTCAAGCATATTCGTTGCAACAATAACAGCTTTCCCCATGCTACGACATATACTGATTATCTCTTCCTGCGATTTACAATAAATTGGTGTCCGACTTTGGGAAATAATTGAAGTTGATGTCTAACACAATTGTGAAAAATGCAACTGGCAACCAATGTTTCCACTATCATCATTCTACTATCAGTAACAACGCATTACCTGCAACAGTGGAACCTCCTCAATTGGCAACTCTGCACCAAGATCTCCTCTTGCAACCATAGCCTGAGACCAGAACAGAATACTTACTTTCACTACGTAGAAAAAAGTTAATGAGGATACAAGAAAATAGGAACCCATTTCAATCCACAAAGCTGCTTCAGTTACCAATGGCCCTATCTGGAAGTCCTTGTTATCTATATACCTTTAAGCATTTAATGAATCCCTCATTCCTTGCAATGATTTTCCCAACATTGTGGAGAATGTAAAACACATTTCAAACCCCAATTAGCAACTCAACTCAACACCAAAGTAATCAAAAAGATTGGCATGAGAAAGGACCCCAACCCAAGACCTGTTTTGCTAAATCAACAATTCGGTGATTTTGCTCCAAAAAGAAAAAGAGATCAAGACAAGATAAAAAATAAGGTGATTACCCCATCAGATGCTGTAATAATTGAATGCAAATTTGGTATAGAGTCTGCACTTTCAATTTTTACAATAACATGTATATCTGCACCACAGCCTGCCAAAACAGTAAGAAAATGACAACTGATGTTAAAATTTGGTGTAGAATATAGATCAAATATGAATAAGTATTTATTTACTAATTACAAGAAATACACCATATATATTTACTTTGCAGATAATTCTTCAGTTCATGGACTACTGCTGCATCTTTGACGAACGAAACAGCATAAAAGTCAACTTTATTGTCCACTCCAAACTTGATGTCGTCCCAGTCCTTTTCTGTTGCAAAGTAATGCAAATGGGTATATTCATTTCACAAAAATAAACAACTTAATACCCCTATGCTAAGGGTAAAAAATGTAAGAGAAAAATCTGAAGGCATCCTGAAGGAGGTGATTGGTGAATCTAACCAGTAATAGATGGAAGTGTAGCGCTTTTTCCTCGAACATTTAAATGTCGTCTAGATTTAAGCTCTCCTCCATCGACGACTTCACATGTCACTGAATCTTCTGTCTTGGACTTCACCAAGAACGACATCATACCACCTATAACAAAAGGCAGGGGTCAGCGGTGCTTAAATATCACAGCAGCAAATTTAATATTCTTAGAATTTATAGGTTGATAATATTTGAAATTGCTTTTCTACAACCCAAAATTATGTTACACAGGAAAATTAAAAATGTAGAGAAATGTCTTCAAACTATATTAAATATCAAAGATAATCTGCCTGGAGAAGTTTATATTAGATTGAAACAATTTAATCAGCAAATTCCCTTTTAAGTATCTTAGGAGTGGGAGTATAAGGTAGGAGGCTAAAATTATCGTTATGACTGAAGCCCTCTTCATTATGTCGTCTTTATTGACAAAATCCTTTGGCAAAAGGATGTAAATAGAAAGTTGACGTTAGGATTACACCATTCTGTATTCCATAATAGATCTTTCATCAGCAGAGGTACATCAAATAGAATATCACCAAATAGCCTTTAGAGTTCTAGGCTACTGGACGTGGAGTTTGGCATGTATCTTTTTATGGTCTTCCAAACATTGTTCTAGTACTCCAAAAACATAATATAACTTTGAAAAATACACACAGGCACAAATACACGTGCATGCGTGCAAACAGAGAAAGTGAGGGAAAGAGAGAAAGAGAAAATCAATAACTTTAATGACCTTGAGATAGACAGACATGCATGGATACTAGCATAACAGCTTAAGTAGCTGTTCAAACATAACAGAGCATGAGAAAATCATCTACTTTTTGAAAAGGCAAGTAGAAAATAAAAGATTAGATTTCAGAAAAGATGTTCAAAGTACCCATGCTAGGAATTTTGGCTTGTCAAGTGACACTTCCCTCCCTCCCTAACTAAATATGAGCGGCACAGAAAATGACAATACAATGGATTTAAAGAATGCAGAATCAAGTGCTCTCTCTTCAAATGTTTATTTCATAATCAATTTGAATTATGATTATCATTTAAATATCCAACTATGAAGGAGGAGGGGGAAAGGGGGGAAGTATCCCTGCATACCATCAACAAGAAGCATATCGCCCACTTCGACATCATTAACAAAATCATCATAGTTGACGCTGACACAATCTGCTGCGCCAACTCCTCTACGGATTGTGAAAGTGAATTCCTGGCCACTTGTTAAATTGATTGGTTGGGCCAAGTCGCCACTCCTAACCTCGGGGCCCTGTGAAAAATAAAAAACATATAATGAGAAATTAATTGACAAATATGAAAATCAGTTTGAGATAAGAGAATAGCTAGCTAAAAAACATTCAAAATATGTGCCATCCCAGGTTACAGTGTTGGTATACACTTTCAAGCAGTCACCTTAGCTGTATAAAAGGCCATTGCTTCACAACTATAAAATAATTATGAGATCTTAATTGCTGACATTATATTATTCATGTGCATGGTAAAAACACTATATCCTGGTACTTTCAGGAATATACAATGTACAATATCTTAATCATTAATTTCCAGTCTAACTTAAGTCCAAGCCACATGCTAATTAAATAGAATATTAACTTACAAAATTGGTCTACAACCAAAAAGCAATTCATTGCCACTCCAAAATCAAGGCATACGGTCAGCAAGCTAGTTTCTTATGCTTAAAGGGCTCTCGTGTTGCTATCACCAATGACAGCTCTATTGATACTTGGAATTGAGAATTAAAGCATGTGCATGCAGCACACATGAAGCGCAAGAGTGGAAACCTAGGTGAAGTTTTGGGGCAAGAGTAACTCAATGATATTAGTAGACCCGGGGGTACAATTTTTGTAAGGATGGAACATCAAAATTGTTGAAATTATTAACAATACAAGGTGCAATTGATAAAAGGAATTTTTTTTTTTTTTAATGTCCGCTATTAATTGAGTGATGCAAAAGTTAGCAACCTTATTGGTTGCACAGCCTGATACTGTTTGTTATTTAGAAGAATATAAAAGTAAATGAAGAAACCTGCCTTTGTGTCAAGCATGATTGCAATGACGTTGTCTTTTGATTGAGCATTATATTCCTTAACCAAATCTATAACTTTCTGATGAGATGCATGGTCTCCATGAGACATATTCATACGTGCAACATTCATTCCAGCTTCAGCCAGCTTCCATATCATTTCCCGAGTATTGGTAGAAGGACCAATCGTGCAAACAATCTTTGTCTTACGTCCAACCGTGGGTTTAGACCACATACCCACTGATGTATCACCCAGATGCTGAATTCCCGGTAAATGCTGAATTTGCTCTTCTGTCTGATCAATAGTAAACAAACACAAGAATAATGACAAGTGTTAAATTTCAGTAAGGTTTTCGTTAATAAAACACATTTCCCATATAAAAGTTTGGTAGCAGAACTATCTAACCCTCATTACTGCCCTTCCACCAAGAAAATCAGAGAGAAAATATAAAGAAAAAATAATGTGATCGATGCTAGAAACATGTATAGTCCACAAACTAGTCTTCACATAAAGTGCTATCCTTTCCAGTCCATCTAAGTAGTAGATAAATTTTTTTCCATTATCTATTTTCGTTTAAGAGGAGGGGGAGGAAATTTGACTTTACTATTGCATTATAAAAGTGTGTTTTCTGAATTTAATTAACCCAATTAAAAGAATACAAAGTCATAGTAGAAAGAAACAACATTAACATTTCCTTGAGTTGAATTTTAAAAATAAGCTCCACCGAAATGCTGAAAAATGGTTTTTGGCAAGTGACAACACTACAAGTACCAATATTTGAGCAACACCATTCCGAGAAAAAAGTCCAAAAGCATCTCAAATTCAGGCACAAAAGCTACTGTAAACCTAAAAGGAGCAAATTTTAGCAGTGATTAGTTTCAATCTCTGCTTTTTCTGCATAGAATTGAAGTGTACCATGTAAGAGTCATTCAATGCAAACTCATTTAGCATCAAATGTCTCCAATCAACATTGAATGGTTCCTTTCAATTCCCAATTTTCCAAAGCATAACTATCAAAATTTCATTAAAAGAAACACAAAGCTGATCCTAGAATTATTCACACAAACCATAAGTAATAGACATAAAAATCAAAATAGAACCACAATTTAGAAGATTAAATTGGAAAGGGAAAAAAAAAAATATATATGAAAATGACAACATAATTAAAATCCAAATACAATATATCAATTCAATTAGCAAGTATATGTACAACCTTTGGTATGTCTTCAGGCGACACCGGCATGACTTCGACCGCGGCGCGAACAGATCTCTTGGCAGTGATCGGCGCGCTAATGCGAAACGCTCCGTGACTCCTTAGTTCTCTAGAAACCAGCACTTTGGGGGCAAAACCAGAAGGTTTGAGCTTTTCAACTTGATTGTGTAAAGATCCAGAGCTGGGGCATGCGAATGTAGTGTGAATTGACCGAGTTGCTACCACCTGAGCCATGGTAGAAAACTTAGAGAGAGAAAGAGGAAATGATAGAGAGAGAGAGAAAGAGGGGAAGGTTTGTGAAGGAAATGAGAGAGAGAGACTAAATAAAGAGGACAGCTTGGAAGTGAGGTTTTGCGTTTGGGCTGTGAGAAAATAGGAGGGGGTGAGGGTGGGTGTTGAAGAAATCGCCGTCAGATTTGGCGGAAGTATAAAGGAGGACGAAAGAGGCTTCGTTTGTATCGAAGAAGCGGAGGTATATTCAAAAACGGTTGGGAAAATAAAATTTAATATTTTCGCTAAGGCAAAATAATCCAAGGAATTCGGGACTACGACGTCGTTTGCGCATGGGGGTTGAATCATTACAAAATCAGGTGTATATTATTGTAGTGGAAGAAAAATTATTATTGTGAGTATAATTTTTTATCAGCATAATACATAAAGTCCAATTTTTTGTATAACACAATTTAATATAAATAATTTTTTGTGAATTTTATTAATTTTTGCAGAATTTTGTAAGACTTTTTTAAACAAATACTCCGTCGAAATCTATTAATGAATTTTAAGTCATTGCGATTATTTTAAACAAAAAAAAAAAAAAACACATAAAAAAAATTAAACCATAATATTGGGCTTTTCTGGGCCTGAAGCCCAAACATTAGTGGAATACATTAGAAAATGAGCGCATTTGCCACTTTATGAAAATAATATTGGGCTTTACTTCTCAATTCATCATTTTAGAGCACCACCATTCTCTCTCTCACCTTTTATTCTCCTTTTGAGTTCTTACTTACCCATTTGTCTTCTCTTTCTTTCTCTGCAAGTGATTTTCTTTTTCCTTTGTATCTCTTCTCTGTTTGTGATTTTCTTTCTCTTGTTTTTCTTGTGTTCACATTGACTAATTATCATTGGTTGGATCCACTATTTTCAGCAAAATTGAAATTGACTAATTACTATATTTTTTCTAAATTAATGAACAAAATAAATTTAAACATGAAAGTCAATTGTTTGCTCTCTATAGTTTACTTAAAGCATAATATAGGGTTTAAGGACTTCACACACACACACACATAATAATAATAATAATAATAATAAATTGTTGTGAGAATGTGATTCACACTCTATTCTCATTCAATGCAATAGCAATTTCAAAGTCAATTGCTTATAAGAGTGTATATGTGCGCAGTCAATTGCTTATAAGAGTGCAAGTGTGCATGAGTGCTTTTGTGCGTGCGGGCGTGTTTTGTGAACAATGTAATTAAGAAGGGAAAATAACAGTAAAAAATGTCCATAAAAACTCTTTTATATATATATGTGTGTGTGTGTGTGTGTGTGTGTATTGTGTTCGGAAATGTGCCAATAAATGAAGTCCTTTCTACTTAGTAAAGCACACCAATATTTGCATTATCTCTCTCTTTCATGTTCTACATATTTAGCTCTATATTTATAACATAGATAAATAAAATAAATTTTGAAAAGACCTAGGAAATTTCGCTTGGCAACAATAATGTTGAAGTCAGCTTTCACTATTTCCATCTACAGATGATGGCTTTGGCACCACCACCGGCACATCTCTGCATCATCTGTTGCCTTAATAGGCAAAAAGTGAGCCGTCTTGATCAATCTGTCAATGAGCAAGCAAAAAGTGAGCCGTCTTGGTCAATCTGTCAATGAGCCATTGACAGATTGACCAAGACGACTCACTTTTTGCTTATTAAGGCAACAGATGATGCAGAGATGTGCCGGTGGTGGTGCCAAAGCCATCTTTTGTAGATGGAAATAGTGATCGATCTGAGAAAGATCAATCTCACATTTTTGCGATCGATCGAACTTCACAGATTTACATCCCACGAATTTGTGTTCGGGCATTTAATTAGCTTAGAATTTGAGAATTATGTTTCTTTGCTAAAAGACTTTTGACCCTCTTGAGTCTTGAACCTAGCTAGTAGCTATGGCACTTAAGTCTGCACAAGTTAAAGCACCACTTCCATGATCAGAGATTTATTCAACTAAGTACTTATCAGTATGCTTCAATTCTAAATCCGTGACATACATATTTTCCAAGGAAGGCTATGATCTTGCTAGACTAAGTAAACAATGACATGTAACCAATTCTTTCTCAATTTTTAGTAGAGTGTATCACAAGTTGGAAATGAAGACTATTGAGAAATGAGTCGACACAGACTCCTTCTCTAGACCCGATGACTTACATGAGTGGTTTTGGAGTGTTGGTAATAAAATTATTTGTCCTTTATATTCAAGTCTCACCAGCTTTTATTCCATGAAAAGACATCAATATGTTTTGAACGTTGAAGAGAGAAGAATTGATACTGATTACATGAGTGGTTATATTCAAGTCTAACCTACCTTTTATTCCATGAAAAGACATCACTACAATATGTTTGAACTTTGAAGAGAGAAGAATTGATATTTGATTACATGAGTGGTTGTGGACGTGTTTGTAATAAAATTATTTGTTCTTTATGTTCAAGTCTAGATACCTTTTAGACCATGACAAAGACATCACTACAGTATCTTTGAACTTGGAGAAGAATTGCTACTGATTGATTACATGACTGGTTGTGGTGTGTTTGTAGTAAAATTATTTGTTCTTTATATTCAACTCCAGCCACGTAGAGTCCACGACCATGGTACATGAACTCTTTTAAAGTAGGTGAGGTTTTCGTGTCGGATGCACAATATTTAGATAGGGGTATGAAATATGTGTCTAACATTTTTAATTAGATGTGCACTTAAAAAGTATATTCAATAACTCACAATTTTACTTTCTCATTGCTTCAAATTGTTTAAGTTACATAAAGAAATTATATTACTTTAGAAAATAAAATATAAATATCAACTGATAAGATATTTAGTAGTGTCTATGTATCCTTTTATTTGAAAATTTGACACATCCATTAATGTAGAACTAATTGCTAAAGTCTTTATGGCTCGTTTGGACCGTCAGAGGGTCAAATAGACATACTGACAGATTCTCTAAGTTGATCCCGAATAGTGCATTTTTTTACTGAAAATGACCCAACAAGCAAGACTCACAGCTATGCTGTGCTTTAGGACCTCAAAACGGAATTTTTCTATCCAAAAAAAGCTTGTCGAATATTTCAAAAATTTTGTTCGTTGTCTAAACGAACTCGGATTGCACTCATATTTCATATTTAGTAATTTTATTTTATTAGGATTCTTTCTCTATTTTTTCAGAATTTTTAAAAAAAAATTTATTTTTAGACTTATTTTCAAGTATTAGTATCTTTCGGGATAAGGTTTTTTTTTTTTTTATGTTATGCAAAACATGTACCTTATTTTGTGGCTTCAAAGTAAACCGTTCATCGAAAACAAATTTATCGCTTCCACTTATGTCATCCATATTCGGATATGCATCCGTTGCATGGCAAAGACGTGACTACAATATGTTTGAGCTTTGAAGAGAAAAGAATTTCTGTTGGATGTTATCTATTGGCGTTCAGAGCATCTCTAATGCTAAAATGTCAAATTCGGATGCCAAATCCATATTTTGACAGTGCTACAGTGTTAAAATGCTACATTTTAGTAATTCGGCTCCAATAATGAAAATGTTATTTTTTAACATAACCGCTATTCTTTTTCAACTATCATTCCCATCATTCATATTTGGATCAGTAATGTTAATATTAGGCACATTCCAAATTAAGTTATAGACATTAAAAGGAACCTAAAATTAAACTTAATTATAAAGAATCAAAAATTTAAAATATTTGGTCAAAAAAGGACCCAAATATATATATATGTGTGTGTGTGTAATTTATATATTTGATTATATTATTATATAATTTTTTTTATATATAATTTTTTTTTATTTTTTTCGGAAATTTATATATATTATATTTATATATGTGTATATTATATATATTTGATTATATTAATATTAAAAATATATATATATTTAAGGCAAATCATTTCAGCCTCCCAAATATATATAGTTTTAGGGCAAATCATTTCTGCCTCACAAATCGCCTCCATCTCTATTCACTCGTTCTCAACTCTGAAATTGCCCCCCTCTCTCTCTCTGCAACTACAAACTACAAACTCAACAAGAATCAGAAGTTCAAAACCCAAATCTCTCAGTTTCCATTGCCCGCAAGGATTTCCTTATATGGTTTAGGCTGACTGGTGAATGCTGGAAAAGATATTTGCACATTCCATATGGCTTCGAATCTTCTCTGAAGTTAGAGATAGAAGTTAACCCTTGGATTCTTGCTTTCACTACTGACTGTAAATAAGGCTCTCCTTTGCGCATTGAGTTTCAGGTTGTACAAGGGTTCATGTTACTTGCAATCGAACACGACTGTTATGGCCGGTTCTCTCTCTCTCTCTCTCTCTCTGCAATTGCTAACTTGTACGTATGGGTTTTGTTTTAATTTTTTTTCTAAATCAACTAATCAAGGTTTGTAATTCTTGTTTTGCAAACTAAATCCTATTTGGTGAAAATTTTGATGATCTTATATATATATATATATATACATATATATATATATGTATATATATATATATCTGCCCCCCCTCTCTCTTCTGAAATAGCAGTAGCTATTTCTTGTGTTAGATTTGGCACCAAAAATGACAAAGTCAAATTTTGACAGGTAATATAACAGTCATTGGAGATCACAAATTTAATCCACGTGCTATATTTTGAATTGGCAGCTCAAATGGCAGGTGGGTTGGAGATGCTTTACATGGTTATAAATAGCCATGGGGGCTATAAGAGTCTTGAAGTTGTAAACAATATCAAAAGTCACTTTCTTATAATATTGCTGCTTCATCTTGATCTTAACAGAACTGGTCATGATGGCTGTAATAGCAGGTGTAATATCCATTCTTGTGCTTGTGGTGCAACTGCAGACTGCGGGTGGACTTGTTTCCGGTGTTGGAGATTCAAACATTAGATGTCTAGAGAGGGAGAGAAAAGCACTCCTCAAGATTAAGCAAGAGATTATAGATGACTTTGGTTATCTCTCTTCTTGGAGAACTGAGGAAGATGGTGTTGATTGTTGCAAATGGAGCAGAATCGGATGCAACAACAGAACAAATCATGTCATCATGCTAGATCTAAGTTCAGAACAGGCCATGCCTTCGAGAGGTAAGATAAGCACTTCGCTGCTCCAACTACGACACTTGAATTACTTGGATCTCAGTTACACTGATTTTGAATGGGCTGGTGTGCCAAACTTGCTTGGTTCACTCTCTAAATTAAGGTACCTCAATCTCTCTAGTGCTCTTCTTGCTGGAACCTTTCCTTATCAAATAAAAAATCTCTCAAGCTTGTATTCTCTTGACATCGGTGACAATGAAAATATAAAATTTGAAAATCTCGAGTGGCTTTCCCATCTTCCTTCCTTGAGGCTCCTTAACATGGATTCTGTTAACCTTAGTCTGGCTGTCAATTGGCTTCAAGAAATTAACATGCTGCCTTATCTAACAGACTTGAGTTTAAAATCTTGCGGTCTGCGTGATGCCAATCTGCCCCTTCCTTCTTTTTTTAACTTGTCAAGATCTCTTTTAAGCCTAAATCTCTCCTCAAATAATCTCAGCCCTTCAATATTCTCTTGGTTGCCCAATATAAGCACTAACCTTCTTGTTCTTCAACTTCGTTGGTGCGACATGCGAGGTCCCATACCAGATGCTTTTTGGTATATGACATCTCTCTTACATTTTGATCTCTCAGGAAATCTATTTGAAGGTGGGATGCCGAAGTCCATCGGAAACCTTTGCAGTTTACAAAGATTAGATTTGTCAATCAACAGTCTCACTCAGCCACTTACTGATCTTACACAACATTTGTTTGTGAACTGCTCTGCAAATACACTGGAGTTTCTATATTTAGGTTACAACCGATTCAGTGGACCATTGCCCGATTTTACAAGATTTTTATTCTTGAAAGAATTATATCTTAGTCACAACCAACTAAATGGGTCGAGTTATGGACACCTGCCTAACCTCCTTCTTTTGAGCCTTGACGGGAATAGTCTAAATGGTAATTTAATCACTAGCATAGACCACCTTCCTAACCTCGAATATTTGGATGTCTCTTCCAACAAATTTGAAGGTGTTGTCTCTGAATCCCACCTGTCAATTTTCTCCAAACTTCAATACCTGGATTTATCTTTCAATTATTTGGCTGTGAACTTGAGCTCCAACTGGGTTCCTCCCTGCCAGTTGAATACTATAAGATTGAGTTCATGCAAGTTAGGACCTCGATTTCCCAACTGGCTTCAGTGGCAAAAGAACGTGATTTGGCTCGATATCTCCGATAATGAAATATCAGATATCATCCCCAGTTGGTTTTCAGAGCTTTCTTCCTCCTTAATTTCTTTAAATCTCTCTAACAATCAAATAAGTGGCATACTACCGGTCTCATTGCTAAATTCCGCTGTTTTTGTTGATCTACATTCCAACCACTTCAAGGGTTCACTGCCACACTTCGCTGCTGATACTCGCATTTTGGATCTCTCTCATAATATGTTTTCTGGCTCTATTTCATCAGTATGCAACATAACAAATAGGTCTCTCTTCCGTCTAGATTTCTCGAATAATCTATTGTCGGGCAGCATACCGGATTGTTTGACGTCCATGGTAAACTTGAGTAGTTTGCGACTGTCAAACAACAAATTTTCTGGTGAAATTCCTACTTCGATTGGTTCCCTTAATATTCTTGAATCATTGAACCTCCACAATAATATGCTCTGTGGAGGATTGCCTTTGTCCTTAAAGAATTGCAGTTTGTTGGAATTTCTGGATGTTGGAGAGAACAGATTGTCAGGAGAAATACCATCCTGGATTGGGGAAGGGCCATCAGATTTGGTGTTTCTTAGCCTCAGATCAAAATTCATTTTATGGAAGCATACCCTTGAGCCTTTGCTATCTTACTTTAATCAGAGTGTTGGACCTTTCTCACAATTATATATCAGGAGCGGTACCATTTTGCCTCAGCAATTTCACTGTTATGGCTCAAAACAATAATTCAAGAGAACCCTTTATTTATGGTTTTGCGTTTGTCGCTTTCCAAGATTCTTTGGGAGCTTATGTAGAAAGTACATCGGTGATTTGGAAAGGAAGACAGTATGAATTTGGAAAAAACCTCGGATTTCTGAAGATGATTGACCTTTCAAGCAATAGTTTATCAGGAATCATCTCGGAAGAAATAACTAGTCTTGTGGGTTTGGTTTCCTTGAACTTGTCTACAAATAATTTGAATGGAACTATTCCCGAGATGATTGGTGGGTTGAATCAGTTACAGGCTCTTGATTTCTCAAGAAACCATCTTTCTGGTAAAATACCTGCAAGCCTGGCCAACCTGAATTTTCTTGAATATTTGGACTTGTCAAACAATTGCTTGTCGGGGAAAATTCCATCTAGCACCCAGCTACAAAGCTTAGATGCTTCTGCATACAGCGAGAACGCCGAACTTTGTGGACTTCCACTTGCAAAGAAGTGCCAAGAAGATGAAACACCTAGAGTGGGCTCACCATCTGACAATGAAGGTGATGGTGACGATAGTTGGCATGGAATTCCATGGTTCTTGCTTGGTGCTGGACCGGGTTTCATTGTGGGATTTTGGGCTGTATGTTTGACATTACTGCTGAATAGTTCTTGGAGATGCGCCTATTTCAAATTCCTGGACAACGTAAAAGATAGACTTTATGTGATGACCACAATTTTCTTGACGAAAATGCTAGAGATGTTTCAAAAATAACAGGTAAAATCTATCTTTGAAGACTGATTCTTTTCATTTATTCTTATTGTTGTTCTATTCTTACTTATTTTAACAGTGTTACTACTACACTCCATTCTCTGGCAGAGACTTTAAGCCTCTAGGCACCAAGGCAGGTTTTTCTTCTTCATATATGGTTCTTTTTAAATTTCTCTGAAGACATTGCATTCCAACACCTCACCTCTTTGCTTGAGAGAGCAAGTTTGAATATTTCACTAACTGGTTACTTTTATATCATGTTGTGACAAAATATTAGACAAATTGGCCAATATTGTTTTATTAAACAATTCATTTTCTAATGATTTGTTTTTCATTAACGCTTTACTACTAATGTATAGATGAGGATATCAAAATTGGCTTGGGCCGGGCGCAACCCAGATTGCTAGGAACGGGTCGGGTAATAGTAACAGATCTGAACCAAGTCTTCACCTATCAGGCCCAGGACCGGAGTATCAGTTTGAAAGCCCGATTTAAGATAAAAAGAAATGGGTCCATGACAAAGATGAGCCCAGAAAGTCAGGCCGATGAAAGGAGTCAGTTAAAAAACTTGTTAAATGTTTGTAACAGCCTGTAAATAGACTGAAAAAAGAGAAAAAAAAAAAAAAAAAAGAGTTAAAAAATATTCCAAGTGTAGAATTATCCTTTCCAAGTTATGAGAGTATTTTTCTTGCATCTTCAATAGATCTTCTGAACTATAAGTAGTTGAGTTCTTGATTTATCTACTTCAGCAATCTGTAAGAAGACTTGCAAAGAAATGGTGCACAGCTGTATGCAACAACCGAAGATGGTGTGCTGAAGCAAATTAAGTTTGATCAGTCTTGTTGCATAGTCAAAGCCCTGTCCCAAGATTCTGGTTTCTTCTGGGAATTGAATCTTGCTTAATGGCTGGAATTTTCTGTACTCAAACGTCAATATTGCATCATTTTCATTGTTGTCTTGTATTGGACTTCTTGTATGAAAAAGAATTGTCACCCTTGGTTCTTTTCTTTTCTTGTAATGGCTCAAATTTCATATGCTCGCCTTTCGATCTTCATTCATAGAGTCGAGTCACGAGTTAGGACTCACTCAAACTAATTAGGTTTTTTTTTTTGGGTGGGTGTGCGTGTAAGATGTACATCAATGTACATTCATAGATCCAAATCCAATGGACAAAACTATAGTGTTTCGGAAACGATAACAATGAGTTGAAGCAATGACAATCTACAATGGGGTAATGATAATCTACAATGGGGTAATGATAATCACGTCTCCTTATATCTCTCCCCAAATCATAAAGGGAGGAATTTCAGGACCACAACAACTCAATTCACATTGGTGCTCAGGGGAGTTGGTGCCCGATAAAGAGAGGAAAATAAAAGAGAGTAAAAATAATAAAATTTCGCTCGAGAAGTTAAAGGAAAAAAAAATTGGTAAATTGACATTTTATAAAATTTGGTGAGGGAGAATATATGCTTCCTAAATTTCAGGCGAGGCAAAAATAATAAATGACACACTTTGGATTAGGTCAGGCCTTATCATAATGACTAACATCTATTAAAAATAACACCATCACATATAAATACTTCAATGAAACACATTTACCCACAACATCGCCACAAATATGATAATTTCATTTGTGGAGGTGTAGTCTCTGCTAAAGATGTGTTGTCTCTGCTAAAGAATTTGGCCTTAGAATCCCTTTTAGTAACTACCAACTCTCCAGTCAAATAAAATAAAAAAATCTGTCTTTTTAGCATATCTCCGAATTCCCAATGTTCTTGAATACAATATCTTTACTGTGCTCTATGGATCATGTTGGTTGCAGAAATGAATCAGAAGTTACTTCTTCGCAACGGAGCCTTGGGCTGCCCCTTTGATGGTGGCGGTGGCGTCGCTTGCGGTTGTGTGGGGTGAGGATGAGCCACGTCTTTGCCATGAAGATGAAGAAGTTTGGGTTAGATTTTTAGGATGCTTTGATCATTTAAAATAGGTTTTGGGTGTAATTAAGTTATTTTATACATTAAATAAAATCAACACAAAGGTATTATTATCATTTTACATAAATATATATATATTAAAAAATACTTAAATGAAATATGAAATTACTTTTTTAAATATAAAACAAAGGTATTATTATCATTTTACATAAATATATATATATATATATATATATATATATATATTAAAAAATACTTAAATGCAATATGAAATTACTTTTTTAAATATAAATGAAAGTTAAAATCAAAATTTTAAAATTTGACCTAATTTATTCTCTATTTTACTCCATCAGGTCACCGAAAAAGGCAAAAGACAGCTTTGCCCTTACTATAAAACGACGCAGCTTCAAATATTGTCATCTTAACATGATGACGTGGCAAATAAAATATTAGGAACCAATGACATATTGACAGCACACCAAAGAGATAAGGTCTATTATATCTTTTTACTCCATCATACCACCTACCCACTTATTTGCGCGATACACAAACACACAAGCCATTTGCGGAGGTCATATATGTTCTTCGTTCTCTACCAACATAATCGAACCATCACGGGGACTGTGAAAGCCATATTCAGGGCGACCGTGAACAAAGGGCGGCAAAGCAATGGTGTTTTAATTATTGGATAATTCATTGTGGGAATCTCTTTTTTCCGATCACTTCGACACAGACTTCATGATATTATCACCGGTGAGGAACCTACCAGCTTCACTGCAAGCTTCAAATTACAATTACAGCTATGTTCAGTCAATGCATGGATAAAGCCCTATGGGATGCTCTCCTCTTCGCACTTCATCACAACTACTGGGAGCTTATAGCTCTATGCATCATGGTAGTAAAAAGAAGGGAATGAGCCCACTCCAAAAGGTTTTCAACTCCCCAAACAATGCAGCTGGAGAGCCTTTCGCTGCCAGCTCTTGATAGTTTCTATCAGAGAGATGAAGAAGATGATGTCATACCATGCTCGTCATTAACCATTTTGGATACTGTTGGAAACTTATCATCAGACCATTTTGATGATACACTAATACCTATTAATCCAGAGTTGTTGTAGTGTTTTGACCACGCAACCAAATTCTTCATGGTTTTGTAGATCGAGAAATGAAACATCGGTCTCTACTAGAAGCTCACAGTTGGAACAAGAGAGTGACATTTATAAGATGAGTTCAAATATTGCAACTGCACCGTTATCACAGCAACTGCAACAAGAATGACAGCAGGAGAAACAACAACAAACCCACTGCCACCACCCCACCTCCACCACCACCACCACCACCATCATTGTCGACGTCTAATTCACATGCCTGGAACTTCATTGTTCCTACACCACTACACACCGTGAAACCCAATCACCCATTGCCACCACTTCACCTCCGCCACCACCTCGATCACTTCTATCAGCGCCACCACAACATCAACCAATCCAACCGTGATGGAAACTTCCACCAAACCGAATCAAACCACCACCCCCATCCAGCCACCACCATGGCCGCCACCTCACCAACCACAATCTTACTTTATAGAAACTCGAGCAATTCATAGAGAATCATCAAACCCAATCGAACCCCACAAACCCGCCCCGTTATCCCCAGAAAGTGGGTACACCATGACAAGAGTGACACAAATTGTTCAAACACGAATCAAAATTAAGAAGGTATGTCCAGCACAAACCAATATTGAGAGGTATTGAGAGAAATGAGGCTGATTTAGGCCTTCAATTTTGTGATTGCAGACAATTAATACTATATTCTACAAATAATACATAAATAAAAATTTATATTAGGGTTACATATATATATACACACACACACACACACATATATATATATTGAACCTTACACAACATACACAACACAAAGAAGGAGATTGATACGACCAGAGCCCTGCGTTAAACAAAGTGCTAGAGAGAAAGTTGTCGATCTTTCCAAAACACAGCCTAATAACCCTTTAAGGTCATACCTGACACGTGTCCCTGCTGCTGTACGTTACTGATAATAGACAACGCCGAAGATATCGGTGTGAAGGCAAAACAAAACGTCCCTGCGGAGTCAACCGATATCAGACAACACCTCCTGGGTTGCCACCGCTTCGCCGGCGTCGACATGAGGATCAGAGTCAAAGGCGGTGGTCACACCTCCCAGATCTATGCCATCCGTCGGTCCATTGCCAAAGCCCTCATCGCCTATTAACAGAAGTATGTTGACGAGCAGTCCAAGAAGAAGATCAAGGATATCCTCGTCCGCTACAATCGCACCCTCCTGGTGGTTGACCCCAGACGCTGCGAGCCCAAGAAGTTCTGTGGCTGTGGTGCTCGTGCCAGGTTCCAGAAGCGTACTGTTGAGGGGTGTTTGGTTGTCTCATTACAAGTAATAGACTTGTTTAGTTGTAACCTTAACAATTAAGGGTATTTTTGTCCTTTCATGTGTATAAGGGCACTATGGTTATTTATATGCAACTTATGCACTATTACGGTCAAAATCTGTCGGAGACTTGCCGGATGGTTATTTATATTCAACTTATGCACTATTACGGTCAAAACCTGTCGGAGACTAGCCGGATGGGGTCATTGCAACAAAATTGTATAGTAAAATTGCATAGGAAGTTAGTTGCATTTTTTTTTTTTTTTCTGTAGTTCAAGGGAGTTTGTTTCTGATATGACACTAGTTCGGGTTTTTTTTTTTTATGCATTTAACCCTTTCTTTTATTTTCTTCTCTCTCCTTACACATCCGTAAATTTTGGCTGCAATAATGTTGAAGGCACTTTCTCTATTTCCCTCTCTATTCACACTTGTCTGTGTGCATCTTCCTTGGCACCAATAATGTAGAGGGTTCAAAGGATGGTCCTTGCATATTTCCGTTTTCTTAGTAACCACTTTTGAGTTACTGATTACTATCGACACCAACGGAGCTCCGCCGACGCCGTTTCAGACAGAGATCCAAGGTACCATTCTCTCTCCTTAATCTCTTCGCGGTTACAACCAGTAGATCTGAAACATTTATTTGGAGTAGATTTTGCTGTTTGTTTTCATTGTACACGGAGAAACCCAATTGTTTGTTTGTTTACGTACCACAACTCTCTCTTTCTCAAATTGTTTTTTTTTTATTTTATTTTTATTTTTAATGGATTAGTTAAAGAATCGATGTTTAAAAAATGCATCTTTTGTCTCCTAACCATCTTAATCTGCTAGTTGTTGTAATTGACCATAGAGGAATTAAGTTAATCTCATTGACTTATTTTTATCATTAGGTAATTTAGGTTTAATCAAAACATAGAGGAAAAATCCATTATACCCAAGTGGACAAAGGGCACAATTCACATTCACATGAAATCTGTTTCATCGAGAATGTTTCTGCAACTAAGTGTTAGGGATATTAACTCTCTCCAACCCACTCATCGGTCGGCTGTTGTTTGAGAGTTAAATCCCTCCTCCATCACACAAAGTGGAAGCATCATCAGGTCACATCAAGCATAACAATCATGCGCAACACAATAACTTGAACCTGCTCACTTATGCCAGAATACTACTAGCCATTAAACCCAACACTAAGAATGGTAGTGTGTACATTTGAGACCGTTAGAATCAAATTCTGTTATTTGATATGTATGTATTTTCTTCTCTTGAGTAGTTTTCAACTTGTTTATATATATATATATATTTAATAACGTCTCAATTTTTTTATTGATAGATGGATACACATGATCAATCGACAACAAATTTTAATGTCGAAGAAAATGATGTGATGGAGGTTGGGCTTGATGACCCAAAATATCTTAGCCATTTCGTGGGAAATTTGTGATGAAAAATTTCTAGATAGGTAATTATTTAATAGGTCCAAGCATTGAAGAAAATTGGTCAGGCTACCAGGTATACTACTTAAAAGATGGTTTCTTCTGGGATTTTCTTGATAAACTATCGCTGGTCAATCATCTTTAGAAGTCCAAGTTTATTCCAAATTCATGTCTCCCTTTCCAAATCACTGATGTATTCTCTAGATGAGGTCCATCTGAGTGTTCGACCTTGCTTACAATCATATATCAGGAGCCTTCCATTTTTTGCTTCAACAATTGTACTGTTTTGGTTCAAAACAAAATTCAACCAAAAAAAATCACGGATGTATTTTCTAGATATGGTCTACCCAAATGTTTGTGAATTATTATTATTATTATTATTATTTTGTTGAATTCTCGTTTTGAGCCATAATAGTGAAATTGTTGGAGCAAAATGGAAGGCTTCTGAGGTCCAACACTCGGATGGACCCTATCTAGAGAATACATCAGTGATTTGGAAAGGAAGGCAGTATGAATTTGGAATAAACCTTGGGACTTCTAAAAATAATTGACCTTTCAAGCAATAGTTTTATCAAGAAACATCCCTGAAGAAATAACAAGTCTTGGGTTTGATTGCCTTGACCTTGTCTACAAAAAACCTGAATGAAACTATTTCTGAGATGATTGGTGAGTTGACTTTACAGTCTCTTGATTTCTCAAGAAACCATCCGATAAAGCCGAAGAATACCCTAAGAACCCAACAACCAACTCAGGAGGTTACCATCACTCGGAATCAAAACAATGCGGTTCAAGCACATCAGAACACACATGGTCAATAAAGGTGATGGTGACCTCTATTGGTGCTGGACTGGGTTTCATTGTGGGTTTTTGGGGTGTATGTTTTACATTACTGCTGAATAGTTCTTGGAGATGCGCCTATTTCAGATTATTTGACAATGTATAATATTGAATTTATGTGATGAATTCAATTTTTGTGACCAAAATTCTGAAGAGGTTTCAAAACTAACAGTAACATCTCTCCGTGAAGACTGATTATTTTCTTTCCTTGTTAATCTCATTTTCTTATTAGTTCTCCTAACAGTGTGTTACACTTTACTGCCCGAGTATTAAACCTCTTGGCACCAAGGCAGGTTTTTTCTTCATATTTCTTCTTTTTCACGTTCTATGTTGACATTGTATTCCAACACCTCACCTGTTTGCTTGAGAGAGCAAGTATGCTAAATTTTTTGACTAGTTGGTTACTTTATATGATTTTGTACAAAAAATCAAACAAATTGGCTAATATTGCTTTATTAGCAGCAATTTATAATATTATATTAGTGTTTTGCATGAATATCTTAATTTTAACATCTTCGTGTGTGTGTGTGTGATGATGGCTGAAATTTTCGGTTTTATAGTGTAAAACGTCAATATTGCGTCATTTTCATTGTTGCCTTGGTCAATGACTTCTGCTATCATGCTATGAAAAATAATGGCCAAAATCATTGCACCACAAGCTTTTCTTTTATTGTAACGTGTCATATTGCATATGCCTGCCTCTATTCATTCATCCTCAAGCTTTTCTTTTATTGTAATGGAATAAACTTGCCAAATAAAACACACACACACACACACACACACACATAAACACAAAAAAGAGAACTCCATTCCTTACTTGGTCTAGAAATTTTGGGCATTGCATATTGACTTGGTACCATTAGTCTTCACCTTGTGAGGGAGAGTGTGTCAGTGTCCTCTGATACATGCTAACGTAGTGTTAAAATCAGAGGGTTTGGGGAAGGTAGAGAATGCAGTGTATTGCACTGGATGAATGCAACATAACATTAAATATATCAAGATTAAAAAAAAAAAAAAAAACTTTTATTTTAAAATTGATGAGATTGGGAAATGTTACTAATTTTCAATCTAATTTGACTGTATAAGGAAGAGCTGGATCATTGCTCTCCAGGGCAAATCTCAATGATCTGTGAATTTTGACTTAGTAATCCATATTTAAAAACAAGAACTAAAGTATAAAGTACGTCTAAACCTACCTCAATAGACCCTTTCCAACTATGATGACCAATGCAACACTTGGCTTAGAATTTGAGCTTTAGTTTTCTCTTTTAAAAAGACTTTGACTCTCTTGAACCTGGCTATAGCACTTAGTTTGCACAAGTTATTGCTCGACTTCCATTAATGACAACTTTATTTTACTATATAATTATCATACGCCTCAATCAATAATGATGACAAATTTTCCATGAAAAGGCCTATGATCTTACCGGCCTAAGCATGACATATAAATAATTTTTTTATTTTCTCAAATTTTAATAGTGTATCACACTACAAACTCTAAAGCCTAAACCTGCCCCAGTTGGCCCTTTCCTACTAAGGATGGCTTTGGCACCAAGTAATTGGCTTGAAATTTGAGAATTCTTTTTCTCTATAAAAGACTTTCACACTCATAGACCTGGCTATGGCATTTAGTCTGCACAAGCCAAGTAAACGAAAACATAAAACAAAAATTTTTCTCAAATTTTAATAGGGTGTATAACAAGTTGGAAATGAAAACCTCACTACAATAGGCATATTTGACAGAGAAAATAATTGCTATTGAGTATTATCTGGGCATTGCTTTTCCAGTATTTTGGTTTTTATTTTTTATTTTTAAAGCTTAATTAAAGAATGATACAGGTATTGCATAATTAATAAGTTAAGTATCTTCTAAAATAAGGTTATAACTAGCTATAGGCAGGATCTAAGAGTCCTGAAGTAGTAAACAATATCAATACTAGCATTGTTGCTTCATCTTGATTCTAAGATGGCTGTAATAGCAGGTGTAATATCCATTCTTGTGCTTGTGGTGCAATTGCAGAGCATGCATACTGCGGGTGGACTTGGTTCTGGTGACATTAGATGTCTAGTGAGGGAGAGACGAGCACTCGTCGAGATTAAGCAAGAGATTATAGATGACTTTGGTTATCTCTCTTCTTGGAGAACTGAGGAAGATGATGTTGATTGTTGCAAATGGAGCAGAATCGGATGCAACAACAGAACAAATCATGTCATCATGCTAGATCTAAGTTCAGAACAGGCCATGCCTTTGAGAGGTAAGATAGCACTTCGCTGCTCCAACTACGACACTTGAATTACTTGGATCTCAGTTACACTGATTTTGAATGGGCTGGTGTGCCAAACTTGCTTGGTTCACTCTCTAAATTAAGGTACCTCAATCTCTCTAGTGCTCTTCTTGCTGGAACCTTTCCTTATCAAATAAAAAACCTCTCAAGCTTGTATTCTCTTGACATCAGGTACAATGATAATATAAAATTTGAAAATCTTGAGTGGCTTTCTCATCTTCCTTCCCTGAGGCTCCTTAACATGGATTCTGTTGACCTTAGTATGTCTGTCGATTGGCTTCAAGAAATTAACATGCTGCCTTATCTAATAGACTTGAGTTTAGAATCTTGCGGTCTGCGTGATGCCAATCTGCCCCTTCCTTCTTATTTTAACTTGTCAAGATCTCTTTTAAGCCTAAATCTCTCCTCAAATACTCTCAGCCCTTCAATATTCTCTTGGTTGCCCAATATAAGCACTAACCTTCTTGTTCTTCAACTTCGTTCGTGCGACATGCGAGGTCCCAAACCAGATGCTTTTTGGAATATGACATCTCTCTTACATTTTGATCTCTCAAGTAATCTATTTGAAGGTGGGATACCGAAGTCCATAGGAAACCTTTGCAGTTTACAAAGATTAGATTTGACGTTCAACAGTCTCACTCAGCCACTTACTGATCTCACACAAAATTTGTTTGCGAACTGCTCTGCAGATACACTGGAGTTTCTAAATTTAGGTTACAACCGATTCGGTGGACCATTGCCCGATTTTACGAGATTTTTATTCTTGAACGAATTAAATTTTAATTACAACCAACTAAATGGGTCGAGTTATGGACACCCGCCTAACCGACACCTGCCTAACCTTCTTATTTTGAGCCTTGAAGGGAATCGTCTAAATGGTAATTTAATCGATAGCATAGGCCACCTTCCTAACCTCGAATTTTTGGATGTCTCTTCCAACAAATTTGAAGGTGTTGTCTCTGACCTGTCAATTTTCTCCAAACTTCAATACCTGGATTTATCTTTCAATTATTTGGCTATGAACTTGAGCTCCAACTGGGTTCCTCCCTTCCAGTTGAAAACTATAATATTGAGTTCATGCAAGTTAGGACCTCAATTTCCCAACTGGCTTCAGTGGCAAAAGAAGGTGAGTTGGCTCGATATCTCCGATAATGAAATATCAGATTTCATCCCAAGTTGATTTTCAGAGCTTTCTTCCTCCTTAAGGTTTTTAAATCTCTCCAACAATCAAGTAAGTGGCACACTACCGGTCTCATTGCTAAATTCTGCTGTTTTTGTTGATCTACATTCCAACCCCTTCAAGGGTTCACTTCCACACTTCTCTGCTGATACTCGCATTTTGGATCTCTCCCATAATATGTTTTCTGGCTCCATTTCATCAGTATGCAACATAACAAATGGGTATCTGTTACGTCTAGATTTATCGAATAATCTATTGTCAGGCAGCATACCGGATTGTTTGACATCCATGGTCTCCTTGGGTATTTTGCGACTGTCAAACAACAAATTGTCTGGTGAAATTCCTACTTCGATTGGTTCCCTTAATTTTCTTGAATCATTGAACCTCCACAATAATATGCTCTCTGGAGAATTGCCTTTGTCTTTAAAGAATTGCAGTTTGTTGGAATTTCTGGATGCTGGAGAGAACAGATTGTCAGGAGAAATACCGTCCTGGAATGGGGAAGGGCTATCATATTTGGTGTTTCTTAGCCTCAGATCAAATTCATTTTATGGAAGCATACCCTTGAGCCTTTGCTATCTTACTTTAATCAGAGTGTTGGAACTTTCTCACAATTATATATCAGGAGCCGTACCATTTTGCCTCATCAATTGTTATGGCTCAAAACAATAATTCAAGAGAACCCTTTATTTATGCTTCTTTGTATGTCTCTTTCCAAAAATTTTTGGGAGCTTATGTAGAGAATACATCGGTGATTTGGAAAGGAAGACAGTATGAATTTGGAAAAAACCTCGGATATCTGAAGATGATTGACCTTTCAAGCAATAGTTTATCAGGAAACATCCCGGAAGAAATAACAAGCCTTGTGGGTTTGGTTTCCTTGAACTTGTCTACGAATAATTTGAATGGAACTATTCCCGAGATGATTGCTGGGTTGACTCGGTTACAGGCTCTTGATTTCTCAAGAAACCGTCTTTCTGGTAGAATACCTGCAAGCCTGGCCAACCTGAATTTTCTTGAATATTTGAACTTGTCAAACAATTGCTTGTCGGAGAAAATTCCATCTAGCACCCAGCTACAAAGCTTAGATGCTTCTGCATACAGCGAGAACGCCGAACTTTGTGGACTTCCACTTGCAAAGAAGTGCCAAGAAGATGGAACACCTAGAGGGGGCTCACCATCTGACAATGAAGGTGGTGGTGACGATAGTTGGCATGGAATTCCATGATTCTTGCTTGGTGCTGGACCGGGTTTCATTGTGGGATTTTGGGCTTTATGTTTGACATTACTGCTGAATAGTTCTTGGAGATGCGCCTATTTCAAATTCTTGGACAATGTAAAAGATAGACTTTATGTGATGACTGCGATTTTCGTGATGAAAATGCTAGAGAGGTTTCGAAACTCACAGGTAAAATCTCTCTTTGAAGGTTGTGATTCTTTTCATTCCTTATTATTGCTGTTCTATTCTTACTTAATTTTAACAGGTTTTTTCTTCATGTATTGTTCTTTTTTACGTTCTCTGTAGACATTGCATTCCAACACCTCTCCTCTTTGCTTGGGAGAGCAAGTTTGAATATTTCACTACCTATTTTACTTTTATATGATGTTGTAACAAAATATTAAACATATTGGGCAATTTTTTTTATTTATTAGACCATTCATTTCGTAATGATTTGTTTTTCATTAACCCTTTACTAGTAATTAATATATATTTCTTTTGAGCTAAGTAATTAAATTATTGATTTATCTACTTCAGCAATCTGAAAGAAGACTTGCAAAAGGAATGGGGCACAATTGTCTGCCACAGCTGTAGATGGTGTGCAGAAGCCAAGTTGAGTCAAATTGCATGGTCAAAGCTCTGTTCCAAGCTTCTGGTTTCTTCTGGGAATTGATATCTTGTATGGTTTCTTCTGGGAATTCAAATCTTGTTTAACAAGTGTTTCTGGGATTCCATCATCCTTCCATGAGCCAGACCACGCAAACCCCTTCTTCTCCATCCCTCCACAACCACCAGAAAATCCTCAATGAACTGCAACCAACCCCTACACACAATTTTTTGAGCTTGTCGATGGTTCCCGCCCAGGTCTATGGTTGAGTTAAGAGTTGTTTCAGTTGGGCCACTTTTTGGGCTGCTTGTATTGATTTTTTCTTTTGGGGCTTGAATTTTACAAAAAAAAAAAATATATATATATATATATATATATATATATATATATATTTTTGGCGAGGCCGGTTCCGCTCCCATATTTATGCCTCAATTTCAACATTACGTGTTCGAGATGGAAAATAATTTATTCGTATGCAGAGGTAGAATTGCGTGCATAAGATTCCAATGCGGCATAGTGATGGGAGCCTCATGAGTCATGCCCTTTCTACTTGAGTGAGCGTCAAGAAGTTTAGCAAGTCTGTCAATTGGCCAACGATTATTGAATTTAAGATTTAAGTAGACGCAAGGATTCGCAGCAGTTGATTCAGTTTGTAGGAAGGACGCTTATGAATTCAGAATTGTGTAGGCATTTTATCAAAACAGCATTCATAATTTTTTAGTAACACTCTTTGATGCATTTCGCTTCGCTGACTTTTTTTTTTTAAAAAAAAAAAATTTAGGTTTTTCATTACTAAGGATTCAATTTTGATAAAATTTAATTGAATGCATCAATTTCTAAAATAAATAATGCATTATTATTGTTAGTTATATAATGGTTAAAAAAAATGTGTAGTTGCAGAAACTGCAAAGCAAATAACATAAAAACTACAACCGGATAGAATCAATTAAAAGTAATAATATTGATGACGTGAAGCCGTCCAAGCAACTTGCCATTGAACTAGTCTTAAGATTAACCTTACGGTTAGCTCAACTGGTTAGGCTTTGGATTTGCTCCTCAATGGTCATCAGTTTGAGTATCCACAAGGTTACTGGAGGTTTATCCGGTCGTTAACTTTAGGGTCTTGTAAGTTTAGTTGAGGTGCACGCAAGATGGATTGAACATCCACGATTATCAAAAATAAATAAATAAATAAAAACTAAACTAGCCTTAAGATTCCCAAAACAAACCCTGTGGACCCAGTTTATTCTGAACAAGTTCTTCGTTAAAGCAGCATTCCCAGGTCAATTTCACCACTCAGTGTCGGTGGTTTACTCACTTATGCTTCGTTTGGTTGGAGGGATGGAAAAATTGATGGAAGAGATAGAGGGATGGATGGATGAGGAATCCCTAGGGAACGGAAGGTGTCTCCTTCATTTTTTTTTGTTGAATAAAATGAATAGTAGAAAGGATGAATGGGGTAATACATTTTTTTATTTGATTGGAAGGAAGGGAAAGAGATTTTATATATTTTTTTACCAATATATCCTCACTGTATAAAATAATAAAAAGTAGATTATCCATTTGAATTTTTTTAAAAAGGTTAAAATTGAAAATTGCATATTATTGGTAGTTATTCATTTTCTCTCTCCTCCCTTCTCCCCAAAATTGGACGGATAGAAAAACATAAAGAAAGATCCTCCTTGCTTCTTCCCTCTCTTCCCTTCCCTCCAACCAAACACGAAAAGTCTCATCCATCCCTCTTCAATCGATCCCTCCAACCAAACATAGCATTAGACTTCTCTAATAATTTTTTATGAGTCGGCAAATCCAGACCGTTGGGCACCAATGACCTCACCAATAGTTTGTCCGGTGAAATACCTACCTCAATTGGTTTTTTTCCATGCATAGAAAAAACTCCCTCGTTCCCAATTAAGAGGATAAGTTTTATTAGTATTTTTTTTTATTATATGTCTAGTTAATGAATTATCCAATTTATTCATAATATGATGGTTTACTATTATTTTTTATTTTTTTTTTATTTTTTTTAAGTTCTATGCATGAAGATTAAATTGGTAATGTTAGAACAAATTTATAAATTTTGACTTTTTGAATGAAATATTTATTTTGACTTTTTGAATTGGTAATGTTAGAACATCTATTTAAGACAGGAGAGAATATGATAGAGTGCTTAACATTGTCATCTAATCAAACAATACCCTTTTTAAACATTTGTCATATATCTTACCTCCATTCAAATTTGGACCTTTCTCACAAAAATAAAATTAAAAATATTTGAGGAAGAATACCACGATGCATTAACAATTGCAATTTTATGGATCAAAAGGTGTATTTGGACGAACTTATTATCTACAATTATTCATATTATTATATTGATGAATTCTGTAATATTAACTCCCATTTAGAGAGTGCAAAGGGTACTTCAAATTCAAAGGATTACTCAAACACAGTCACTTTTGGTATATCTCAAGGGGTGATAACCCAAAAAAAAAAAATCAAGGTGATACAATTATTAGAATTGGAGAGCTAGATAAAATATAGACAAATTAGTGAAATTTTATTTGATAAAAAAGGGAAAATGATAAGAACGCCTTCGAAGCGAAAATTAATAAGAATAATAAAATGGATAAGTGAAATGATTAAAAGATGCAAGATCATAAATGAAAGTATGAGATGAAAATAATTAGGTACTTTAGCACTTATAGGTGAGAAAATTCGAAAGAATAAAACTTAGATGGTTTTGAGTCTTTTGACATATATATTGAAAATTTAGTGAGGCGATCAACAAGGAAGACTAATTGTAGTAAAAGGCAATAGATGGAGAGGATAAACAAAAATAACATGGAACAAACAACGTAAAATATCTTTTTGGAAAATTATTTCCCCTATTCAGGTAAAATATTTTTTTTTTTTTATTTTTTCAATATTCGGCAAAGGTATAGGTTGAGGGTGGGGTCGAGTCCATCGGGCAGGACGTATAAAATAACTTTTCAAAAATTAATGAGTAAGTTATTTTTGTTAAGTTTTAATAAATTTTTTCTTTCGTAAATATTTTACGACAATCAAACACTATAAAATAAAATAAAATAAAATTTTCTGAAAAATATTTTACATTCAAACAAACAAAGCGAAACCATAAAAAGAGAGTAAAGAATTTTATTTCACCAACTTTCGTTATTAATAACAAAACTCTACAGGCTATGGCGATCCAGGATAAGAAATTAACATAGGTAATGGTCCTAAAATCTTCCCTAACTTACTATTAGATCAGGAAAATCTGCTCTCGATAAAAACAACTCTGCTCCATGAGAAGGTATGCAATAAATTTTGTGAGAAAGTAAATTAGGGTACATATATTGACTCGATACAACTAGTCTCGCGACTTTGTAATGGATAGTATATATACTATAGAGTCCTCATGGAACGTTTATGGTGGGTAACATATATAGTTGTGGTTTATCAACAAGTCATTAGGTGAGAGGTTGGAGCTTCGCAATAAACAATTTGAGAAGCGTGCGTGGTTACATAACAAAAAAATATAATTGCCAAGCGAAATGCATATACAAGTATGAGAGTTGAAATAATATTAAAAACACATATGCAAGAGATGAATTAAAAACTGTACAAGTAGAGAAGAACAAAAGGGAATAAATGATTTATATATATATATATATATATATATATAATTTTCAATTCGTTACCCAAAAAAAAAAAAAAAAAAATTTAATAATAAAAAAATTAATGAACTGGGGAGAAACTTCACAAACTAGCATAGTACTCAACACACACATAGTTGGGTGGAGCGGTTATCTTTATTCCATAACTAGTTCTACTATTTATTGTCTAGAATTTCATCTGCAAATCCTTGATAACATTCCGATCCACTTGGAATGCCTTGACAAGAACATCAGTTGGAAGATCTGGTTTAGACCCAAACACTGCATTAGCAATGGTGACAATCCCAGGGTTTTGGCTGCTGAGACCAGACATAGCAACAGCATTCCCATGTCCTATATTTCGCTGGAAGTGAATGAGACCGACCGGGAACACAAACACATCACCCTTTTGCAGCACCTTTGTGACGAAACGATTGTCGGGGTTGGATGTCACAAAACCAGCCTCAATGGTACCTTCCAGGACCGTGAAGAGCTCGGTGGCGCGAGGGTGGTAATGAGGACGGTTGAGGCCCCCTGGTGCGTAGTCAACACGGGCCATTGAGATGCTGAGAGTGTTGAGTCCAGGTATTTCTGCAGCAGTGATCAGTGTCACGTTTGAACCGAATATATTTGATGTGTCGCGGGGCAGATGGAGTCCACTGAGGGAGAAATCACTGGCTTGAACCAGTTTTGGATCTTTGCATGGCCTACCATTCACTATCACTGTAATGACAAATATTGATATGGATAAGGAATACAAATCATACACAATTTATAAGGATTTTACAATAGGAGGCTGATTAAACTGAAGACATTGGGCTGTTTGATTTAATTTTCTAAAAACAATTTTTTTTTTCTTTTCAAAAAACTGTTTTATGAGAACTCCGTTATAAAAAAGTCTATTTTTAGATAATTGTCTCTTATAGATATCTAAAAACAGTTTTTTTTTTAATTCTTAAGGACTGTTTTCATAATTACAAACCAATCAAATTTCTGTACAGCTTTTAGATTTCATTTAAAAATGGAAAACAAATCTTAAAAAGATTAAACTAAGTAGACCTTTATTGTCATACCTGGGCTAACGGTGTCTGCGACACAGAAATCTTGAAGAGGACTCTGGTCTGATGCGACGACAACGGAACTAGTTATTGCTAAGAGGCCTAACAAAAGAAGATAAGAGGCCATTATGACAATCAATCTAGAGGGAGGGAGAGATCGAGCTTAAACTTTGAATGAAAAACAAGCACAATGCTGCAGAATTGACTTATGAAAAAGAGAGAGCATATTTTGTTGCTTTATATATAGAGAACAAGGCAGGGCTTAGTCTCATGCCGTCACAATCATTGAAAGAGTCTTGAAGACGAGAATGTGTTGAAGCAGTAAAAGTGTAGTTGTTTATTCTATGAAGAGATCATGCAAGACATGCACATACGTCCGTTCCGTTAGAAACTAATTTGATGCCGTCAAAGATAGGATTGATAAGGACTGCAGGCTCAATGGATTTTATGGATGAAAGCTAGAATATATATTATATATAAATTAATATATATGTATTAATGTATATAATAATTTGGAATATATGGTATATCTAGTCTAGCTGACACTTTCAAACAATGCTGGGCCAGTACTCTGTTCAGATAGAGAATGTGCCTTCTATATGCACACACCTATTCGAAGGAAAAAATCATATATATATATATGCATCGATTAATGCTCGAGTGTTACTAATTTGACGCTGGCAAAGATAGGATTGATAAGGACTGCAGGCTCAATGGATTTTATGGATGAAAGCTATAATCTTATATATAAATTAATATATATGTATATAATAATTCGGAATATATGGTAAATCTAGTCTAGTTGACACTTTCAAACAATGCTGGGACAATACTCTGTTCAGATAGAGAATCTGCCTTCTTTATGCACACACTGATTCAAAGGGAAAAGAAAAAAATCATATATATATGCATCAATTAATGCACGAGTGTTGTCCCTATTCATAATTTTTTATTTTTTATTTAACTATATTAAAAAGAGATAATATACAGGAATCAAGAGAGACATATACAGCTCACAAAACAAGGTCTGAACTCTAAACAAAGGAAAAGCCATCCCGACTACACAAAAGGCTAACAAAATGAAAAAGACATCATGTTGACATTCAGATCCTTAGCACTACAAGCTTTTTAATAGAACATCCTCTAGTTAAACCCCAAAAGGTTTAAGAATAGTGGTAGGTGGTTGAAACTGACTGCCGAACAAATGGGCTGTGATTGATGTGGTGGCTAGCCATTACTTGTTTAATTGGCTATTACATGATCTGGCCTACATTGTCTCGGCCAATCACATACATTAGTTATTTATGTAATTTTGCCATACACACACACACACATATGCTTATGCAATTGTGTAGTCCCAAATCATAAATATTAATTTCTCAACCTAGTTAACCTCGCCTGTTTGATTTTTTAATTCAGCGCTGAATGCAGAACACGGTAAGTGATTTTTAAGAATAAGTTTGTTTAATAAAATTTTAGAACACCGCGTAACACGATAAGTACAATTTTAAGCGTGGAAAATGTTACTTATTGCAAAGGACGGTAAGTGACTGTGTTTGAAAAATTAACTTTTTAATAACTACTTTACCCTCGTACAATCGCATTCTCTTTCTTTTAGGGTTTCTCTCTGTGATTTCTCTAGGGTCTCTCTACAATTTTTTTTTTTAGATCACGGTAGTTTGGTTGCTTGTTGTTGCTAATGAAAATGAATAATAATTCTTTTTCACTTTCCTTAATTTTTGTAATACCTTTTTCAATAGCCTACATAAAATATTATACAATTCAAAACACATATATTTTAAATTTAACTTTCTTTAATTTATGTAATATCATACCTACATAAATATTATGTAATTAAAACCCATATATTTAAAATTTCCATCACTTATTTATATAATATAATTTTATTCTTAAATAAGAATTCCTTTTCAAATATTTAATTAAATCTTTGTAACACCCTTTTCAATACCCTACCTAAATATAATTCAATCAAAAACTCATATATTTAAAATTTTACTTTCTTTAATCTTTGTAACACTCTTTTTGATGCCATATATAAATATTATGTAATACAAACTCTATATATTTTAAAATTTTAAATTTATTTAATTCATTGAGTGAATGTGGTTGTTTTATTAATATTTTTGTATTATAAATATAAAAATGTTATGAATTTTGATATTGAGGGCAAAAATGCAATATGTACAACTTTCAGACTTTAATTTTTTTATATAACAAATAATCTTAATGAATTCAGCGCTTAAAATTAAAACGATATTAAACAAGTTTTCAAATTAATACATTCAGCACTTAAAAGTTTCAGCGCTTAAAATTTAATACGATAAATTTTCAGCGCTTAATTTTCTTTTAGACCTTTTGACTTGATCTTAAGTCATATGTTTGACTAAGCCAAAATGGATGGACTCCTTTTGCATGTGCCATAAAAATTAAATTGTAGGTTTTTTTTTTTCATCAAAATTGTAGTTTAACAATCTAGTTTTAAGTTTTTGTGGGACAAATGGATGTGTTTCTTACTAAGTTAAAAATAATAAAATAAATAAATAATCATTTTATGGTTCATCATTTGATTTGCATAATTAACCAAAGAGAAATGATTTTTACACTGACTTGTTACAATGAATTGCTACATTTATTGTTTTTAATTGATCATCTATTTCATAAATAAATGAATGGACACACTCACTTTTTTGTATTTTGCATAAATAATTCATCAAAAGTAAGTCGGTTAGGCAACTCATATAAATCTTCGGTATAAGAATTATTATTCTTGACAAAATAATATCACATAAATGGATGTCAAATTTTCATAGCTCAGTCGGTCAGAGCACCTGTAAAAAATGGACAAGGAACCTCTCCAGCGTTGGAGAGGTCCAGCACATAATTGAGTGGTTGAGATTGCATCATCATTATTGGGTTTATTTATCAATTCAATCTTCAATCACTAAAATGTGTACAGAGCTAGAAAGGATATGTATCCGTAAAAAATACCTGCATGGAACTTATTATTTTTAAGTTCTAAAGAAAATTATTTCTTTTTAAAGTTGATAAATCTCATCATAAATGTTGCAACTGCTCACACGTGGTAAATTTAATTTTCATTTAGTATCACGTAACTTTATTTTACTTCAACTTTCTCCTTCTAATTTTCATTTAACCAAATAAACCTTATAAGAAACAATAATTAAGTGTTGAAAACCTTATTAACTTTGATTCTTTTATTTATTAAATAGAGATAACAATTTCAAAATTTTCAATTTCAAAAGTAGAGTTCATATGTTAAAATTGTATTGCAAATTACCATTGCGTATATTGGTCGAAAATTTATTGCCAATTATAATTCCATTTAGGTACAATTAGCATTACCATGTTAATATGGCCGTTTTGGAAAATCAACGAATCATTAGTGGGCGAATTGCATTCTGCCACTTGATGGGCCAGGTGCGTCCAGCAGCAAGAAATAATTTCCAATCCCCGATCTACACAAAACCAAAATCTTCAAAAGCGCGGGAAAATTCGCAAGGTTTGCCGCCACAAAACCCTAAACTGAAAACCACGCAAAATTTCCATTAGCAGCAACGCGCAGAAATCTAATTTTCTCTCTCTTTTCTCATCTGATTGTAGTTATCAATTCCAATTTCGAGTCCATTTTAATCACTTTTCGTAAACCCCATTTCAATCCTTCATAAGCTCTAATTTATTTACAATTTTAAGATCCAAGAAGGATGGACATGGAGGGCTTATCCACTATATGTGCTGGTCTTGGAATCATCGAGGAGGACGAAAATGGCAATCGCATTGGTTACACGAAAGACGAATACTGTTTAGGTATCGATGGAATTTTTTGGTTGCAAATGTTCTTTCAGTGACTTGCTCATTTTCTTGGCAAAAGAAGTGGAAATTGAATAATTTATTCAATGGATTGATGATAACTTACCTTCTCTGTCCAATTTATTGGCAGATAATTTGAAAGATCTGCTTAGGTTTCTGAGACGTGATGATCCGCAGACGCGAGAAGTGTTCAAGCAAGTTTGTAAATGGAATATTGTCGGCAAGGATTTGGTACCCATTATTGAATATTGCCAAGATGATCGCAATATGGTGTTGAATGCTGGTAGTTACTTATATATTGCTTCATTACATGTCTATGAATGTACTGCAAATGATGAGTTCTAGTGTGTGTGTGTATATATATATATATATATAAGTAATGCTATTAACTCTCTCTCTCCTCATTGATCTTGCAGTGAAGGTTTTGGTGTTTCTGACCATGCCTGTTGAACCCACATCCAGTGATATACCACAACAGATTGAGTATCTTTGGGGGTTGAAGTCTTCAATCACTCGCAGCGACACTGTTCCTGTGATCGTCTCACTTCTGGATAGTCCATTGGAAAATTTGGAATGGTAATCACGGATCATAAAATTTAATTTTTCCCGAATTTTACTGTTTTTATTTTTTCAGCATTCATGTTTTTGTTTGTGGAGTTATGACTGATGAATGGCTATCCCCAGATTAATGTCTGATTTCCAATAATAAAAGGTTAGGGAAGAGACTGGATTTTAATAATTAACAAATGTCTGATATTTTGTTGTTTGGATCCTGTGAAAATAAAACCTCATCTTTACTTGTCTACCTGAGCCGGCTTAGTGGGGTTGAGCATTCCTATTCTTAGAAACCAAGCTGCGCGCAAAATCTTATTTTCTTATATTATCTCCATGCCTTTTCAGATAATCAAGTGGTGGTTCAGTAGTATTATGTTTTAGGATTCAGTAATGCATTGGTAAGAGAGTCATTATTTTTTAATATAAATATATATATTTTCAGAGCATGAGTGACTGGCTTACTGACAACTGTATATCAAATCCACACCAGGAGGTGAATGCTGCCGCTTTTATAGACAGGCCTGATTGTTCAACATGAAGTCCAAATGTTAAAAATGACTTTACAAGTCTTACAGGGAAAACACACAGATTCTTCACTTCTCCACAGACATGAACTTTATGATTGATAACACTTCTAATGCATTTTTTTAATCTCCTTTTCAGTTTAGAATTGATGCTGAGCTAGTAAGCTGGCAATAATTTCAGTTGTTCAGAATTGGCCGTATGACTTGGAACAACTTGTATGATGTGAAATTTATTAGCAAGATAGGAACATTGACGTGCATTTGCGATCTTAAATCTGAACGTGTGATATTTTCACTTGATAGGAAGCAAAACATTTGAGTGAACAATTCATTTGGCACTGATTCTAGAGCCTTATGTTTTTAATGCATTTTATTTACCTTAAAAATGCTTCTCTTCCCCCAATAAGCCACATGGTCATGCATATGTCATTTTCTCGTCTGTCAAATTTCTGTCTATCCTTTGCTTTTATGCATGCGTAATCTTGTTTCTCATTGTCATTATTATTGTCAGTATATAACTATTTCATGTCTAATTTATGCCAAGCAGTGAAGCATTTACAGAAGATGACTGGAAGTTGGTCCAGCTGTTGCTTACTTTATTTCGCAACATTCTAGCTATCCAAGATATCTCAGTGCTGCAGAAGGCTGGGGGATCAGCTACACAGTTCTTGTTCCTCAGGGATAGATTTCTAGAACTTCTGTTCCGTGAGAATGTAATGGACTTGATCTTAGTTTTAACACAACATGTTGGTGGTTCCTGTGGCTATCTCCGTCAAGATAACTTGCTTTTATTGGAAACTTTCCACTACATATTTATGGATCAAGAGCCAGAGTTGATTTCCAAAGCATATTTAAAGTGCTCTAAGGTTGGTTTCTTTTTGTCCCTTCAGCATCTTTTTTGTAAAAATAATTGAAAATAGTTTGTACCATCTATATGACTATCACAGGATCTCATAATTCATGGATAAGAGACTATGGGAAAGCTGAATGGAACAGGCCTTGTTATGTTGGCTTGACAGTAATCAGCATTTAAAATTTTTAAATGCTTATTAGTTCTCTCTCTCCAAGCTTCTAAAATATTGGGGTTTGAACTGTTGGCTTTCCCCTTCAAAACTTGTAGTCAGGGATTTTTTGGTAACATAAATTAATATAGTGGTATTCTGATTTGCTTATTTATTGTTTTAATTCTTATTAGTTGTTGTTTCAATCTCTCATGCTAGCCATTGAACTAGTTCATAACAAAAACAATCAAATGGCATGTTTGTGGTGGTTTGCTTACAAAGAAATTTCATTCAATAGGTGGGCGGAGATGCTGAAGCTTCTCTTAACAGTCTCAAATCTATTATGGAAGCAGAAGAAGAAAAAAAGAAGCTCACCAGATTACACAAATTGAGTTGTTATTCACAGTTTAGTGGAACCTTTACACGGCTTACCATGGTATGAGGTTATTGCTGTCATAGATGCACATGACACATTTAATCTCTTACTAACTTTACTCGTCACTTCCAATAGGATGGCTCAAAAACATTACTCAAGGGGATCCCTTGTTCTGCTTCTGGTGATACCCTGCTCAAGCCTCATAAAAACCCCCGAGGTCCATTGAAAAGAATGGTGTGGGACCACGGAAAATTACCATCAACAAAGGATAATCTTCTGGAATTGCTCCATGATTTTCTTAACCAGTTTCTTTCAGGGGGTTACAATGGTACTTTTATTATTTTTTAATTTTTTGTAATTGAAATGAAATTCAAATTTTCTCTTCTCCTTGAATTTCATATAGTTACTGGTGCATGCTTTCACTCTGAACTCGATGCCTTTCAGTTCTGATGCAGTCAATTCGTGAGGATATTGAGAAGGAACATCATGCAATTCAGAACAGCGATGTTGTTATTTTCTTTCAGGTTGCTCAATTTGTTACATCTTTTCAATATCACAAGTTATCGACTTCAAAGGTGAGAAGTTATATTATGAAACTTGATCTCCATCAGTGTTTCTCTTATTTATTGATGTATGATTTTCTATTGTTGTGTTACTCCTAATCGATATAGGTTTTCTTTTTTAGTTTTATTGTTCAAATGAATAATCTTTACTTTTTTTTTTTTAGCAAGTTACTTTTTATGTCAATTGATAGTAAATAGTTGAACCTTGATTTGTTTTAGATAGTATTGAGTATCTGCTTGAATCAGTACTTGTGTTGTTTTTGAGCGAATTAATATCCTTGTTAAAGCTGTAATCAGGTGAGGTAGGTTCAAGAATATTAATCATATATAATATGAATTAACAACTTGCTGCTCAAATATATTACATTGATAGAGAGGAGTATAGCTTGTTGATTTATTCCAATTACTCTCCCTTATGTATGGCCCATAATAAATGGGCTGTAAACGTGAGCATTTGCAATAATTTTAGATGAAAGAAACAAGAACAATGCTTTGATGAAACAGAAATGAGAGTATTAAGATGGATGGTCGAAGTGACTAGAAGAGATAGGGTTACTAATGATAGTGTAAGAGAAAAATTAGGAGTGGCACCCATCAGTGAGAAAATAAGATAGTAGACTTAGATGGTATGGACGTATACTTTTTTTTTTTTTTTGATAAGTAAGACAATTGTATGGAAGCGCTCAAAAGGGGAGTGAAGTCCAATAGAACTACACAAGGCCAAAAAGGGCCTCTAAACTTTCAAAGAGTCGAAAAATTAACAATCTCCTCTAAAGATGTATAATTGCTCCCCGCAACCCAACAAAAAAGAGTGGAGATAATAGAGAACTTAAGCATAGAAATAGGATTCTCCTTTCCTTCGAAAGATTTTCTATTCCTCTCGAGCCAAATACACCACCAGACACACAAAGGCGTAACCCTCCAAGCATCCCGGACTTGGACCCCCACTGTACAACCTTTCCAAGCCTCAATTAACCCTCTGGAGGATCTGGGCGTGACCCACTGAACCCCAAACAAACAAAGCATCAAATCCCAATAGTCCCTAGCCATGGTGCAGTGCAAAAGGAGGTGATCCACCATCTCCTCAACACGAAGGCACATGCAACAATAGTTGACTACCACCTGATTCCTTCTCCTCAAATTATCCGGTGTCAAAATCTTCCCTAAAACAGACGTCCAAGCAAAGAAGGCCACCTTGAGGGGGGCCTTGGAGCGCCAAACAGCCTTCCATGGGAAAGGAGCCCCTGGCACCTCCGTAAGACACCTATAGAAGGATCGAACATCAAAATGACCCTGAGAAGCAGGGACCTACACCCAACCATTAGAATCTCCACCCGTGACATTGTATGGACATATACAATGAAGACTTATAGATACGCTAGTAAAAGAGGAAGATTTTTTCTCATAGAAGGCAAGAGATGGAGAGGGCAATCAAAATTAATGTGGGATGAAGTTATTAGAAGCGGTTTTAGAAAGTTAATATAATAGGTGAGATAATGTGTTACAGAAAACAATAAAAAAGAGAATTCATGCGGCCGACCCCATTCACATGGTATTAAGGCAAGGCTGGTTATGAAGACTGTATTAGTTTCTATTTTAATTGTTTTTATACTCTTCCATTAGTATTATATGTATTAATCCATCAATGGTTTGGTTGTAGGGAGGTTTTAAAAATGAAAACTGTATTTTTGCTTATGGTATTAGTGCAAATAATCTACCCACGTTAGGTTGCTCCATGAATTTTTCGGACAACCTTTTGATGCTCATTTTCCCGTCTTTCTTCATTAGATATTCTTTACCTCCTTCCAATCTTTTGGTCATATGTAGACTGAAAACAAAAACCAAAAAACATGTTGCAAACACCTACAAATCTTGATTTGATTTCAGTTATCTCTAAGTTGCTCTAAGATTGAATGTGTTGGCATTGCGCCATTGTTGCAATTGCCACCATCACTTTTATATGGGAAGCAGTGTAACGTTACAAACTTGGAGAAGGTTTGGGCATATTTTTACCCCATACCAAACCCCCCCCCCCCCCCCCCCCCCCCCCTTCTCTCTCTCTCAACCCCCCTTTTCATACAAGGAGCTTGACCTAAGAGTAAGCCTACAGGAGGGATGTTTCTTTAATGCACGTGCATGCATCAAGGGAAGATAATTCTTTATGTTTTCTTATCAAAAGAGTTCTTAGTTTTTATAAAATACAGACAGTGCTGAGGTATTTATTTTGTGAACTTAACCCTATAGCCAGGTTGGAAGTCAATTATATGTTTTGAAAATTAAGGCCTTAAAGCTAAAGAAGCTTTGAAAAATATAAAAGTAGCAAATTGTAAGTGCGGTTGCATTTTCATTGAAGTTTGGTAGTTTATGTTTGATGATGCTGTAGATGGGTGAATATCTTGATTGATATCATTGTATAAATCAAGAACAGCCCAATGAATGAAGGAACGCACTATGGTACTTATAAACAAAAAAGTGATATTTGTAGTTGTGCCAACTTTCATGGTGCTAAGCTTAGTTGTCATGCTGTGAAAGTTTGTGGGAGAGAATAAGAAAAGACCAGAACATGGAAGAAAGACTTTTGTAGCATATATTACCTAAGAAATAGCATTTTTTAGGGAGTTTGGAGGGGTAAATTGTAGGATTTGGAGGAAAAAGGAGTTATTAATTTGATGGGTTGATGTAACGGACGACATGTATGATGCTGTAGTAATTTGTGGAAACAATTGGAGAAGTGTGTTGATTGTGAAGCAAGCATTTGTTGATGTAATGGAGGACATGTATGATGGAGTAGTAATGTGTCTTATAAAGAGTGACTAGTATTCAAGGATTCTTGTTTAACTTGTTTGCCCCAAGTAGTTGATATTTAAGATTTTTCATTGAGTCGATTAATGTAACTTTTAAGGTGTACTTGATGTAATTCTCTAAGGTAGGAAATTTTTTTGCCTTGAATCATTTGTGATCCTTGAAATTGAAAATGAACATTTTGCTTAAGGAAAAACTATAATTTCCATCTATGGAACTTTTTGGTTTGCAAAATATGGATTTCTTTTTGCTGCTTAATTGATTCTTATTCAAATATATTGTACCTTTATGCTACATTACATGGACTCGGGGTGTATATCAAATTGTCGAATGAGTAAAATCTCAAACAAAAGAGGAACACTGCTAAATATTCATATTTTTTAAATTTTTTATTTTATTTTCTAGAGTAAAATAGTGTCTTTATTTAACTTAGCGTTTAATATAGACATTTTACTCATTTTGGAAAGAAAAATATAATAAATTGAATTATTTGATACACTTTTTAGGTGCATGTCCAATTAAAATTGTCAAACACATATCCCTTACTAATGTCTGAGTATTGAATGTCTGAGAATTGAGTGTCTGATACGGGTACCTCATCTACTTTCAAAGAGTACATGTAGCATAGCCTTTATGGTTACCATTCAATATTTTCTTTCTTAATATATAAAATTTAACTGTTTTATTTTTGGTGCTTCAACAGCCTAGCATTGAAGCTGACACAATTGATGCTTCTGTATCCCATCACGCTGATAGCATGCTCTTTGAAGGCAATATATGTGGACCAATTGCAGCTTCAATGAATGAGCCAATGTTCCTACTAGTCCTTTTAAAGTGGCGTAATGCTTTTGATGGCTTGAAGGAGACAAATGACCACAAATTTCTGTCTACAGCAGGATCTCTTATCAAAATTCTGGTGATTTAGGCTTCCACAGATTTTGATCTTGCATCAATTTAGAATTTTATGGTTGAAAAATTATTAGCAGCATTTGCTTTAGAACTGCATAGAATTAGTTGATCAAAATCGTTAGATATTTGTGAAATTGAATGCAACAAGTTTCTCTATTTCATGGCATATGCTGGTTGCACATCTTATATCAATAGCAGTGTAGTCACAGTTACCACCATTGAAGTTTTGTATTTTTTATTATTATTATTATTATTATTATTATTATTATTATTTTACATATTTAAGCTAGCATATTTTACATATTTGAGCAAGCATATTAAATCATTTGAAGAAATAGAACTCAGAATTGTGTGGTCTTCTGTTGCAGAATCTGCTGTGGTATTGCATCATAGGCAATCACTTGTAATGTTTTTTTTTGCATATTTTATTAAGAGTTGATAAAATGGAAAGTCTCTCATATGATGCATAGGCATTTCATCACCTTAATGATGTGAGAGACATGAAGTACGAAATAGAAAAAGAATCATGATGGTTATAATTTTTAACATAAGCATCACCACTGTAATTTGCATTCCCCACAACTTGAACGCACAAGTCACAACTCATTCCTGTCTTTAAACTCTCTCTCTCTCCCTGGTGGCTGACTTAGGCCTTTCACCATTACCTCAATTTCACTTACTTTGGACTTTTCCCTTTTCGGATATATTGAATTTGCAATCTCTCCTCCCATTTCCACTCCTTTTGGAACAGTTAACCATAGACAGCCAACGTCTGGTCTCGTCTGTTCTGTTTCTCTGTTATGGGGTTTCAATGGACGTTGTGTATAAAGATAATATCATGTATCATATGTCTATATCTGGTTTGCATTTAGTAAGTTGCAAGTTGTCCCTTGCGAAGATGGTTGTTTTCTAGTATGTGCGTGTGTATATATATATATATTTGTATATTAATACAATAATTGCCTAATATTCTGTCCTAGTGGAGTAGTTTGCATTGCTTTGTATCATGGCCAGGACTTGACACTTTACTGGCCACTGCACTAATACTTTTGATACAGCCTCCAACTCATTGAATTGAATCACAATGCTATATATACTGCTCATAAGTGAATCTTTTAAGCTGCATTTGTGAAATTCTCTTGGAAATGTTGTTCGGGTTTTGGCTGTGACAGTTAAGATACTTGCATTGGTATTATCTTCACAGTTTCCTTTCTAATTGGATATTTTTTACGTAGTGCAGATTCGCATGTTAGATTTAGTGCTTAAGCTATCACCAGAAGATTCTAAGGAGCCTCAGACAGCTCGTATCCTTCTTTACAAGCTATTTTATGATCAAACTGATCAAGGGATGACTCAGTTCCTTTTGAACCTGGTTAAATCATTTGACACTCACAAACAAGCCAAAAGGTTTCACTCTTTGACTTTGACAATTTAGAAGGTTTATTATATTTTTCCTTTTAAAGTTTGACATTTAATTCACTGTGACTATGGAAATTCATATCATACAGCTACGATGATGGTCTTGACTAAGCAGGGAAAGAACAATTGAATTTTTTGCGAGAGAATCGAATTACATTATGCAAGTCTCAGAACTGGATTTTTTATTTTTTTTTTAATTCATGATACTGGTCACTAGCACACTTTATTCTGCTTTGCAGATTTGATTATATTATATTGTTACCCTTTTGTTCTCCAATCCCCACTTCAAGCAGGGTGGTCTATGTCGGATTTCCTGATAGAACTTCATAGGCTTTTTAGTTTTTAGTAGCCTTGATATTTGTACAGAAAGTGAATGAAGTTAAAATAAATATATTTTTTTTATTAGAAGAAATAAAAAGAAAGCCTATCCAAAATTAGTCAACATTTTGCTCTGCTCTATATGAACAAACCATATCCATCTTTATCTGCAGTTGTTTTATTTATTTATGTTACCTTACATGGCATTTTGCCTTGGAATTATTGTAGCACGAAATCTCATTTCACCTTGAACAATATGCACATGATGAAAAATTGATATAAGGGCTTCTCCTTGGAATTATATTATTATGTACACACGCAATTTTTTCTTGGCTATATGCATGTGTGACATTATGCACTGATGAAAAATTGATACACTTCATATTTGCTAAATTGTGTTGCTATTGGTGCAATCTTCTTGTTTGTCAGTGATCTTGCCGATTTGGTGGAAACCATACATGTAATTGTACGACTTATGGAGAATCTTCAAGCACGCGGGACATTAAGGGTATGATCTGTTCTATTATGTGGGTAATTCTAGATTGGGGTTGTTTGATTTCTGTTACTGTTTCTTCATCTTATGTTTTTGTTTATAAAAGTCCAGAAATTGTTGGCACAGTTTTTTACACATCAAGTGGATAGAAATACTGTTACCCTCTATGAATCCTTACACATCAAGTTGGCCAGTCTTTTCCGTTCTTCTGATTTGTCAATTTGGTATGGCAACTATGCTCAATAAAGACTTTGTCCCAATAAGGGTTACCTATCACTCGGCTTTATCTCAGGCCAGTAAATAGAATATGGCAAATGGTTCAGAAACGAGAGACCTGTTGATTATCTACACACAGTTGTGCTTATTGTCATTTTTTGGTAGGTAAAAATTTTTGAACAGAAAATAAAAGCGAGTACAAGATTTACAGTGAAACTCATGCAGTGCAATATCAAATGCTCGCACATCCCTCAAAAGAACACATTTAACCTAATCTACCATAATCTAAAAGGTTAAGATACACCAGCCACATATTTAATACCGTTCAGATAATTCCAGACTCATTTTTAACAAGTTTTGAACATTAAAATGTAAATTTGTTAGTATCATAGTATAATTGTTTGAAAAGCATAACAAGGATTCCAAGTACTTCAAATTGAGATACTCTATGCTTGTTTATTGATATAAGTTTTTCATAAAGTTATGCTGTAAATAATACCAAACATGACAAACAATGATTATTTTAAATTGCACATATATAAATATATATCATATTTTGTACATATTTACATTAATAAAATATATATACATATGTATTGTTGTATCCTTGCTGCATTATTATCCTGTTTTTTGAAGTTGCCATACCATGTTTGTATCTCATATCCCTGTCCATGCTTCATAGTTGTTCGGCTTGGAAAAAGTGCCGCATTTATTAGCATATTGAAATGCCCCCCTTTTTTTTCCCCCCTCTTCCTCTCTTTTAATCTTCTATCTTTCTGTGAATTGTTTTCCTCTGTTACATTGGACTGGAAAACCCTTTTGCCACAATTGTTTTCATTAAAGTTTGAAAATTTTCTTGTGGTTAAGGTTTCTAGAAAGTCAAGGAAGAAGAGAACGAAGAAAACATTGAATGAGAAGAAGGATGATGTAGATGAACCAGTTGGAAATCATGTTACTGTTCCGAATGAGATTGGCATCTCTGGTTGTGAACCATCTGTAGATCTGAGCATGTCAAAAAAGGAGAAGTCAACAAATTCAAGTCCTGATGGGAAAGGAGAGGAAACTCATTATCACCTTATTGAGCCTGAAACATCTGATAAGAATGTGGCAGTACTCGGGAACAACTTGCCAGAGATGGAAAACAAAAATTCTGATCATGTTGCTGTTCCAAATGAGATTGGCATCTCTGGTTGTGAACCATCTGTAGATCTGAGCATGTTACAAAAGGAGAAGTCAACAAATACAAGTTCTAATGGGGAAGGAGAGGACATTCATTATCACCTTAATGAACCTGAAACATCTGATAAGAATGTGGCAGTACTCGGGAACAAATTGCCAGAGATGGAAAACAAAAAATCCGTTCATGATAATGATGATCCCTATTATGGAACAGACAATTCTTCTGGTGATGAGCAGCTAGCTATGACGGATGAAGTTGATTTTAAGGTATCTTCTTTGGTATCTGCCCTTGCAAACAACAACATTATTCAAAATTTGTGTTGGTTGCTGAAGTTTTATAAAAGCAATTCTACCAGTACAAATCACTACATCATTTCTATGTTAAGGAGAATCTGTGATGAACTGGAGCTTTCTCCAATGCTATATCAGGTAAAATTTGAAAGGATTTTTTTTTTAGAATTACTTAAAATTAAAGTTGTAAATTTATTTCACATGTATATTTTTGCTGAAAAACTCTGCAGCTATCACACCTCACCACATTCTACAATATCCTGGCTGAGCAGCAGTCATGTCCGTGCAAGGAATATGAGAATATTGTTGTATTTCTGAAAAGTTTGGTTAGGAGGATGATGAGGAAAATGAAAAGTCAACCCCTTCTTTTTGTGGAAGTACTCTTCTTGAAGACACGTAAAGAATGCCATTACATCAACTGCGAATCTTTACTGCATGAGCTAGGTGATTTGAAGAAAGAAAGCAGAAAATGGGGAAGTCATTCTAAAGACGACGAAGTTGGTTCATCTCAAGGGAAAGGATGGGTCCCCAGAAGCATTGGAGATGCACTTGGAGATGATGAAGCTGATTTTGTTTTCTCTCATGAGATAGATGAGCAAAAGTAAGACTTACTGATTCTGAAGTAATAAATCTAAGTAAAAGTAACACTAAAATTTTAGTTACAATGTTATTGTGATTCTAGCATCTTGCTGGTGTCCAGCTATTCAGGGGGGAAGATTCTTTTTATTTAAACACAAACACAACCATATATAGTTTTTTTTTTTAATTTCCCTTGGTTGTGTAGAATAGAAAACCAATTAATGATTGTAATTTCTTAATAAATTTAAGAAAAATGAACTGGAATGTCTGACTTGGTTAAGGATTTTATTTTGTTGCTTCTGGTTGTTACAGTGAGGGAAATTCTGTCGAACATGAGCTTGAAAGGGTACCTAAAAGAAGTAAAAGCCTTGTTCTCAATGATGAGCTGGAAGGAAAAATTATAGATCTTTATGAAAAGTAAGTTTCCTTTGATGCATCTGTCCTATATTTACCAGGATTTATTTATGAAAAAGCCTTGTTGAGTTATGTTTCTTCATGAAAGAACCTACAGTTATTGAATGCTATTGTCCATCATTACTTTAATATGCTTTAAGTTATTCTGGGCTTGCTCTTTGAACTTTGAAGTACTATGTGGATTTCATTGTAGACGTGCTCTTTAGAGACTGTACTGTATATAGACTTGCTGTTGAGCACGACTTTATAAAGATGTAGTGGTTGTAGACTTATATTTTAGCTTTTGTTCTTTTGTTAAGCTATGTTTGTACAGTTGTACAGGTTCATTTTACTTTTGTCCTGCATGTTTGACAAACATGACCATTCTAGGTACAAAGATAATCAGTACTGCAGTAGACTTATTGCGGAAGCCCTTGATCCGGATGGAAAAGTTTCACCTGCTCAGGTTTCTAACAAGCTTAGACAGTTGGGATTAAAAGTCAGACCAAAGAAACGGATGCTTCAAGCTGGTGGGTCTAATCAACTTGTGGATGAAGGAAAGGTGTTAGGAACTGATATTCCTCATTTAAATGATTTGGAGGAAACTTCATTGCTGAGACAACCGTTGTAAGTACTACTACATCCATGATTTTTGAATGTTGCATTTTTCATTCTCTTCATCTGTGTTGTCAAGAAAACAATTTTAGCATTAATATAAAGTTTTGGGTACCTATAGTGGAAATTCTGTAACTCCAAAGCATGACCTTAGAGAAATGAGGGAAATAGGGGGGAAAAGAAAATCAGCGTCTTTTAAAGGATGTGGAATTTATGGTCGGAATTTATGTTTTCCATTTCTTGAGCGAATTTCCTATCTCTTGCTCTTTCTTTTCAGGCACACCAGAAAAAGAGTACGTGCCTTTAGCGAGGACCAGGAGACGATGATTAAAGCTCTATTTGAGCAGTAAGTTCTTGACCAAATGCTAAACACAGTCTTAAACATGTTTTCTTCCATGATGGATTTTGAAATAAGTACATTGAGGAAATTCTGGATATTTATCTTGGACGTACATTTCAAGGTTCCAAATCATGATCTAGGCTTTGTTTGCTTATTGAAGGTTTAAAGATCATAAGAGGTGCAGCTACATGATTGCCAATGCACTGGATACTGAAGTCAAATTCACTACAGCACAAATTTCACGTAAACTCAAGCAACTTGGACTATGCGTTCCTCAACAGAAGAGTTCAGAAACCCCCATGCATTTACGGGATGAGTATCTTGATGATCCTTTTATAGAAGAGGCAAACAATTCTGACAATGAAACCTTGGTATCTCTTCAAAAAAGGTAATTTTCTTTGCTTGTCCCAAAATTCATTTTTTTTTTGTGGGTATAGTTTTGTTGAAGCTATGAATCTTGAATTATTTTTCAATGGTTAATGCATTCACATATGTTAAAATTTGAAGTTTCTGCATAAGCAGTCAGTTTACAGCCGTCAAACCTGGTGTACTTTGAGTCTTTGACAGATTCATGTGACCAAAGATATAGGTATTCCTCACCCAGCTGTTGTGGGTTACGTACTCAACCATTATTATGATTCTAGCATCTTGCTGGTGTCCAGCTATTCAGAGGGGAAGATTCTTTTTATTTAAACACAAACACAACCATATATAGTTTTTTTTTTAATTTCCCTTGGTTGTGCAGAATAGCATAACAATTAATGATTGTAATTTCTTAATAAATTTAAGAAAAATGAACTGGAATGTCTTACTTGGTTAAGGATTTTATTTTGTTGCTTCTGGTTGTTACAGTGAGGGAAATTCTGTCGAACATAAGCTTGAAAGGGTACATAAAAGAAGGAAAAGCCTTGTTCTCAATGATGAGCTGGAAGGAAAAATTATAGATCTTTATGAAAAGTAAGTTTCATTTGATGCATCCGTCCTATATTTACCAGGATTTTTTATGAAAAAGCCTTGTTGAGTTATGTTTCTTCATGAAAGAACCTACAGTTATTGAATGCTATTGTCCATCATTACTTTAATATGCTTTAATTGATTCTGGGCATGCTCTTTGAACTTTGAAGTAGCATGTGGATTTCATTGTAGACATGCTCTTTAGAGACTGTACTGTATATAGACTCGCTGTTGAGCACGACTTTATAAAGATGTAGTGGTTGCACACTTATATTTTAGCTTTTGTTCTTTTATTAAGTTATGTTTCTACGGTTGTACAGCTTCATTTTACTTTTGTCCTGCATGTTTGACAAACATGACCATTCTAGGTACAAAGATAATCAGTACTGCAGTAGACTTATTGCGGAAGTCCTTGATCCGGATGGAAAAGTTTCACCTGCTCAGGTTTCTAACAAGCTTAGACAGTTGGGATTAAAAGTCAGACCAAAGAAACGGATGCTTCAAGCTGGTGGGTCTAATCAACTTGTGGAAGAAGGAAAGGTGTTGGGAACTGATATTCCTCATTTAAATGACTTGGAGGAAACTTCATTGCTGAGACAACCATTGTAAGTACTACTACATCCATGATTTTAAATGTTGCATTTCTCATTCTCTTCATCTGTGTTGTCAAGAAAACAATTTTAGCATTAATATAAAGTTTTCGGGTACCTATAGTGGAAATTCTGTAACTCCTGTTAATTTTATAGATTATAGAGAGAGAGATAGTAGAATGAGAGAGTAGAGATGGCTGAGAGAGAGAGGCGCAGCCCCTTTTCTTCATATCTTAAAACCCTTACACACAACACAAATATATATACAATACAAGAAAGGCCTATTTACATAATGGCCACAAACCCTATGTCTAATTACAATATGACCCCAACATAAATACCTATTTACATATAACTGTTCTAACACTCCCCCTCAAGCTGGAAAATATATATCATATAATCCCAGCTTGGAACAAATTGCTTTTAACCGATTATGACGAAGAGCCTTAGTAAACATATCAGCTAATTGATCTTCTGACTTCACAAATGGAGTAGAGATGTTCTTGCTCAATATTTTCTCTCGGGTGAAGTGATAATCAACTTCAATATGCTTGGTTCTTTCATAAAATACCGGATTGGATGCAATATGAACAGCTGCTTGGTTATCACAGAACAATGGAATAGGAGTCTTGACTATTAACCCAAGTTCCTCAAAAAAGTGTTGTATCCACGTTAACTCACTAGAGGTATGGGCCATCGCCCTGTACTCTGCTTCAGCGTTAGACCGTGCTACCACTGTTTGTTTTTTACTTTTCCATGTAACAAGATTTCCACCAACAAATGTGCAGTAGCCTGTAGTAGATCTCCTATCTGAGGGAGAACCAGCCCAGTCAGCATCTGTGAAACCTTCTATCCTAAGATGTCCATTTGGTTTATATAGCAACCCAAAACCTGGAGCTTGCTTGAGGTATCGGATAATCCGAAGAACTGCATTCCAATGTGGGATCCTAGGAGATCCGATGAACCGACTTACAATACTAACTGTATATGAGATATCTGGTCGAGTGATAGTGAGATAAATTAATTTCCCAACAAGCTGTCGATATCTGCCAGGATCATCAAATAGATCACCCTTATCTAATAAGAGTTTTGTATTTGGATCCATAGGAGCATCAACAGGACGGCCACCTAACATACCTGTTTCTTCTAATAAATCCAACACATATTTCCTTTGAGATAAACTTATACCTTCCTTGGATCTAGCAACTTCAATACCCAAGAAATATCTGAGTTGACCCAAGTCTTTAGTGTGGAACTGATTTTGAAGAAACAACTTCAATTTAACAATACCTTTAGAATCATCACTTGTGATCACAATGTCATCTACATATACCACAAGGAAAATGAAACCAGCTTTAGTTTGCTGGTGAAACACCGAATGGTTTGTCTGACATCTCTTAAGACCAAATGCTAATGCTACCGTAGAGAACTTTCCAAACCAAGCCCTTGGAGATTGCTTCAATCCATACAGGGCCTTCCTAAGGCGACAAACGGTATGACGATACTCCCCTTGAGCAACAAACCCAGGTGCTTACTCCATATAAACTTCTTCAACTAAGTCGCCATGTAAGAAAGCATTTTTCACATCTAATTGAAACAACGGCCAGTTACGATTGGTAGCAATGGAAATAAGGACCCGGATAGAAGAAATCTTTGCAACAGGGGAAAAAGTCTCATCATAATCAACACCATAAGTTTGGGTGTACCCCTTTGTAACAAAACGAGCTTTCAAACGCTCAATAGAACCATCGTGGAGATATTTGACAGTGTAGACCCACTTACAACCAACCGGTTTGGAACCAGGAGGTAAGGGAACAAGATCCCATGTCCCATTATGATGAAGAGCATCCATTTCATCGGCCATGGCTTGTTGCCAACCAGGATGAGAAAGAGCATCCTGCAAAGTTTTGGGAACAAGTATAGCAGACAATGTGGATAAAAAACAAGAGAAAGTGGGTGAAACATGAGTATATGGGACAAAGTTAGAAATAGGATGTGTAGTAACACAAGATCGAATACCTTTGCGTAAGGCAATAGGAAGATCATCAGCAGCAATAGGAGCCTCAATAGAAGTAGACAATTGGGGGGGTGCTGGCCGTGATTGTCGACTATACACTTGAAGTGGTGGTGGCACTTGAGGTGGCGGTGGTACTGGAGGTGGTCGTGGTGGGACATAGGCTGATGAGTGTGACACAACAGGCAACGGAAGCAAGAACTCGGTATCTAAAGACGAACCATGTGAAGAAAAATAAGGAGTGTCCTCAAAAAAGGTAACATCTATGCACACAAAAGCACGACGAGTGCTAGGATCCCAACATTTATAACCTTTTTGAGTCCGAGAGTACCCAATAAAGACACACTTAATGGCACGAGGAGATAATTTATCAGTGCCAGGGCGTAATATGTGAGCAAAGCACACACACCCAAAAACACGAGGTGGTGATGCAAATAATGGTCGTGTAGGAAAAACAAGGGAATAAGGACATTTCCAATTAAGAACAGTAGATGGCATACGATTAATTAAATAACAAGCAGTTAAAACAGTATCTCCCCAAAATGCCTTTGGAAGATGCATATGGATCATCAATGTCCGAGCTATTTCAATTAAATGCCTATTTTTCCGTTCGGCTACACCATTTTGTTGGGGAGTATAAGAACAAGAAGTTTGATGCAAGATGCCACGAGAGTCGCAAAAGGTAGAAATAGCACCTTTGACATATTCCATAGCATTATCAGATTGTAAAGTTCGTATAACACAACCAAATTGAATTTCAATTTCTTTTAAAAATAATTGAAATATGGGAAAAAGTTCAGAACGGTCTTTCATTAAAAACAACCAAGTCATCCTTGAATAGTCATCAACAAAGGTAACAAAATAAGAAAAACCTGATTGACTAGTTTGACGAGTAGGACCCCAAATGTCCGTATGCACCAATTCAAATAAAGAAGACCGACGATTAACAATACGAGGAGGGAAAGACACTCTATGGTGCTTACCCAACTGACAAGACTCACAATTTAAAGTAGACACCGACTCAAGGAAAGGTAATGCAGACTTCAAGTACCACAACGAGGGATGACCTAACCGATAATGCCACTGGTATACAGACACCTGGGAATGTAAAGCAACACCACTAGTGGAAGGTGTGCAATCCAAATAGTATAGGCCATTTCTGTTAGTGCCCCCACCAATCGTCTTTTTCGTGTTGAGGTCCTGAAAGATACAAAACGAAGGATAAAAGTGACAAAACAATTGAGTGCTTGAGTCAGTTTACCAAGGCACTGAACTCAGCTCGTGAGAGTATCACACTGTCACTAGTAGGTGCAGATGATGGCAGTACAGAGTTTTGAGCAGGTGGGTGGTGGTGGTCAGGAGAAAGATGAGACCTAGCAATGTCAGAAGAAGACATTACTTGATTTGCCCATGCTGGTTTCCCATGAAGAGCCCAACAATGCTCAACAAAATGGTTAGTACCTTTACAGTGGCTGCAGTAGCGAGTATCAGTGCGTCCACGACCACGGCGACTGCGACCTCTATCACGGCCACCACCACCGCCACGAGAACCACTCGAAGTTCCTCCATACCCTCTGTTGTTACTGGGAGTATCACGGCTTCTAGACAACTGTGGAGAGATAGAAGGAACCATCATAGCTGAATTTTCTTTCACAGTGGACGTCCTATATGATTGTCCTGAAACACGAAGCAATCGAGCATAAATTTTACCCAGAGATGGGAGTCCTCCATCACCAGCAAGGTGCAGATGATGGCAGTACAGAGTTTTGAGCAGGTGGGTGGTGGTGGTCAGGAGAAAGATGAGACCCAGCAATGTCAGAAGAAGACACTACTTGATTTGCCCATGCTGGTTTCCCATGAAGAACCCAACAATGCTCAACAGAATGGTTAGTACCTTTACAGTGGCTGCAGTAGCGAGTATCAGTGCGTCCACGACCACGGCGACTGCGACCTCTATCACGGCCACCACCACCGCCACGAGAACTACTCGAAGTTCCTCCATACCCTCTGTTGTTACTGGGAGTATCACGGCTTCTAGACAACTGTGGAGAGATTGAAGGAACCATTATAGCTGAATTTTCTTTCACAGTGGACGTCCCATGTGATTGTCCTGAAACACGAAGCAATCGAGCATAAATGTTACCCAGAGATGGGAGTCCTCCATCACCAGCAAGGATGTGATCCCAAATATTTTGAAGGCTAGGGTGCAAATTAGCAAGAAAAATGGAAATCGAAAATTCCTCACGTTGCCTCTTGAGAACGTCAAGATCAGTAGTTAAGGGTTGGTACTGATTCACCTCATCTAGCAAACTTTTGAAAGTACTATAATACTCACCGATGCCTTGACCAGAGGGGTCAGATTGACGAGAATGGAACATCTTCTCATACAGGGAGTATATGTGAGAGACATTTGTGTCCATAGAGTAGGTTTCTTTAACTGCATCCCATATTTCCTTTGTAGTGGTGACAAGCATAAAATTAGATGCAATGGAAGGTTCCATACTATTTCACAACCAGGACATAACCATATAGTTATCAGCTTCCCAATCATCATATGTTGTGGATGGTGTGGATGTTTGAGGTGGAGGAGCTTGTGTAATAAACTTCAGCTTTCGTCGGGCTCCTAAATAGGTATTCACTGCTTGAGCCCATAGTAAGTAATTTGAATTACTCAATTTCATAGTTGTAATTTGCAGCCCGACATGATCATGTGTTACAGGAGTTTTAATTCCAGTAGACTCAGAATAAACAGTTGAGGAATCCAAATCCATGCCACGAACAACAGAAGTAGCCGCTGGAAATTTATATGTAAACTGAAAAGAATTTATCTGGCCCAAGTTGAAGCCGCTGATGCCGAATCTGTCCCGAGAGGAACAGAAGAGAAACAAACAAAAAAAAAATAGCTGGATCTGGGAAAAGGGTCGAACCAGACCCTGATCTGAAAATGGGCCGGATTTGAACCGGATCTCTACAAAACCGGTTTAGAACCTGGATAGCCTAACCTGATCTGGGATAACCTCATACCTGTAACCAAACACTACCCTCCTTCTTCTTCGCAATCAGCGCCAGCGAGGACCACAATCTGCCGCCATCAACAAACAAACAAGGATTTGAGACCTCCACAGGGTGAAGCCCCAACCACAAATCAATTAACGGCCAAGGGAAGACAGCGAAGCTGCTGCAAAGCTCTCTGCTGCGGCACCGAACCACACTGAGTTCCAAACGAAGCCACCGAACCACACTGAGTTCCAAACGAAGCCACCGACCACAAAATCAGTCACAATGGCGACTACACACAACAACCACCGGCGTCAGCAAACGGAGAGATCGTCACACTGCAAACTCCTCGCCGACAGTCTAGGAATGGTCATTGATGAAGGAAAAGAAAAAAAAACGCGTCCAAGAGTGGCCAGATCGACGACGAACAACGATCCCTTCACGAGCTAGTAGACACTCTAGCACCGCGGTAGCAATGTCAATGGCCGGATCTACGCTCTGATACCATGTTAAATTTATAGATTATAGAGAGAGAGATAGTAGAATGAGAGAGTAGAGATGGCTGAGAGAGAGAGGCGCAGCCCTTTTTTTTCATATCTTAAAACCCTTACACATAACACAAATATATATACAATACAAGAAAGGCCTATTTACATAATGGCCACAAACCCTATGTCTAATTACAATATGACCCCAACATAAATACCTATTTACATATAACTGTTCTAACAACTCTAAAGCATGACCTGAGAGAAATGAGGGAAAAAAAGAAAAAAAAAAAAAAAAAAAAACAGCTGGTTTATTTGTTAAAGGATATGGAATTTATGTTTTCCATTTCTTGAGTGAATTTTGTATCTCTTGCTCTTTCTTTTCAGGCACACCAGAAAAAGTGTACGTGCCTTTAGCAAGGACCAGGAGACGATGATTAAAGCTCTATTTGAGCAGTGAGTTCTTGACTAGATGCTAAATACAGTCTTAAACATGTTTTCTTCCATGACGGATTTTGAAAGAAGTACATTGAGGAAATTCTGGATATTTATCTTGGATGTACATTTCAAGGTTCCAAATCATGATCTGGGCTTTGTTTGCTTATTGAAGGTTTAAAGATCATAAGAGGTGCAGCCATATGATTGCCAATGCACTGGATGCTGATGTCAAATTCACTACAACACAAATTTCACGTAAACTCAATCAACTTGGACTGCATGTTCCTCAACGGAAGAGGTCAGAAACCCCCATGCATTTGCGGGATGAGTTTCTTGATGATCCTTTTACAGAAGAGGCAAACAATTCTGACAATGAAACATTGATATCTCTTCAAAAAAGGTAATTTTCTTTGCTTGTTCCAAAATTCATTTTTTTTGGGTGTAGTTTTGTTGAAGCTATGAATCTTGAATTATTTTTCCAATGGTTAATGCATTTACATATGTTAAAAATTGAAGTTTCTGGATAAGCAGTCAGTTTACAGCCATCAAACCTGGTGTACTTTGAGTCTTTGACAGATTCATGTGACCAAAGATATAGGTATTCCTCACCCAGCTGTTGTGGGTTGGGTACTCAACCATTATTATGCCATTTTTGTTCTAATTGGGGGTATGATTGTCTTTTCTAATTACCTTAACGGATGTTTTTGTGTTTTTTCTTATTTGACTTAATCGTGCTGCTTTCAGTGGTTCTGTCATCTTTCTGTTTTGTGTGTTACCAAGCCATCGTAGCCCACTCCGCAAATAATTTTGAGCTGTCATGTCTACATTTGATTTCCAAAACTCGACATCTTCCATTTTCTTTAGTAATGCATATCAATGCTACCGTTCTATTTTATTTTCTCTTTCTTGAACATCATATGGAACCATGAAATATGAATGGATCTATAGCTGGCTCATATAGTTCCCTCTAGAATTTGATGGGTAGTGCCCTCTATTTCATACTTTCTAATTCTTTTTTACTTTGCCCTCAATAATACTATAAAAGAAATACAACAACCAGGCCATGTATGATTGTGAAAAAGACTTTTGTACGACAGGCCATGTATTTCATTTATGTCAGGCTCCTGCTGCTTTGCTAACAGGGAATTTCCAGACAAACTAGAACTAATAGGAAATTAGAAGTATTAAATAATTTATTTTTTACTGATATAACAAAATGATAGAAATAATCAATATTCATTCTCTAAGCTTTTGAGTTGGGCCTTATTTAGTATTGTTCAAACTGATGAGAAAGAGAGAGAGAGAGAGAGAGAAAGAGAAAAAGATCATGGTGGCTACTGAAATGTATTTCTCATATGTATTAAACCCTAAGCCTATAGTGGCTTATATAAAGATACAAGACTTAGCTAATTACACAATGACCCTACCAACTATATGTAATTACATAATGACCCAAGACATTCTAACACTCCTCCTCAAGCTGGAGAGTATATATCAAATAATCCCAGCTTGGAACAGATAATCCCTAACCGATTATGACCCTAACCGATTATGACCTAATGCTTTGGTAAACATATCAGCTAATTGATCTTCAAACTTCACAAATGGAGTAGAGATGCTCCTACTTAATATTTTTTCTCGAATGAAGTGACAATCAACTTCAATATGTTTGGTCCTCTCATGAAACACAGGATTTGATGCAATGTAAACAGCTGCTTGATTATCACAAAACAATGGAGTAGGAGTTTCAATTGTCAACCCAAGTTTTTTAAGAAAATGTTGTATCCATGTCGACTCACTAGTGGTATGGGCCATTGCCCTGTACTCAGTTTCAGCACTAGATCGAGCTACCACTATTTGCTTTTTACTTTTCCATGTAACAAGATTTCCTTCTACAAATGTGCAATAGCCTGTAGTAGATATCCTGAATGAAGGAGAACCAGCCCAATTAGCATCTGTAAAACCTTCCACCCTGAGATGACCATTTGATTTATATAGTAACCCAAAACCTTGAGCTTGCTTGAGATATCGGATAATCCGAAGAACAGCAATCCAATGTGGCATTCTAGGAGCTCCCATGAACTGACTTACAACACTAACTGCATATGAAATATCAGGTCGTGTGATGGTGAGATAAATTAATTTCCCAACAAGGCGACGAAATCTGCCCGGGTCATTAAATAGATCACCCTCATCCGACACAAGTTTTGTATTTGAATCCATAGGAGCATCAACTGGATGACCACCCAACATACCTGTTTCTTCTAATAAGTCCAACACATATTGGCGTTGAGATAAACTTATACCCTTCTTGGATCTAACAACTTCAATACCCAAGAAATACCTAAGTTTACCCAAGTCTTTACTGTGGAATCGATTTTGCAGATTCAACTTCAACTTAGCAATGCCTTCAGAATCATCACCTGTGATCACAATATCATTTACATACACCAAAAGAAAAATGAAGCCAGCTTTAGTGCGCTGGTGAAATACTGAATGATTGGTCTAGCATCTGTTAAGACCAAATTCTAATGCCGCCTCAGAGAATTTTCCAAACCAAGCCAGTGGAGATTGTTTCAATCCATACAGGGCCTTTTGAAGGCGACAAACAGTGTGACGATACTCCCCCTAAGCAACAAACCTAGGTGGTTGCTTCATATAAACTTCTTCAACTAAGTCACCATGCAAGAAGGCATTCTTGACATCCAATTGAAACATCAGCCAGTTACAATTGGCAGCAAAGGAAATAAGTACCCGAATAGAAGAAATCTTAGCAACAAGAGAAAAGGTCTCATTGTAGTCAATACCATAAGTCTGAGTGTACCCTTTTGCCACTAGGCGAGCCTTTAACCGCTCAATAGACCCATCGTGAAGGTATTTAACAGTGTAGACCCACTTACAACCAACAGTGTTGGAGCCCAGAGGTAAGGGAACAAGATCCCAAGTCCGATTACGGTGAAGGGCATCCATTTCATCTACCATGGCTTATGCCAATCCGAATGAGAAAGAGCATCCTGCAAAGTCTTGGGAACAAAAGTAGCAGACATTTTGGATAAAAAACAAGATAAAGAGGATGGAACATTATGGTAGGAGACAAAGTTAGAAATGGGATGTGCAGTAACACGCGACTGAGTACCCTTATGGAGAGCAATAGGCAAATCATCAGACAAAGTAGATGGCGTCGGATCCAAAGACTCTGAAGGAGATGGAGGGAGAGAAGTAGGCGGTCGAGGTCGTCGAGTATAAACCTGCAAGGGGACAACGGAGCGAGGAGGTGCGGGAGCAGGAAATAGAGAGGGAACAGTTGGCATAGGTAGCTCAAGAGTAATATTGAGAGGGGTAGTAGAATCAGAAAAATATGGGAGAGACTCAGAAAAGGAGACATTAGCACTAGTGAAATAGCGTTGAAAATGAGGACTGTAGCAACGATAACCCTTCTGAGCGCGAGAATACCCAAGAAAAACACACTTAGTGGCACGTGGGTCGAGTTTGTCAAGACTGGGCCCAAGGTTATGGACATAGCACACACATCCAAAGACTCGAGGAGTAAGATTAAACGATGCGGAGTTGGGAAATAGAATAGAATGAGGAGATTTCTTTTATAAAATCGACGAAGGCATCCGATTAATAAGATGACAGGCCGTAAGAATAGCATCACTCCAAAAACGTTTGGGAACATGCATATGGAATAAAAGGGTACGACATACTTCCAGGAGATGACGATTTTTACGTTTAGCTACTCCATTTTGTTGAGGAGTATAAGTACAAGATGATTGATGAATGATGCCTTTAGCATGAAAATAAGTCTCAAAAGGGTCCGAGAAATATTCTTTGGCATTGTCAAAACGTAAAACTTTAATGGAACATCCAAATTGAGTTTTTATTTCTTTGCGAAATAGTTGAAAAATAGAGAATAACTCAGAACGATTTTTCATTAAAAACAACCAAGTCATACGAGAATGATCATCCACAAAAGTCACAAAATAACGAAATCCATTATTAGAAATATGTTTTATTGGGCCCCATACATTTGAATGAATTAACTGAAAAGGACTAGGAACACGATTGGTAGCTCTCGGTTTGAAAGATACACGACAATGCTTACTAAGCTGACATGCTTCATAAGGCATGGACTCAATACGACTAAGACTAAGACTGGGGACTTGACGCTGCAAAACTGATAAAGACGGGTGGCTGAGACGACAATGCCACTGGAAAGGAGACAAAGATGATTGAAGAGTCGTGGGAGATGGTGCAAGATCAAAGTAATACAAGCCACCTACTTCATGTCCTGTACCAATCTTCTTCATCGTCTTGAGATCCTGAAAAATACAACATGAGGGATAAAATGTAACGGAGCAATTAAGAGATTTAGTAATTTGACTAATGGACATCAAATTAAAAGGGAATTGAGGAATATATAATATAGAGGAAATAGACATAGAAGAGGTGAATTGGGTGGTTCCCACACCCAAAACTTTAGTGGAGGAGCCATTAGCAAGAGTAACACTCTGAGAGGAAGGAACAGACTGAAAATCAGATAAGAGATGAGAACTACCAGTCATGTGATCTGATGCGCCAGAGTCAAGAATCCAAGGACTCTGACCAGAGGATAAGAGACATGCATGTGCACTACCTGATTGGGCAAAGGAAACCATGGAAGATGACGTGGAAGGCCGTTGTTGAGATATAAACTGAGCATACTCAGCGCGGGAAACTGTCATGGTGACCATAGCAGGCTCAACAGCCACTTGTGGAGCAGTTGGTGTGGCAAAGAAAGAAGAATCCCCTTCATTAGAGGTTACTTGATGTGCATAGGAAGAAGGTGGCGGTTTCCTATGAAGATCCTAACAGTAATTGACAGTGTGATTAGTAAGACAGCAGTGAGTGCAGAGTTTGGAGTCTCTGCCTTTGCCACGACCACGTCCACGGGTAAAACGACCTCCACTGCCACGAGAAGACTGATAACCACCCTGGTTCACAACTAATGCAGAACGTTCACTGCTAAGAGGAGCAGTGACACCACTTGAAGCACTCCCGGAAGCGCCACTAGATAGAGTAGCACGCTGGAGCCTGGAGAACATATCAGGAAGAGAGGGAAGTGCAGGGTTACCCAAAATCTGTGCACGAACAGACTCATATTCTGGTGACAACCTCATGAGAAACCGAACAACATTAAAATCCTCACGTTGTTGTTGCATGTTCTTCACATTAGAGGTGATAGGCTGATACAAGTTCATTTCTTCACAAATTCCCATAGACTGTGAGAAGTACTTTGCAAGACTGTTAGTACCTTGCTGGAGGTCAAAGAATTGTCTGCATACCTCATAAATTCTGGTGATACACTGATATTACCAGTACCTGAATATAGCTGTTGGAGGGGGTTCCATATCTCCTTGGCAGTATCCAAATACAACAGGTTAAAGCTGATATTGGTTTAATACAATTCAGCATTAAGGAAATGATCTGAGCATCCCTTTGTTCCCATGAACTGAAATCTGCATCACTGTCTTTAGGCTTATCCTTAACCAAATAAGAGCCAAAGCCTTTGGCTTTTAGGAAAATAGCTACTGACTTGGCCCATAAAATATAGTTCTTCCCATTGAGCTTGACTGAAGTCATGGGAGGATTGAAAGAAGTAGAAGAAAGCAGGTCTGAACCAGCAGCCATGGAGAAGGAAAAAGAGAGAAGAAAACCGAACCTGGGAAAAAAAAAAAAAAAAACTGAATCCGGATCTGGGCAGACGGACCGGATCTGGGCAAACGGGCCAAATCAAAACCAGTTCTTTGCCATTCCGGTTTTAGTAAACCAAGGTTGGGATAACTTCACACCTGCAGCCAAACACCACCCTTCTCCTTCACAATCAGCGCCGGCAAGAACCAGAACTCTGCCACTGACAATAAACTCCAACACCCGAGGTTCGCAATGGAGAATCAAGGCTAGTACACACCCTAGCCCTTGCAGCGGTGACGGCAACCCAACACAAGCGGCGATCTAATAACCGAGCAAAGAGGGTTCGCGGTGATGGAACCTCTGCAACTTGCAACAGCCAAGGCAGCCTCGGCCAACAAAACGAAGGGCTTCAGATCTGAGAACGATGGACAAGAAGCGCTGAACACAACGACAGCTTCAAACCTCCGGCTAGAAACAAAACTGACTTCGATCTCGATTTCGATTTGTAGAAGAACACCACAGATGCAACCACAATCTTAGTTTCCCATTGTTTCGTACCGCTCTGATTCCATGTTCAAACTGATGAGAAAGATAGAGAGAGAGAGATCATGGTGGCTACTGAAATGTATTTCTCATATGTATTAAACCCTAAGCCTGCAGTGGCTTATATAAAGATACAAGACTCAACTAATTACACAATGATTGTACCAACTATATGTAATTACATAATGACCCAAAACATTCTAACAAGTATTATAGTTTCAGTGATTGGCATTCCATGTCACCAAACTACGTAATTCTAATTCAAGTATTTCTCGTTCTTTTTAGGAGCAAAAGCAAGCAGAACGAAAGAGATAGTGAGGGGGTGCGAAGCTGGAAAATTGATGAAAAACTATCACAAGATCATTCTGATGAAGAATTCCTAAGCTCTGTTTTGCAGTAAGTACTTTCTCTCTCATCCGTTTGACGACTCTTTCCTGAACATCATATGGAACCATGAAATATGAATGGATCTGTAGCTCGCTTAGACAGTTCCCTCTAGAATTTGATGGGTAGTGCCCTCTATTTCATACTTTCTAATTCTTTTTTACTTTGCCCCCAATAATGCTATAAAAGAATTACAACAAACAGGCCATGTATGATTGTGAAAAAGACTTTTGTATGACAGGCCATGTATTTCATTCATGTCAGGCTCCTGCTGCTTTGCTAACAGGGAATTTCCAGACAAACTAGAACTAATAGGAAATTAGAAGTATGAAATAATTTATTTTTTACTGATATAGCAAAATGATAGAAATAATCAAAATTCAGTCTCTAAGCTTTTGAGTTGGGCCTTATTTAGTATTATAGTTTCAGTGATTGGCATTCCACGTCACCAAACTACTTAATTCTAATTCAAGTATTTCTTGTTCTTTTTAGGAGCAAAAGCAAGCAGAACGAAAGAGATAGTGAGGGGGTGCGAAGCTGGAAAATTGATGAAAAACTATCACAAGATCATTCTGATGAAGAATTCCTAAGCTCTGTTTTGCAGTAAGTACTTTCTCTCTCATTCGTTTGACGACTCTTTCCTGAACATCATATGGAACCATGAAATATGAATGGATCTATAGCTGGCTCATACAGTTCCCTCTAGAATTTGATGGGTGGTGCCCTCTATTTCATACTTTCTAATTCTTTTTCTACTTTGCCCCCAATAATACTATAAAAGAAATACAACAAACAGGCCATATATGATTGTGAAAAAGACTTTTGTACGACAGGCCATGTATTTCATTCATGTCAGGCTCCTGCTGCTTTGCTAACAGGGAATTTCCAGACAAACTAGAACTAATAGGAAATTAGAAGTATTAAATAATTTATTTTTTACTGATATAGCAGAATGATAGAAATAATCAATATTAATTCTCTAAGCTTTTGAATTGGGCCTTATTTAGTATTATAGTTTCAGTGATTGGCATTCCACGTCACCAAACTACGTAATTCTAATTCAAGTATTTGTTCTTTTTAGGAGCAAAAGCAAGCAGAACGAAAGAGATAGTGAGGGGGTGCGAAGCTGGAAAATTGATGAAAAACTATCACAAGATCATTCTGATGAAGAATTCCTAAGCTCTGTTTTGCAGTAAGTACTTTCTCTCTCATTCGTTTGACGAAGGATCCTAAATACTCTTACCAAAAAAAGAAAAGGATCCTATAGATGAAGTTAGTGGGGAATGTTACTGGTGGTAATAATCCTCCTGTCTCTGCTTTCAGAAGTTGACATTCTGATTTAATGGAAACACAGATTGATAAGAAGCGCAAAATGCTTATATTTTACAGTATTTCTTTTCTGTTTCATAATTTTTTATTTTAGCATTACATCAAGTGGTTTACAGTATGCAATATGGTGCTGAACTGACAAGTTAAGAAGCAGTTTTGATGAGTTTTGCATGTGAATACACAAGTGAATGTATGTTTTTACAAAAAAAATTACACGTGAAATTTTTTCATTGAGTCAACTATATGAATATTATGCCAGGAGATGCATCGTCAAGAGTTTGTTCTGGCAATTGAATGTGAACCCTATTTGTCTTTTGCTATGGTATCACAGCAGGCAGGCTGATTTGGCCTTGTTTCCTTCTGGCACTTCCTTTATTCCACCTGGTGGTAACTGCTGCACTTCAAGCAATTTTTATTTTTGTAAATTTTTTTCTTTCCAATGAATAAAGTAATAAATCCGCACTGTGCATAACCTTGATGCTTCATTTTTTCTTTTTGGTCAGTGTTAGTGCAGGCAAGTTCACCTTGTCATAATAAATTTTCAGAAATTTTTTATTGATTGCTCGCTTTTGCTTACTGCTATTCAGGTTTATTATCCAGTTGGCAGTTTATTAACATAATAATTAATATTTTTACTTCTAATACTGCAATGAATTATGAAGGTATTATCCTGTTCAAATCACCTAGAATGGAAACTGTCTTTTTCCTTTTTCTTTTCCTTTTGTATTTTACAGTACTTAAGAGTAACTATTTGACACAGAAAAACAAGGAGACGAATTCCCAAGGCAATGGATGTGAAGTCCACAACCACTTCAGTTAAGCAGATTGTGGTTGAAAATGACAATGGATATGGGGATTCTCAGGCTCTAATAGGAAGGTACCAGATCTTGCCCATTTGTGTCGTTTAACTTCATCTGGAGAATGTTTGAACATATTTGAAGCAAAAGTTTAGGTTTACCTGTTTCCGCCCTCTTTGTGGGACTCTGTTGCTAAAGCTGCTGTTGCTCCTTCACAAACAGTAGTATAGAAATAAGATTGTCTGGAGGAACCTGAACTTTTACTAAACCTGCTTTTTAGAAACTGGTCAAGGACTTGTAGATTTACTTTTGATTGGTTAACCCTAAGCAATTTAGTCCATGAAGTTCAGTAAACAATCAGTACTAATTTAGAATACCTAGAGTATAATCTAAAATTCTTTACTTTCCAGGGATGGGCAGGAACAACACACTGGGATGGAAGCTGCAGAAACTGATGATGGTACTTTTGACCTTGCTGGCAATGCAGAAGCTGAAGCAACTGGCATCAGCAGTGGAAAACCATTAGGTGTTGCATCCGTCGAAAATGTAGATCATTTGCAGTATCAGCTAGTGCATGATAAATTGTCTGATGAGTTGACAGGTCTTGAGGATGATGAGACTCCTGTTGTATCCCAAAAAAGTGTTCTAGTCAGAAGAAAGTTGCGGATGGTAATTGATTTTGAAGATGATGAATGAACTCGTTGTGGCTTCTTTTGTCAGAGATCACTCTTCTGATCAATTTTGGTGGCGGTTATATGGGCAGCTTTTAAAATGTGGTTTTATATGTTGTACATAAAAGAAGAATTATCCTAATGGCTGGTCGAGCAGTGAGCACAGAGAGATGCAGGGCATTATGTAAATTTACTCCAGCTGTTCATCAGTGGAAGTTGGTCATTTAGTGTCTAAAAAATAGCTTGGATTTTATACCTAGAATGCCCTCATTGGATTTTGCAGACTAAAATTCAGTGTAATAAGATCATTGTATTTTGATTTGATAAAATATTGTAGAATGTCGATATGCAATTGGCAAAGGTGCATCTTAAATTGGCAACTGTGAATCTAGGATGGAGAAGCTTGATTTTTTTGGAAATGCTAGTTTTTCCTTTTCTAAAGAGGTAAAAGATTAGCCGGAGAAAATTGATGCCATCTAAAAGTGAAGTCTTGATTTTTTTAACCATTTACAGTAGATTTAGGGTTCTAGCATCACATCTGATTGGATTTCCCTATAGAACCCTTCATTATGACATTAACAAGAAACATCTCCATTAAGATTGCCATTAATGGAAAGTGAAGTCCGAGCTTATCTGCAACTTTTTCTAACCTTTAGAAGCTTGTGGTTATGGAGTCATTGTGCATGGGTTAGTCCATATAAATCACAAGTTGAAATTTGGGTAATTGCACATCATAATTTGGAGGGGACGCATGCAAGACAAAATTGAGTTTGGAATTGAATGTAATGTCAAACTAGTTATTTGCTTATTTTATGTTAAGGAAATATTAAGTGCAGTTGCGAATGCACAATTTCAACTTTGTAAATTATGCGAGGTAAGATTCAAAATTTCAACTTTGTAGATTATGCGAGGTAAGATTCAAAATTTCAACTTTGTAGATTATGCGAAGTAAAATTCAAAAAATGTGATTGCACAATCACTAATGTGCCATAACACTATGCATTTGATATTAAATACTGAGTGTAACTTGGATGGACTAATTCGAATTCAATTAGAAGTTAATTTAAAAAGTTTCAAGACATATATATTGACGTTGGTATGAAAAAGTGTCAATAACTAAACTCATGAGTTAAACTCATGAGTTAATTAATTAAAAGAAAATTAATACTTAAATATAAAACTTTACCCATTATAGTGAGACCCACCACCGGAGGTTTTGCCCGTCGTTAATTTCAGGACCTCATGACCGGATACTCACGATTGTCAAAAAAAATAATAATAATAAAACTGGTGGGACGCACTTAAAAGTAGACCTGTCAATGGATCGGATTCGGATCGGATCGATCAAATCCATATCCTATTTGTTAAGCAAATGAATTATCGGATTCGGATCATTAACGGGTTCTCGGACTGAATGTCCCAATCCATACCTTATTTAGCTCGGACTCGGATCGGATCGGATTCAAAATCGGATTAAATTAATATTTACTAACATATATAATTATAAAGAGTATGATTTTATTAGTATGTGTACTAAGAGATTTATCAGCATGTGGATGAGAACACCACAATATTTTTATATAACATTATTATTATTTTGGATTATTGGTTTACCTTTAATACAATTCTAATAGGAGTATTGATATATATATATATGTGTAAAATTATTGATAAATAATTATATATATATAATTTCAATCGGATCGGATCGGATTTTTATCGGATCGGATCGGCATAATCCATATACGATTTGTTAAACTAACGGATTATCGGATTCGGATCGTAATCGGATTATCGAATTTTTTGTTCAATTCATATCCGACTAATCGGATCGGATCCGGATCAGGATCCGCTTCATTGACAGGTCTACTTAAGAGGTATGCTAGTAAAATAAACTTTGATTGATGATTTGAATCGGGTTAACCCTTCAGAAAACCCGAGTTCGATATCCACCCGCCTCTGTTACTCTCCAATCCATTAGTGTTGCTAAATACGTCGTCGTGTAATATCGTTCATCCTTCGGTGTTCGAGCCTGTCGTGACATGGATGGTTAGCTTCCTCAATGCACAGCAGGAACACGCATTGGCTCTCTCTTTCTAATTACTGGCAACTTCGTTGGAGCTGACTCTTCCGCGTTCGTTGAATCACACAATTTTAGGGTTTTGTTTCGTCTCTCTCATACGATGCATTCTATGAGCTAGGGTTTTCTCTCTATCTGATGCAGCATCAATTTGGGGTTTTCAATCTCCGGGTTCTAACCAATCCGGTGTTGCCTCCATGGCAGCTCCTAGCTGTTACACGCTCTCTAATCGTTCGTCACTTCTCTCTCCTCCCATTTCTGGATTCAAGGATCTGAAACTCTCTAAAACCTCATTGCCATTCAATCGAACCTCACGCATCGTCAATTATCTCTCTAGGTCTTCGAAGAAGGTAAACTCTCCAATCTTTTCTCTAAATACACGTGTGACGAATTTGAAATTTTTTTTTTTTTATTAGTTTCCAATTGGTTTTTCTGGAAAAAATGGGAAAAGTGAAAGAGGATTCTTAGTTTTTCATTGAGTGTTAACTCTTTAAAGATTTTTCACTTTGGAAACAAAAGCAACGGGAAACATGGATTCGTTTTCATTTGTTTTCTCGTCAACTAAATGAGGAAAGATAGATTTTTAATTATCGTTTGTTTTATACTCCATCTCGTTTTGTTATGATTTGAAAAGAATGCTAATTAATGATTTGAAACTATAAAAAGTTTTCATTTTTCATGCCTGAGAAAAAAGAATCTTGCGCAACTGATGTTAATGCAATTATTAGGCTTAGTTGAGGTGTGGTTTCCATTAGTAGAAAAACCAAAACAACTCAAGGCAGGATAAATGAAAATTCCTCCGATTTACTTGTTTTTCCTCTTTTTTACTGCCAATGGAGGGTTCAATTCATCTTGATGTTTCATATTTCAAAAATGTTACTAATAACTTTTCTTTTTCTTTTTTGGGTTTTGTAGACATGGAGAATTTCATGCTTTAGGAAAGAAGAGTCTTCAGAATTTCTCGACTCCAATTATGCAGAAGCAAAGTTGTCAGGAGAATTGAACCCTGAATTCGATCAACAAAATGTTGTCAAAGAAAACTGGGTTGTAAACCTTAGAAAGGTACTGCTTTCATGATGATGAATTTTTCTTATTTATTTATTTTCTTTTTGTAGATTTTTTCATGGTACAGTAGAAATATACACCATATTCAGTACTAAAGCACCTTACTTGACATTATTTCATTTAATTATGAAAGGTGTTTGAAATGTGCAATTCTTCTGAAATTTGAAAATTTGGAACATAAATAGTGAGTTTCAATGAGTAGCTTTGAGAATTTACTTTGCAGATTGTGACAATCACTTGAAGCTTGAATTATATCTCATAAATGTAAGATCATAGTTGTTTGAACTTGACATTTTCAAAGATAACTGGGTTTTAAACCTTAGAAAGGTACTGCTTTCATGACGATGAATTTCTTTTCTTTTTGTAAATTTTTTGATGGTACGGTAGAATTATACACCATATTCAGTACCAAAGCACCTTAATTGACATTATTTCATTTTATTATGAAAAATGTTTAAAATCTGTGATTCTTCTGAAATTTGAAATTTTGGAACAGAAATAGTGAGTTTCAATGAGTAGCTTTGAGAATTTACTTTGCAGATTGTGGTAACCACTTAAAGCTTGAATTATATCTCATAAATGTAAGATCATAGTTGTTTGGGCTGTTTAGGCATTCAGCTGTTTAGGCAATGCCTCAGCAGTTGGGCCTCCCTGGGTCAGATGTGGCTTAAGCGTCATAGAACATGACATTTTCTTTGGAAGCTACTGGTTTCTTGCTTCTTCCCCATAGTAGAAATGAAAAAGGTTATGAATTATACAAATCAATAATGACATACTTATAACATGGAAACAAATTAGTTGCATACTTTAATAGTAAACTGTATGAACAATTATAAAATAAATGTGAATTATCATATATTCTTGTTAAATGCGTGTTGAAGATGACATGTTGGACACATCCAACAGTCGCGTCCAACACACGGATATTTTACACATTTAAAAGAGTTCCTGTAACATAGGTTTTGTTGCAAGTAGTTGATTCAAAATTATGAAAAAAAAAAAAACACTTAATGTGTAATTACAAAAAATGATGATATAAAATTATTGGGTAAACTACAATGACCTCCCTGAGGTTTGGCTTAATTGCAAATAAACCTGAGGTTTGCATTTTTTTTTATAGTATGTCCCCCTGAGGTTTGCCCAATTTTGCAAAAACCTTCCCTCTATACAAAAAAGAGTACTTTTGTCAGAAAATTGGTTTGAAGTGACCAACATACCCTTTAATTAAATAGAAAAGACCCTATTACCCTTGTTGTGTCATCAAATTACAAAGGAAAATGTTCAAAGGGACAAAATTGCCCTTTTATCTCTCCACTCATCCCACCACCACCACTAATTCCCTTGCAATTTCCAAACCCACTAACTCCACCACCTCCACTGCCTCCTCCTCCTCCACCACCACCATCTCCCTTATCTTTTTCATACCATATATATGAATTTATTTATACACCCAACATTTAATCTCCATCTCTCTTAAATTATTATTATTACCGCAAAAAAAATATGTTGGAAACGTTTTCTATCAACCCTTATGAATGGTATTCCTATACATATATAGCTAGGGGTGCACAAAAGAACCGGAACTGTGGAACCGGAACCGGAACCGTGAGAACCGGAAAAATTTAGGAATCGTGAACATACGGAAAAATTTAGGAACCGTGAACATACGGTTCCGGTTCCGGTTCCAGCCCGTGGGAACCGGTAAGAACCGGAACCGTATATATATATATAATATATAATTATATATTATATAAAATTAACCCTATATATATATATATATATACCTATTTTTTTAGTTTTTTTTCCCTAAATCTGATCCTCAGCCTCCCCAATCGCCTCCAATCTCCATCTCTATTCTCTGGACTCTGAACTTGCCCAGTAGTAGTTGCCCTCTCTCTCTCTCTGCAAAGACTTCTTCTTAATCAATTTCTTTCTCCCCACGTGAGCTTGCGCCATAGGCTCATAGCTTTTGAACAGATCTGATAGCAAGAAGAATCAAATTTGTCTAGAACAGTAGAACCTTTGTTGTGAGAATGCCCATCTCACCGTTGACCTGTTTGGTTTTCATAGTTTTTGGCCTTTGAGATGACCCATACTTGTTGTCTTCAATCAATCACAGAGGAGGGAAAGCTACAATTCTTGATTCACTCCAATCCAGGTAAAGCTACTGCTCGTGCTCATTCCAGCATCCACTATCTTCATCTTTTATTTGTATCTATATATATATAGACACACATGTATGATTGTGCACTTTTGGTGATATTGATTATTGAGTGTGCTTAAGAAACCAGTTCTAGATTTTTGTTTTGATAATAAATAAAACCAAACCATTAACGAATTTAACGGTTCTCATGGAACCGAACCGGAACCGTTCCGGTTCAACGGTTCGGTTCCGGTTCGGTTCCATACTATACCGTTCCGGTTCCGATTCCGACCGGAACCGTGAGAACCGGAACCATGTGCACCCCTATATATAGCCAAGAAATATATAGTCACTCTTATACATATATGCCTCTCCAGCTGCACCGATGATTACACCGAGCTCGTCGATCTCCGAAAAGAGAGCGAAATTGAGATGAAGTGCGACCTTACTTGGTGGCACGTAATCCGGCTTGGTTTCGTCTCTGTCGACTCCGGCATCTTCACCCTCACCGGAAAATAAGCTCACGACACCACCGGACGACATCGATCATCCTCTTTGCGCTGCTATTTGCCTTTTCGGATCAATCCTAATATGAAATCTCCCCATTTTATCCTCTAATTCCCCATTTTCGTCCACCTTTGGTGCCATCTGAATACATAATTCTATGTTTTCTCCATCACTTTTTTGTTTCGCATTACACGATGCAATTCCCCTCTCTATTCTAGGCAATTTAAAGTTTACCACATTTAAATCCTCAAATTCGCAAGTAAACCCCTCTTTGAATTCGTCTAGGTCAACTTCTTATCTTCACAATTCACCATTGGTTGCAAATTAGGGCTCGTATTCAAATTTTGATTCATAACCAGGTCTCTAATAAAGATCTGTCTGGGTGCTGGGTCGATCTGTTACACTACCACAATGGTCAAATTGATGTAAGGGTTTGATTGGGTGGGTGGCAGTGATGGTGGTAGACATGGTGGGGTGGCAGTGATGGTGGTAGAAGCATGGGTGATGGCGGTAGAAGTGGTGGGATGGCAGTGATGGTGGTGGAAGCGGTGGGGGTTGCGGAAGATAAAGATGAAAGAGAGATAATAGAGGGAAGGAGAGAGAGGAAGGAGTGGCTGTGGCAGTGGCCATGGTGGGAGGAGGTGCGGTAGCCACGGTGTCCCTGTTCATTGCCCCATCAACACAAAGCTTCTGCTTCCACTTTTCATCCCCAAAGTTCACCATTAAATGTGTGTTGTGTGTGTGTATATGTGTTTATATCTCCTTGGGTTATACAGTATGTGTTTGTATATAAATATATATGTATATGTGCATATATATATCTTATATATATGTTGACCAAGTATAACAATTGTGTGGAAAAAAAAAATTATAGGGGTAAAATAGTCATTTGGCATACTCAAATATTTAACCTTTTTAATAATATAATAATGAGGGTAGATAAGTAAATTCACATCAAATTCTGACATAGGGAGGTCTTTGCAAAAAAATGACAAACCTTAGGTTTGTTTGCAATTAGGCCAAACCTCATGGGAGGTCATTGTAGTTTACCCAAAATTATTTGATCATATAAGTTCTTAGTTTACAAAATTTTATTTGGTAATGGCATCTAATTGTAAGTTTGTATTTATTTAATGGTAATTTACACAAACCTGCGCTATGGTTTGCCATAATTACAGAGACCTCCCTTCTGGTTTGGGAATTTACACGAACCTCCTCTAAAAATGAAACTATCCTACACGGACCTCCCTTCCGTTACGGTCAACGCCCGTCAACGACAGATTCTGCTAGCTTCTGCTAATGTCATCTACGTAATAAAATTAAATACCCATAATACCCTTATCCCTACCAATGATTATTTTTCTTTCCTCTTCGTTCTCTCTCCTCTCTCTGCCTCCTACCAATTCAGGCCATGTCTTGGGTTGATGATGGGATTTGGATAACTCCTTGTCATTTGGGAGATGATGTTTACTATCAATGCCTGATGATATGAAGGTGGAAGATTGGCATAGCCACGTTTTTCACGCAAAACATGTTTATCTCTCTTCCCTTAGATCTGGGTCAATTTTTCACTCTCTCTCTCTTCTTTTGCCTCTTCGTTTCCTCTTATCTGTACCTTCATAGGTTCCTTCCCTTGCTTAGTGACACAGAGATTGCAAAAGAAGAAAGCCAGTGGGAAAAGAAAAGATAAATCTGGAGGCAATTTCACTAAAATTGAAAAAGAATTGTAGCATTTGAATTGTGTGATTCAAGACATACGAAGAAGTTTGATCAGATTCTCATATATATGGAGTTTCAATTAGTGGCCACAAAGATGAGTACTACTGAGAGTGACGTTGATTTTGCGAAATGCGAGTGTTGTGGATTGACGGAGTAGTGTACTCCGGCGTTCGCGGAAGGTATGAAGGCCGTTGATATGCGGACTCTGTTCAGAGGCAGTGGAAGACGAGATTGTGAGGTCGGAGAGGCCAATTGGCACCGAAGAGCACTGAATCGGCACTTGAGCTTCTGCACCAAGTTCAGATTTTTGAGTCCTCCGGCCAATCTGACAGAGGACTTCATCTCCGCCTTGAAGCAGCTTTTTCGGCAAAGTCTAGATTCTCCGAGGTCAACTGGCATCTTCTCTAACTCCTCCGGTTGTGCTCGTTCAATCGGAAAGTTGTTGCTCCCTTTCTCCTCTCTTTGGTAATTTGATTCTCGTTCTGGCAACAATAATTAGAGGACTAGAATGAGAGAAGAGAGAGAAAGAACCAACAAAGATTAAATTAGAGAGAAAAACCTCTTTTTAATAAAAAGAAGAGTAAATTAAACAGATCCGTTAGTCCATTTGATGGTCCGTCACTAGGAGGGGAGGTCCGTGTAGGTTAGTTTCATTTCATGTGAGCTGGAGTTTCCTTCTCTACTTGTTAGAGAGGATGGGATTCGGTGGGCGATGGAGGAGATGGATTCTTTTTTGCATCTCTAGCGCTCGTTTCTCTGTCCTTGTGAATGGAGCGTCGTCGGGTTTCTTCTCTAGCTCGAGGTGTTTGAGACAAGGGGATCCGCTTTCCCCTTTCCTGTTCCTTTTTGTGATGGAGGCTCTTAGCAGATTGCTAAAGAGGGCTGTGGAACTGGGTTTTTTGAGTGGCTTTCGGGTGGGCAGGAATGTTGCTAGTCAATTGGAGGTTTCTCATTTGATGTTTGCAGATGACACTATTGTGTTTTGTGATGCGGATGAGTCCCAGTTGAGGTATTTGAGATGCGCTCTGATCTGGTTTCAAGTTGTTTCTGGCCTTAAGGTTAATGTTGGTAAGAGTATTCTTGTGCCTGTTGGGGATGTTCCGGAGATTGAGGTGTTTGCTCACATCCTTGGCTGTTGCATTGGCTCTTTTCCCATTTCTTATTTAGGATTGCCTTTGGGTGCTCCGTCGAGATGTGTGGGGAGCTGGGATCCGGTTGTGGACAGAGTCGAGAGGAGGTTGGCGGGTTGGAAAAAGCAGTACTTGTCCAAGGGGGTTCGGGTTACCCTGATTAAGAGCACCCTTTCTAGCCTGCCTACATACTTCTTGTCTCTGTTTCAGATTCCTTCTTCAGTGGCTGAGAGAATTGAAAGATTGCAGTGCAACTTCCTTTTGGGGGGGGGGGGGGGGGGGGGGGGTGGGGGAAGGTGAAGAGTTCAAATTTCACTTGGTTCGATGGGAACAAGTGTGCCGTCTAATTCGGTTTGGAGGCTTAGGGTTTCGGAGGTTGTTACCTTTTAATAAGGTTCTTCTTGGTAAATGGCTCTGGAGGTTTGGGATTGAGAGGCATTGGTTATGGAGGAAAGTTATTGCTTGCAAATTTGGGGAAAGTCGTGGTGGGTGGTGCTCTCTGGAAATGCGTGGTCCAAGGGGAGTGGGAGTTTGGCATTGTATTCGGAGGGGTTGGGATGATTTCTGCAAGCATGTTCGTTTTCGTATTGAAGATGGAAGGAGGATCAGTTTTTGGTTGGATCTCTGGTGTGGGGATCTCCCTCTTGCTCTCACGTTCCCACGGCTCTACAGGATTGCTTCTCATCGATAGGCCATGGTTGTCGACTGTTATCATCTTGATAATGGGAGACTGTCTTGAGATGTTCGTTTCAGGAGGCATTTTCAGGATTGGGAGATCGAGGATGTTTCTCGTTTTCTGGAGTTGTTGTATAGCCAGGTGTTTTCTATTGGGGGATCAGATCAGTGGTTCTGGATTCCTACCTCGCATGGCCGTTTTGAGGTTAGGTCCTTTTTCAGATGCCTTTCGTTTGGTCATGGAGATCCCTTCCCTTGGAAGTCTATTTGGCGGTCCAAGGCTCCCCGCAAGGTCGCCTTTTTTGCTTGGACCTCTGTTCTGTGTAAGATTTTAACCTAGGATAATCTGAGGAGGAGGAATCAGGTGGTGGTTAATCACTGTTTCATGTGCTTGTGTCATGAAGAGTCTGTTGATCACATCCTTTTACATTGCAGCATGGCCATAGATTGTTGGGATTTGATGCTTCGTTTATTTGGGGTTCATTGGGCTATGCCTTTCTCCTCTAGAGGGTTGATTGAGGCTTGGAGAGGCGTCTCTGTTGGGGCTGGCATTAGGGATGTTTGGAGGGTTACGCCGCTCTGTATCTGGTGGTGTATTTGGCTTGAGAGAAATAGGAGATATTTTGACGGGAAAAAGAAGCCTGTTTCTATGCTTAAGTTCTCTGTTATTTCTACTTTTTTTTGTTGGGTTTCAGGGAGAGATTATAGATCTGTGGAAGAAATTATTGTTTTTTTGGCCTCTTTGAAGGTCTAAGGCGCCCTCTGGCCCTTGTGTTCCTTTTGTTTCTTTGGGTTTCGCTCCCCTTTTTGAGCGTTTTTAATAAAATCTTACTTATCAAAAAAAAAATAATGGGGAACTTCGTGTCCATGCATGTAATCCTCGCATAATATTCAGTTTCTAAGAAAATATGTAGGTAAATTTCAGTTCTCAAAGAGGCTAAGTTGAAACTTGAAAAACGGGTGTTGATATTAAATTTTGAAGTGCGATGTCCTCTTTTTCTATCCTATTTCTAATTTTATTGAAGTAGGGAGATTTAGAAAATATGTGCTGACATCAAATTCAAGGATTGCGCCACAACTTGTTTCCCCTTCCATTAAGGTCTATTGATTTCATAGAAAGAGTAAAACTGTAACACATCAGACTGTTCCAGATTAATGAGTTGTCTTGTTTATGTGTCAGGCTACAGATTCAGTTTTTAGTGCGGAACCTTGGACAGTTCCATGGACAGCAAAGACCTTACTGCAGGTAAAGAGTTTTTTATTTTATCACTCAGTGATTCTGAAACAGTCCATTTTGGCCTCATATTCCACTGAACCACTAAACAACAAGTCAATGAATTTCAGAAATTTTCTTTAATGTGCTCATTGACATGAATTTTAATTTAAGGGCTAAGCGGCATCTTTCTGATGTAGGTAATAAACCAAGGGTTAAAAATATGATAAATCTAACCTTTATTGATCATGCAAAATTTCATAGTCTAGTTTAAAATCATTTTTTTGGGCGTATTCAATATTTTTTTGGATTTTCGCCCTATTAGTTTGGTGGGATGTTTTTACAAGTTGATTGCGAAAGTCTTGGCCTCTAGGTTGAGGAAGGTTATGGATGGCATCATTTCTGACTCTCAGAATGCTTTTGTAGGAAGTTATCCGATTTTGGATTCAGTTCTTATTGCCAGTGAATGTGTGGATTCCCGTTTGAGTAGCGGAGTTCCGGGTGTTTTATGTAAGCTGGATATCGAGAAGGCATATGACCATGTGAGTTGGAGCTTCCTCCTCTACTTATTGGAGAGGATGGGGTTTGGTGGCCGTTGGAGGAGATGGATTCTTTTCTGCATTTCTAGTGCTCGGTTTTCTGCCCTTGTGAATGGAGCTTCGACAGGTTTTTTCTCTAGCTCGAGGGGTTTAAGACAAGGGGATCCGCTTTCTCCATTCTTGTTCCTTTTTGTGATGGAGCTCTTAGCAGATTGCTGAAGAGGGTTGTGGAGTTGGGTTTTTTGAGAGGTTTTAGGGTGGGCAGGGATGTTGCTAGTCAATTGGAGATTTCCCATTTGATTTTTGCGGATGATACTTTAGTGCTTTGTGATGCTGATGCGTCCCCGTTGAGACATTTGAGATGCGTTTTGATTTGGTTCCAAGTTGTTTCTGGTCTTAAGGTGAATGTTGGCAAGAGCCTTCTTGTGCCTGTTGGGGATTTTCCTGAGATTGAGATGTTTGCTCAGATTCTTGGATGTTGCACTGGTTCTTTCCCCATTTCTTACTTAGGGTTGCCTTTGGGAGCCCCTTTAAGATGTGTGGGGAGCTGAGATCCGGTAGTGGATAGATTCGAGAGGAGGTTGGCGGGTTGGAAAAAGCAGTATCTTTCTAAGGGGGGTCGGGTTACTTTGATTAAGAGCACCCTTTCTAGCCTCCCCACTTATTTCATCTCTCTCTTTCAGATTTCTTCCTCAGTGGCTGAGAGAATTGAGAGATTACAGTGCAACTTTCTTTAGGGGGGGAGAGGAGAGGAGTTCAAGTATCATCTGGTTCGATGGGAGCATGTGTGCCGTCCTATTCGGAGTGGGGGCGTAGGGTTAAGGAGGTTGTTACCTTTCAGTAAGGCTCTTCTTGGTAAATGACTATGGAGGTTTGGGATTGAGAGGCATTGGCTTTGGTGGAGAGTTATCACGTGCAAGTTTGGGGAAAACAATGGTGGGTGGTGCTCTCTTGAGATGCGTGGTCCTAGGGGGGTGGGGGTTTAAACTTACATTCGGAGGGGTTGGGATGACTTCTGCAAGCATGTTCGTTTTCGGATTAAGGATGGTAGGGGGATCAGATTTTGGAAGGATCTTTGGTGTGGGGAGCTTCCTCTTGCTCTTGCTTTCCCACAGTTCTACAGGATTGCTTCTCACCGACAGGCCATGGTGGTTAACTGTTATCACCTTGATAATGGGAGATTGACTTGGGATGTTCAGTTTAGGAGGCACTTTCAAGACTGGAAGATTGAGGATGTTTCTCGTTTTTTGGAGGTTCTGTATCGCCAGGTGATCATTGTTGGGGAGTCGGATTGTTGGCTCTGGGATCCTAACTCGCAGGGTCGTTTCGAGGTTAGGTCCTTTTTCAGGTGCCTTTCGATTGGTTCCGGTGACCATTTCCCCTGGAGGTCTATTTGGCGTTCTAAGGCTCCCTTCAAGGTAGCCTTCTTTGCTTGGACTTCCGTCTTGAGTAAGATTTTAACTCAGGATAATTTGAGGAGGAGGAATCAAGTGGTGGTCAATCATTGTTATATGTGCTTGTGTGATGAGGAGACAGTTGATCACCTTCTTTTACATTGCAGCATGGCCAGGGACTGTTGGGATTTGATGCTTGGATTATTTGGGGCCCATTGGGTTATGTCTTGTTCCTTTAGAGGGTTGATCGAGGCTTGGAGAGTTGTCTCTGTTGGGGCTCTCATTCAGGATGTTTGGAGGGTTACGCCTCTTTGTATTTGGTGGTGCATTTGGCTAGAGAGAAATAGGAGATATTTTGATGGAAAGAAGAAACCTATTTCTATGCTAAAGTTCTCTATTATTTCCACTCTTTTTTGTTGGGTCTCAGGGAGAGATTATAGATCTACAGAGGAGATTATTGTTTTTTGGGCCTCTTTGAAGGTCTAAGGCGCCCTTTGGCCCTTGTGTTTCTTTGGGTTCCGCTCCCCTTTTGAGCGTTTTCAATAAAATCTTACTTATAAAAAAAAATATATTGAAGAAAAATCCCAATTATCAAAATTTTGGAAATGTTGTACATAAAGGTTTTATATATTCAACATTTGAAATATTTATGTTGCCATGTGTACATATTTTGGAACATATTTTGGAATTCAACATGACAGTGTTGGACTTGGCAACTTTGGTGAATTAGCCTTTGAGTGCGTTAGATAATAATATTGTCAAATATAATTGACAAACTTCTTAGAAATATATTAAATTATATGATTCCAGGCAATGGGGCTTAGTGTTTTTTTCAGTGTTGGTTTTGTGATAAAAGAGGTAGCGTTGGTGGTGGGAGGTGATAGTAGCTAGTTGCATGGGTTGGCAATGTAAGATGGTGATGAAGATTAGTGGGGGCCAAAACTAGAATATTTTTTCTTCCTCTGGGGGTTTGACAGGAGAGAGAGAGAGAGAGAGAGGTGGACTTATATCTGGTACTTCAACATGAGTGCTCTTGGTGGCAAACAATCCAACAGCATGTTGGTGGTTATAAAATGAGGTATCATGTTGTAGCGGGGCAACAATGTGGGTGGTGTGATGGCTATGACAGCAGAAGTGGCAATTAAAAATAAGTAAATAAATAAATAAGGGCTGTGATGGTGGAGTTGATAGTTTTGTAGCAGTAATTGCATTACTTGATTAGCAGCTGGTGACAAAATGGCGGTGATAGAATTGTTAACGTGATGATGGGGATCTAACAAATAAGTGATGGTCACAAGATGATGGTGATGTTAACTGGTTTGTGAGGTGGTGGTGGTGGTGGTGGAGTTGATAATAGTAGTGGGGCAAGAGGTTATGCCATTGATAGGTTAACTATGGGAGACAGTGCAAGGGGGGGGGGGGGGGGGGGGGGGGGGGGGGGGGGGTGGAATTGTGATAGTAGCGGTGGTTGTGGTGAAGGTGGTGGAAGCAGTTAGCACTGCTTGTGGTAGTGGTGATGGTATTGATTAGGTTCTACTGTTGTCATATTGAAAACTTGATACTGTTGGTCTAGGTGTAATTTTATAGTCTATTTTAATTAGATTTAATTGAAATCATTTATATAACCATAACTTGTTTAGGTGGCAGCAACTATGGTGGCGGTGATCCCAACCATGAGGACCAGTGTGTTTTAGTCTTAACAAATTTAATACTAAATTTTTTCTAGAAATCAGCTTTTATTAAGCGTGTTTTTAAATTAATTTTATACTCATCATCTGGGTATTTAGAAATACAGGGTACATTTGTAGACACACAAGAATTTTTTTGTTCCGAACACAAAGCATTATCTCTTGACATAATTTACCAGATTAGATCATGATTTACTTCTTATGTGTTCAGATGAAGGTTGAAGGTGCCAGCTAGAATAGCTAATAAAGCATGTTGATAGTGCAAGTCTCTAGCAAGAAAATAAGAGAGAGTAGACTTAGGTGGTATGGACATATTCAACGCTCACCTATAGATGCACCAGTGAGGAGAGGAAAATTGATTTTCATACAAGGTAAAAGACAAAGAGGTCTCCAAAACTAACATGGAATGAAGTGATAAAAAATGATTTTTTAAAAATTAAATCTAGTAGGAGAAATGGCAAGGTTGATGATAGTTCAAGTCTCTAAGCAGCTTGAACTGTGTCTTCAGTCTGCCCCTGACAAAAAAAATCAGATGCAGGTTAACTAACTTAATCATGCTATATTACACACTTGGACACCATAATACTTAATGCAAATAATTGAAAAATCATTTTTGTTGCTGAAGTTTATGATACAAGCACATGGAAAACAACAAATATAGAGAGTAATAAAGTGAAATTGTTTGGTGTGCAGGTCATGCTCCTCTGGATAGCTTCATTCTGGTTGGTAGGATCTTGGATAATTCCATTCCTGGCTCACTCAGCAGGTTTCAGAAAGGAAACCCTGACATACAGAGGACAAGCCTTGTACAGCCTTTTGACAGACGTGGCTGAAGGTCTTGTTGGAATTGCGATCCTTCATCGCTGCCTTGCGAAATTTTATCCCCTTCCTTCCGACTGGTTCAGGTTCAGCCTTGAAGGGAACTGGCAGTTTGATGTTGGGTTGGGCTGTCTCATGTTTCCCCTGGTCAATCGGCTCTCACAGGTCAACTTAAATTTGTTGCCCATTCTTCCCTCCACGCCTGTCACAGTTTCAAGTGTTGAACAATCAATTGTCGCACGAGATCCAGTGGCAATGGCCCTTTATGCCGTAGTAGTTTCAGTTTGTGCCCCTGTTTGGGAAGAAATAGTCTTCCGTGGGTTTCTTCTCCCCTCCTTAACCAGGTACATGCCTGTATGGTGCGCAATTCTTGTGAGTTCAGTAGCATTTGCCTTGGCACATTTCAATGTGCAAAGGATGCTGCCACTTGTATTCCTTGGGGTGGTGATGGGTGCTGTTTTTGCGCGATCAAGGAACCTGTTAGCATCCATGCTCTTGCATAGCCTCTGGAATGCCTTTGTATTCTTAGATCTTATGAAATAACATTCTTCTAGTGTATTTTATATTCATTAATCAGGTCTAAGTTACCATCTCTTTTCTTGCTGTGTTTACTTATCTTGTTGTTTGATAGGAATTCCCCACAATTTATCTAGAGGATGTTCTCATGCAGTTCATGCTACTTGGAACGGTTAGGCCATTTGACAAACTCTGAAAATCCTGACTCCACCATGTGTCACATAATAATATGGAGCATACTGCTATTGTTTCTCCAAAAAGCCAGGGGTAGGGGGTTTGATTAGACGTTCTGTTCTGCTCTTTCACAACTCTTGATGTCTTGATGTGGTGCATATTGGCTGGTGACTTGTGAGCTGAAAAATTACACGAGAGAAGCTTTATCTGGTGATGGATGTGGTCAAGCTTTTGTTTTAGAGGTCTAATTATATGACAGACCAATTGTTGTCCCTTTGCTACGTGTAGTTGTTCATTTTAAAAGTTCTTGACTACTAACCTATAATATGAAGGTGATCAATACTTCCATAAGACAAGTGCAAGTCCTGGGATCAATCTTCCAATTTTCACATAATCCCACTTTCCAGTTTCCAAGAGTAGCCCACTCAAGGGGATTGACTATATATGTTTTAACTGGAATATAAAATTAATAAAAAATGAAGAAGAATGGGATTTACTATATGTACAGAGTAATCTTGTCTTGTCCGTCGGTGCGTCAACTCCTCCTAGTGACACAGGTGATAGGCCTCTCCTTTTAGATCCTAGATATTGTTATTGGCCATGGAATAAAAACTATCCGATTTCATGTGGATGAAGTTTATGGTGATTGCATAGCAGTAAATTTGTGGTCATGGTATGCTGAATGGAAACTTTTGTTTCTCCACCACTTCATAAAATTTTAAACAATCAGAAACACTGTTTGAAATTTCCTTGTGCCTACAAAATTTTAGATACTTTGCCTTTATTTCTTGGAGGGAAACATTGTAGGGGACCAATTGGTTTCAAATCACTTTCTATTACTTGTGTTTGGCCCTGTAATGTTGGCTGATGTTCATTTCTTTTTCCAACAACTCTGGTGACCCCCGTCCGGATATGCATATTTTTTAGATTGTTTGCAAATAATAATTAGTTAAAAATTTTGAATGAAAAGGACACAACTTTCTTTTATATTAAAACCTGGGAGGAGTTGAACTCACCACCACTCAAGACGGTTAGTGGATGTAAAAGCCTGAGATTTCCTTACCAAGAGAACTGTTGTGATATTTTCTTCTCCAGATTTCAGATATATATATATATATATATATATCTTCTTCAAGGTCAACATATAGCTACATGGTGATGGATATCATTTTGTTCTTTTGTTTGTTTGTTTGTTTTTCTGTGTTAGAAATATAATTTTCTGTCTTGTAAATTGCTTTTGAGTTTGTGGTTGGAAAGAGTATTATGTGATTAGTAATCTAAAACAAAACATATATCTTGTCTGATGGATCAAAATGTCTAAATGTATTCAATTCACCCAATTATTTTTTCCCCCCTCCTTCACCATATATTTGATTCTGCCTTTTAGGTACTGTGAGTGAAATCTGATGAATATTATGAGCAGATGGCATTTAATTTTCTCACTGGAATCAAGAATATGTTGGGACTTGGTCTCTTTATCTGGTAACTTCCTATATAAAGTTAAAGGTTATGTTAGGTGAAAGTGAAGCCACTAGTTACTTTGTCCTTCAAATATTGTCACATCCTTTATAGAGTGGGTAGGCATGTCCATGGTATAATTGTTTGATGCTTTTCTGAATTCTTTTAGAGTGTCTCACTTGTTTTTCATTGTTGTTGGTTTGACTAGACCCATTCTGAACAGATTAAGGTAACCTGAGTTGCCTAACAAACATTGCAGTATGATATTATATGTTTGATGCTAAATATTTCCTTAGCATGCAAAGTAGGTTACATACAATAAATTTTAATATTCCCTCTTGAAATCATATTATAGTAACATTAGTAGAGCACCACTAATCTGGTTCTGCTCACCCAAATTTATTAAATAGAAGATAGTAACAAAATAAAACATGCAAAACAAAATTAAAATGTGCAGAATGAATAAAAATACCAGTTTATGGAGCCTTAGTTCTGGTTTTTATCCCTTTGTTTTAGTTATTCGAAGCAATTGGAATATTTTATGGTCCTATGGAGTGTGCTTGATAACGTGTTTCCCTAAGCATTTGATTTCTTTTGATTGCTTCTTATCTATTATTATGAGTATATTAAAGTTTTGAAGAGAGACCATCTTCTTTGAGAAGTTTATTGAATATGATGAGGAAAAGTCAGGCTAAACTAAAGATGCAAGACTACATTATGGATGATTGTGGGCCTTGCATTTTTGTTTCTTTTCTCCTTTTTTTTTTTTTTTTTTTAATATATTTTTCAATTATTAAATATGATTGTCTGTAGTCAGACAACCACTTATAGAATTGTTATGGAGAGGATTGTAAGGGAATATATAGAAATTGGAGATATGGTCCATGATAGGACCTCTGCCATTACACACACCTTAGAAGTTAAGAGTCTGTTCTCCTCACATTCTGTGTATAGTGCATACTCCAGTTGTCTGGCAACCATGGAAACTTGTCAACCACTCTCCATCGAAAGTTTCTCGTATAGATGGTTAGTAAACATAAAGCCATCTTATGAGAGCCTAGACGACACCCTCCTGGCCTGCATTGACACGTTCGAAGAAGCTTCCTTCATCGAGATGGACCCAAAATTACCACCCTCAAAGAGGTTCTTTAGTGGCTCCCAAGATTGCAACTTTGATTTTCCTGCATCACAGTCTCCTCTTTCTCTTGTTCATGCCGATGAGCTCATCTCCAACGGCTTCCTTGTGCCTCTTTTTGTGAAGCCATCGAAGATGGAAGAGTATGATGCTTCAAGTTCCACTCCACTACAACCCATCTCCTCACATGCGCAAAAAAGTGTGCATTCAGCTAATAAATTCCGTTGTTCATCATTAAGAAGGTGTCGAAGATTATCAAGGCGACTGTTTTGGAAGTACTTGGATTTTCTCAGGCCACTGTGTCAAAGACTGGGAGGTCGAAGATCTGGCTCTGGAGCTGATACTTTAGGTACAAAGATGCAAGAATTGAAGCACTGGATATATTCTCCGGCAACACCTCCAAGGCCAAGCGTAGCTTACTCTGCTGATAATTGTCGTAGGTCTTGTGATGACGAGAGCTCAATTTATGAAGCGGTTCTCCACTGCAAAAGATCCATTGGTATGTCCATTTACTTGAAGATTTAACATTATACTGCCAATGGAAAAATTCACTCAGGTTTTTGATATTCTATTGAACTCTGTTATTTTCAGGCAAGTGAAAATGTAGATGTCTTGCTCAGAAGAGAACAAGAGAGAGAAGAAAGGAGATACACAATCAAAGGAAGGAAATGAGACGTCTCAAGAAATTCAGTGATCGCCCATCACTTGTTCTTTGTCCCTTTCTTCTTCTCCTGCAATGATAATACCCATTTGTCTTTTTAGGGAAATTATAGCAATTTGAGCAGAGAGAAAAATGATCAGTTATAATTCTGTATGTATTTTCCCTGTGATAGGAATTTTTCTGGCTAGAAGGAATCTCTTCAACCTCATTTATTCATCTGAAAATCAATATTATCTTTTTCTTGTTTTCCTTTATATATATATATTTTTCCTAAATTGTTTTCCTTTATATTAGATGACAACCTTTGATAAGATCATGAATTCTACATTTTTGTGGTGTTGATTACCAACCTTTTATTCTAGGGTGCTGGTAGGAGGGACTTTCCAGAGAATAGTTAAGATTATCATACTTTTATTTTAATCAACCATTTCTGACTTTTTTTTTTTTTTTTTTTTCTAAGTCATTAATTCTAGGTTTGAGCATGCGCTTTGGTTGTAACATTTTTATTTTAATCAACCTCAACTACTGCAATCCCCTACCTTCTTGTCTTCTCTGGCCAGATGAACTGCCAGCTCTAGGGGAATTGTTCAAGTATTGCCGTCAATACCACCATCAACCACCATTTTTTAATTTTTTTTTAGTCCACCATCAATTAGGGCTCCCCCAAAATTTTACCCCTCAATTTGGTCTTGCGTTTACGATGTTTGAAATCTGCCCCCCCACCCCCCAAATCATATTGTGTCATTTTTGTCTTTGCAACAAATAGATATAGTTGATGAAAAAGCTAGTTCAGTGCACGAGGTTCTTGTTGAAAAATACTCCGTAAATCATACAAAATGGGAATAAATTTTGGTATTGAGTTTTGGATATTTGAAATCTGGCCCTTCCAAATCTTACAAAATTTCGCTAAGTGTCCCAAGTAAGAGTTGAAATCGTTCCCCAAATCATACTGTGTCATTTTTGTCTTTGCAACATATAAATGAAATTGATCAAAGAGTTAATTCATGTATGAGATTCCTGTTAAGAAATAAATCACATAAAATGGGAGTGAATTCGAAAATGAGAGTATGAAAATAACAAAATTTAAGTCACAAAAAAAAAAAAAAATATATATATATATATAAATAAAAATACGAAAATAAAAAAGTGTTTGGAACACAAGAGCAACAATTGTATAACTTAAATCGGTGAGGCTCGTATACACACACCCTTGCTGACTTCCACAATTATCTGTTGCGCCAAGGCCCTCACAATAACATTCCAAAATATTTTGCCTCCCAATCTGAACCCACATGGTAAACAGCCCATGTGATAACAGAACTCTCTATTAACATGTGGCTATAAACTCATTAAAATATTTCTCCTTTACTTCAGGTACACAATATCAAAAGTCAATGGTATCAACTAATTCCAATACATCAGAAACACAACATCATAACCCAATGCATATGCCAGTCCAGTGACTCCAGTATGATTTTTGTTTTTATGTTTGCGTTTGCTAGTACATTGTTTGTTTAGTTACTCATTTTTATCCACATGTCCAATGCATATATCTTTTCATATTTGTTTAGTCTATAATTTGTTTTATTAATTCCAATTTTTCTACACCACATTCTTTTATGTCTTAGTTCAGCTCTTGTTAGATTAATCGGTTATGGAAAAATGTTTAGTTTTCTGCTATTTTTTTTTTTTAAAAAAATTAATTCTTAAATTTTTTAATCTCTTTGTGCACATCTTTATTCATTTAATAAGGTAATATTTTATTTTTGTTGTTTGAAATGGTTTCTGCTTTCACCTTTTTTTTTTTTTCACTGCTTTTAAAAATATTTGCAGATAATAGAACCAAATAAAAAGCAGAAGTGATTAAGGTTAGTGTAAAGAGGTAAATTTGTATTATTATTTTTATTATATTTTACTTTTGAAAATTAAAGCAAACACATACATTAATAATACTCACTTTCAATAAGAAAAAAAAAATTTAAACCAACAGGCCGGTGGTTTAGCAGTATCAGGCTCTTACTTCTCAAAAGGATATTAAGGGTTCAAGTCTCAGTTGAGGTATGTGTGTGTGAAATAAATGAGACATCCTAGAGAATAGATAATGTACTTTCATCTTTTTATTCACTTTGTTGGAATAGAATAAAACAAATTCACAATTTATTATGTTCCTCATAAGAGAATAAAAGTTAGAGTTTTAAATTATTTTTACAATTTCATCCATCATTATTTATAATATTATAATTTATAGAGGATAATATTATAATAGAACTATTTGTCTTCCTTCCTGTCTTCGGCCATATTTAAATGAATAAAAATTTATAAAGAAGAAAGAAGACCCATCCTCGTGTTATCTTTTCTCTCATTATTCTTTCTTTTTTATTTTTCATCCGCCCCTCTTTCTTTCTTCCTTTCCAGCATAGCACCCCGAAGTACATATTGTTCCGACCGAAGGAATCGGGCTGTCGGATCGGCCCAGTGGTTAAAGATCGGCCCAGTGGTTAAAGAGGCAATCTTTATAGCAAAGAAATGTGTTGCATAGGTTTTTTTGGAAACACATGTTACATGTAGACATGTCACATGTGGAAGTAAACAATCTGGCTGATGGAAACCTTGTTGCATGCTATAGGCATGTCGGAATTATTCAGGCTAAGGTCATTGCTACACATTTTGTACTACATAATATTTCTGTGTGTTCAGACCTTGTGATGCTGTCTGCGAACATCCAACGTGCAGGACAGGGTTAATATCAATCACTTGTTTGCCGAACCATTTCTGAGTAAATAAAAAGCATGGGGACAAAATATTTTTAAAGTAGATCTTGGTTCTTTACCAATCAAGATTCAAGAATGAAACAACAGTAATTTTTCCCACTTTGAGTAGATGAAATGCATGGAGACAAAACACACACACAAATTCTTTTTCTTTATATTGCTCTCTCAGGTCATATAAACCATTATACCACATGCCTTTTCTCATTTCCAAAGCCCATTCTCATTTTGACATTCCTTTTGTTTCACAGCACCTTCCACTTTAATCATAATTTCTTTCAAATATGGCATTTGATACTATTTCCAACGTTTCTTGTATTGTCACTGTTGCATCTTAACACTCTTATTTTTGTTGCGAAATTAAACAGAAAACACAAAAAAGAGATCAAACACACACACACACACAAGAATACACAAATTTTACTTGCTTCATTCAAAATCTGGATACGTTCAAAGATTGCAGGGATTTTCACTCTGATGATCAAAAACAGCAGCGGATACAAAGAGTTTTGAATGAATAAATACCCCTGCACTGGGCAACATAACAAGTGCCAAAATTATCAAAATACCCTTCAAAAGCAACAGCATATTCGCAAAATTGGGACTTGGTATTGTTCACGCGGTTTTTGTTCCCTACGCCGGTCGATAGACTCTTTGCGGGCGTGCCAGAGTATTTGTACAAAATACCCAAAATATGTAATTGAACACCAGCCTATCCCTTTTTCCGATGGCTGACTCTCAGGCGATTGTGTGGGAGAGAGACTAGTAAGAACTCCCAGCAAGGTTCTTTTATGCCTTATTTGTAGCAAGGACTTTTTAGAGTGTCTAAAGAAATGCAACGGCTGATGAATGTTCGAATGGATGGAATGGCCGAGTGAAGACAGGCGGCAAGAACTTAATCGATCGCCGGCCGAACGTGATGGCGAGAACTTAATCAATCGCCATCAGCCAAACACAATGGCAAGAATTTAATCGATCGCCACTAAAACGTGATAGCAAGAATTTAATCAATTGCCATCAGCCAAGTAATGACAAGAATTTAATCAATTGTCACTACGATTCAATGACAAGAATTTAATCAATTGCCATTGAATTGAAAGCTTAACTAAAATTGCGTAATTAAAATTGGCATAATTGAAATTGAAAGAAAGTAAATGGCTGAATCGAAATAGTTGACAATGATCTAATCAATTGCCATTAAATTGAAATAAAGAAATTGATAGGAAAAATGACGTAGAGTCAGTTGAAAACATTTTTAGTTGAAATGCATGTTTTGTGGTGGTGCTGGACGAATTGGAAATGGAATACAATACTTCTATTTATAGAAGTTCTATCTCAACTTATTTTCCTAATTAATTGTTAGAAAATCTCTTTGCTCCTTGATTTTCTTCACTTTATTACTCAAACTAAACCACGTTCCAGTAGTCTTTTGCGTCTCTTCTCTTCTTGCTTCAATAGGAAAGTCCTTGCTGAAATCTCTCATTGATCCAGTCAAATGCAAGTTGTCGAGAAATATGCTGAAAAGTTGCTGGAAAGTTGCTAACTTTTAGCAACTCCTTTCCTTAAGTTAGGCTGAAAACTTCCCTTAAATGGCTAGAAGACCATTTATAACTTTTGCCCAAATTATCCCTCACGTGACGGCCTCTCCTTTGAATTCCTTATTCCTTTGCAACGAAATTCCTATTTCATAGGAATCTCATTCCAACTAAATCTCTTTTATCCAAACTCAAATAATATATTTGAATTAACTCAAATATTAATTACCAAATTTCAGCAACAACCTTATTGGATAATGTGGCTAAATTTCTAGATTTTCTCCTCTTGTTTCTCAATTGGCCGACTTTTCTTGAAATCATACTAAACAAGTGTCGGCCCATCGCTGGTCCACGTCACCGCTGAGGTGGCTGCCAAGTTTTGGTGCCAACAAATGCCCCCTGAATTTCAAATGTCTTATCAGCCACTCAGGCCGATAAGATTTTTGGAATTTAAAAATGTATTGAAAAGAAACTGGCAGCTTAGGAGTTTCTAAACTTTATTTCTTCCAGGCCACCTCAAGTTGGTCTTTATTTTGCGTCAGCCAGAACTGGCCGATCCTGGTTCTTCCATTATTCCCTTAAAGCTGGCTGATACCCCTCAAAATATTGGCTATTTATAAACCCATGATAGACCTCACCATTGAAGTTTCCCAACTCTACTAGTAAGGCATGATCGTGATCGGCCGGGATCAAGCAGTTATGTAATGTCATTTGGGCCGATCTAACTGGCTTCTGTTTTGAAAGAACAAAATTCTGCTAGTATGGAGCTTTTCTGATGGCTGATCCTCTTGAATTTTTATACTCCCATGGAGCTTCTGAAAGTACGCCATCCCATGTTTTTGAATAGTCATTTTCTTTGATGACTTCAGCTATATCAGCCAAAAATACCAAGAATAGCATTTCTTTTGTGGCCGATTTTTTATCTGCCGGGGTAAGCTTTTAGAATGCCAG